ATTTATGCATACAGCACAGTCACAAAATCTATCTTCCCCTGCTTTTTCGCATTTTTATATGCGGCGGCCGCCAGTGATTCCGGTGGGATTTGATATCCAAAAATCCCTTGTGGGTCCAAACTACCTCCGGTTGTCAAATTGAAGCAGCCGCTTTCACTGATATTCGTCGCAACATCCACGATAACATCGTCGCATTTACGGTCTTCCGATAATTGAAGTCCAACCTCATAATCCAGAGTCCCAGTAAATTCCAAGTAAACGCTATTAGTCTTTCCTTTATAAGTACAAAGATGATCACCTTTCTCATACATTGTCCAAATTGTACCAGCTTGATCTCCCAAACAATTGTCACCATCATAAAAGATAATCCTTGCAACTTCAGGTCCCTGGTCCGCTAATCCGCTCTTAAGTAGAAAGCCGGATAAAAATATAATACTATTCAACAATTTCATCTTTTGTAATGTAATATTGATTAACTTAAAGTTAGTTATTAGATTAAATATGAATAGGTGCCTATAGAAGCTCTTTTATATGTATTTCTTTGGTTCATTTTTAGAAATGCTTTAAGGGTTCAAACTGTTTTTCTATTTTTGATCTTTTTCTATTTTTGAATTTTTCTATTTTAAAAGTCCCGCTATTAATATGAAGTTCCTATTTTTAATGTCAGTATTTTTGGCTCTTAATGAAGATGAAATAAAATGCGCGCCCACATGCAATCCCGAAGTATCGAGTCTACGAACAGAAATGAATAAATTCTTTAAAAGCCTTAGACGCTTTAAACTATATGTCTGATCTTATTAACTATATCTTGATATCTTTGTCCTAATATTTCATTGACCGATACTGCATATCTGTTATCTATTAGAACTTGAAGTTACTTGAGCCTATATAGATTTATGTAAGCCATTCACACATATTTTTTTTTTCACTTAAGAAACCGTAATTCATCAAGAGAATAAAGTAAAGACTATATCGTCCCCTTTCGAAAATTTCGATGGACACCTTGCTAACTACTGAAAGATCAAATACATAAATAAGTGAGAATAAAATGCATTTTGCGTTCTTTATGCTGTCTTCCAAATTAGGACTTTATGACTGAAAAGCTTACCAAGAGGACAATGGGCCGACATAGTATATCTTTTTTCTTCAATAAATCCTCTACATTTCTTTGACGCCCTGTACTCTGCGTACTCGAAGTCTCCAAAGAAGAAGAACAAACTGATAAACTACTAATGTTTCCCGTTCTTGTATTTGCTGAAAATCGAAGGATAGATGCTTGTAAGATTGAGGTTATACTGGGGCAACAACTCATGATTTCGCGCTTTGAAGCCAGAAGATATCATATAATTCTTGACATCATCCTTAAGACAAGATATGGTAAACGCAGTGCAAAGTTTCGATAACTACGATTTCGGTTCAAGATTTAGGAAGACAACGCGAACCCAACTACGATTAAAGGCTATTCGAACTCCTTTATCTAAATTTCATTCATGACTTGTATTTCATATTGATTATTGCATCTGCTCATTTAATATCTCAAGTTCGCTTTCGTTAAAGTCTTTTGTCTATTACTGCTTCTAATAAATTTTTTCAGTCCAGCCGAACTAATCTAATCAACAGCTTCAAATAAACTAAATTTTGAAATTCCATACCAGTTGTTGAAGATAATAAGACGCCTTCAGCATAAGATTTGCTCGTGAGCATATACATATCTGGTTGTCGTTATGGTCTCTACTTATAGGATGAGATATTTTGCCACCAATCCCTTTTTTAGGAATTTCAAGGGATTTGCGTTTCTTCTCAAGGGACTACCAGGAAGAATATATGATCCTCAAAACTCAAAGCTTAATTATTTGCAACTTTAAAGCCTGTACACTTTTGCGATCAGTTTTTTCTTTTTATGAGATTTTAGCTTGTTTCTTTCAAGTCATCATCTTCTTCACATATGACTTCATCCAAAGTATCTAGGAGGTATAATTCGTCGAACTTACTTTTTGAAGCAATACTGATACAAGTTTTCAAATCATCCTCGAAGATAGCCGGCCCGTAGTTAGTAGCAAAAATATATCTACATAGAAGCAGAGATAAAACTCCAGTTGTAACAATTACAGGATCAATGAATTCGATCAAGGACTTTAAAATTTCTTCGACGCCCAAGGCTCCTGAAGGTAGGGCATTTTCATGAAGGAGCCAGTACTTGGGTATTACATTATGCAAACAAACATTTTTTATCTGCTCAAAGAAGCTCGCTATCAAAGAAATGCCATATACGCTCACGTATCTAAAACATCTGTGACGTATTAAAGAGTTGGGGTCGCTCATGATCATTTTGTTCAAACATCGAAAAACTTTTTGACAAATGTCAATCAAGATGAACTTTCCATTGCTAAAAAGAATTTTGTGTTTCATAAAATTATTTTCTTCAAGTAGCTTAGTTGTCAGTACGGCAGTCAGCAAGATTTGCTCATTCAACCTCAATTTCGTAAACAGTAAAATTTTGTAGAGTTGCTTATGTGTCAATTCCTCTTGTAATACCTCAATCATTCGTTGGAAATCAGACAATAGCAGAGATTCTCTATTCCTCAAATCTTTAACTGCGTTCTCTAATGTTTCGACCTTATGTTGAAGACCAGCGAGTTCTTGTTTTCTCCTTTCCTTTAAGCGTGTTTGAGACTCTCTCATTTTCTTAAGCTTCTCCTCTCTGACAAGAGGTTGGCTCCTACTGTCAGTGCTTTTCTCCCCATCAACCATTGAGTCAGACCTGCGAAGAATTCTTTCCCTAGTAACATGTTCATGAAGTCGGACCCTTAAGAATATGAAGTTTTAAAAGCTCAAGCAGTGATTACTAATTACTGCATATATGCGGAAAAGTGAAGAGCTTGCAGCGATGCATAGCTTCATGTTTAGCTCCACCCCTGAATTGAAAGCTGCTTAGTTGTGACACAATCATGTTAACCTGAGAAACAAAGATGTAGCTTGAAGATAAACAAACTTCTTACAAGGAATCAATAAAGTAAATAGGACCTTTTTTTCGCATTTAAAAGGAGCATGCATTCAGTATATAACAATATATATCATAAAAAGACAGTCCCCCAGGTAGACAACTTGCTGCATTTTTAACACAAACGGTGAAACTAGAAAAGAACTGCATCATTAATCCTTCAAAGCTAATGCGTTAACTCTATTATCATTTGATTCATGAATTTCCATAAGTAGTAACTCCGACTGGGCGCTGATTCAAGAACTAGGAAAAGTTGAAATTACGCCGCGAAAAAGACTATTATACCGTCGAAGCTTGATTCATGGCTTACTTCTTATTGTACTGGACCTTAGGCATTGAGAAAACTTAGTCAGTCGGAGAGATTTCACTTTTAGATAATACCGAATTAATCGACAATAATTGCTGCAGAAATATGTATATAATAACAGTATATAAAGGGAGCGTCTTTCTAACGATTCATCAACTCAGTTGGAAGTACCGAAAATTATATTACAATTACAATATACAGAGAGAAGTTAAAAATGCCATCATACCTAGTGACAGGAACTGCAAGAGGAATTGGATTTGCGTTAGTTAACGAGCTATCTTCAAATGGCTCAAATCTTGTCTTCGCGATTGTTCGTGAAACATCGGACACTTCCTTATTAAAAGGTCTAAAGCGGTCAAATTTAATTATTGTCAAAGCTGATATTTCCAGTCAAGAAGATATACAAAAAGCTTTCAAGATTATTTCCACCAAGACAAATAGTTTGGATGTACTAATTGCTAGCGCGGCCTATCTCCCTGTAGCTACTCAATCTCCAGTTGAAGTTACCGAAGACTTTGCCGCCTTCAGTAGCGAGGTAAACAAGAGTATCAAAGTAAACGTACTTGATCAAATTTACTTAATTAACATTTTCTTACCTTTGCTAGAAAAAGGTGACATTAGAAAAATTGTTTTCATAAGTTCGGGTCTTTCTGCAATGAGCTTCGTCTTAAAAACTGAAATTCAATTTCAAATGCCCTATTCGTTGTCTAAGGCAGCTTTGAATCTAATTTCTGCAAAGTTTGCATTAGCCTTGAAATCTAAAGGCTTTACAGTGTTGGCCATTTGTCCTGGGCTCGTGTCATCTTCCAGTCAAGCTCCACTCAGTGAGGAGGAGATCCGAAAACAATACGGACTTTTTGTTGATCATTTGAAGTTGACCAATCCTGAGTATAAAAGACCGCTTACGCCTCCAGAGAGCGCTTCCGCTATTTTGAAGACTATTGATTATGCAAGTCCTTATCTTAGTGGAAAATTTTTGAGTCACTTCGGAAGTGAACATGAATGGGTCTAGTATTCATAGTAAGATTAGAGTTTATATTGAATAAAAAACCAACTTTCAACCACTATTCGTCCCTTTTGTTAGGAGATTTTTCGCTAAAGACCTTAAACAATAAATCATATAATACTGTAACCTAGAGATGTAGGAAAGCATTCAAAATATATGATAATCAAACCCTTTGAAAAAGGCATGTATTAAGGGCTCTTCTCTAACTTTAAAATCCGAAATTTATTAGCTCAAAGTTTGTAATAGATTCATAGATTTTACCTCAATGGAAAACGGTACAGGCAATGTTAGGTGATTATATCTTAAAATTTTAACTTTTACCTAGTTTCTATTGACCAACCAGTCTCAAATTAAGTCTCTTGGTGAGTCAGCAATTAGAGACGATTCAAGTATTCGTGAGCACTTACCTAGCTTTTCTCCAAAAAAGATTCTGTTTCAAGTTATGTCGCGCCTCAAGAATTTTATCTTTACAAATGTTAGCAAGCTCGTTTCATGATGAGCCTACATTAGATAAAGTAGTCTTCTTGTTACTTATTGGAATGCTGACATTGATCGTAGGTATGTTGATGAAAAGCACAGCCTATGATGAATTTGTTGCTCGGTAAATTCTCGAATAGGCATCCCCCGTACTTTAGCTTAATAATTGAATCCAAATATAAGTAAACCACATTGATCTAAACTTCGATATTGATTTTAATAAAGTGCATCTAACGAATAGTTTTTAAAATGTCTAAGGTGGGAATAATATTCGGTACAGGGTCAAACATTGGTCTTCTGGTGGTGTCAAGTTGACCGGGAAGGGGTTTAAAGTCGTTACTGTGTCTAGGAAAAGCGTGGGACCTGTAGGAAAGCTTCAGAATCATATCCATTTGAAAGCAGACTTAGGAAACTTGTCCGCAGTCTCAGAAGTGTTCTCTCGAGTACGGGAATTATATGGAGAGCCTAACCTAGTTATATATAATGCAGCAGCTTACTCGGTGACTGATCCCAATAATGCGTTCGTCGACAGTGTTGAGGATTTCGCTCAACATTTGTCTGTTAATACTATTAGCTTGTTTGAGACTATTAAAGAAACTATCAAATCATTTGACAGGCTTCCCAGAGATATCAATAAAACTCTAATATTCACCGGAAACTTCTTGAATAGATTTCCCTCTGCATCATTGTTGAGTTTGAGTGTAGGTAAGGGGGCTTCCTACGATCTTCTTAGATTGGCTGATATGTCTTACGGAAAAAAGGCTATAAATTTTACTATGCGGATGAGCGTACGGAAAGTGGAAATGCTGTTTATGGTGATATCAATGGTGAAGCCCATGCAGAATTTTATTATCAACTTGCTGAAGGATTAGTGAAGGACGTACCGATGCAACATTTGTTAAAGGAAAGGGCTACACTAAGTTTTGAGTTTTGAGTTTTGAACTTTGAAAGGACTGATGGGTTATCATATAGTTCTGGAAGCCTGGGTAAATAATTTATATGTTGAAGAATAAGATGCAGCTTCATGTAACCGATTGATTTAAAAGAAGGTAGACATTATGTAGTTATTGTCTTAACGTTTGAACACAATAAGTTTCGAACTTTTCTGGTAGTATTCAATTTGTTTCTATTATTCTGGACCGGCTTTTTAACATTCACTTACATTTAATTCCCCAGACACTAAAAAGAACGTTTGACAATTCATATTGTAATTTAGAAATAGTACCATCTAGCTTGAAAAAAATCTCTTAAAGTTACCATTCAAGATTAACTCATCAAGTATAACTACGTAATTTAAATAAGAATCTGCAATATCGCCGAATTAATGATGTTTATGAAATTACTTCTCTCTTGTTCTTATTGAGATCGCAATTAATTAATTTTACATATGCAAAACACATATCGTTAAAGTCATGATTCAAACAAAATCGGTGGCCTAATATGCTTTGCAATAGGATATTGTGAAGTATAGAATTCAAACACCTTTCAATTTCCTGTACACTTTATTTTCGCAACCAAAGAAGCATTTTGTGTAGATAAGATAAAGAAGCTTTGTTGCGATATTTACCTATTATAAAGGCATAATCAGGAATTTGAGAAAAGTATTTGAATCAAGTTTTGAATAGCTTGGCGTATCTGAGTACTACTTAAAATCTACGCGTATAGTACAAGAGGCCTCTTGTAAGGAAAAAAGTGGGCATCTGATGAACGGTATCGTACAAACATACTCGTGAAATTATTTCTAGGACACTGACATTAATCGCTGCATTTTTTAGAAGGTTAGCTGAGTCTTGGTTAAAATGAAATCCTTTTTGCAAAAGGTTTTCTTAGCTTGTCTTTAGATACAACGAATGGGAACCGTCATCAGAGGATTGGGAAAAGCCAAGAGTTCAAGAAAATAGGCTGGAATGTAATCATACGAAGTGGCATTAAATGAGGAAAATGTTCTTTATACAAGGCAAGGAAGATTATAATTAATTGTTTTGCAGTTGAAAGATTCCTAGAGATATCTCGTATATCCTGATAAGCAAACCATTCTTATTATGGTGGACACCGCAATCTTTAATTTCAACAGAGTTTCAAAAGCCTTATGTTTAGAATAGAAGGCAGTATAGTAAATTCATGGTTCAGGGTAGTTTACGACTTTTCGTATCTTGATAACCAAAAGAACTTTCCTCAGCTAGAACCCCAAGCAACTACAAGGCTTATATTGTGAGAACTTTTTCTTCTGAATAATTAAGTTGAAAAATCAGTCGATAAAACTTGAAATCAAAGCTATCTCACATTGGGAAACTGTATGGCAATGTTTATTTCTTTGGAGATTAGATATATATTGCCAGTTAACAAATTCTCCCACGCTCTCATTTTGTGTATCGCTGGGCTTGCGCTCTAATATATTTCTGGGTACAGTACCTATTCCAAAAGTTTTTGCAGCCATCTTCATGCAGACCAATACAAGCAATAGAAAGTGTTCTGCCATAATTTAAATATTGCAATCACGTAATAACATTTAATCATAAATTTTTATTGACAGAGATGTGTACATTAAACAAACTTTGATCTCTTTCCTTTTTATTTGGATCATTTAGCACCACAACAAACGGTCAATCTAATTTTTCTTCTGTTACTAAACGCTACTTTGTGGTATCATTAATTGTTAATTGATGATTGTGCAATCTCTCGCGGTGAGTGTTCATAAAACAGCCCTAACAGAAATTTATAGCTACCAATGATAGAAAATTCCACTTTTTCCTGTGCTATTTTCAAAAACTGACAGGATTACAAATACTTGTAGTTAAATATATATGTGTCGTTATATTCAATCTTTTGAAAATTGGTTAGAGTCAAAAGACAACAATTTTTTTTACTTCGGTGTAGAAATAAAAATCATAGTTCAGGAAGTATCAAATTCACCTAGGATAAGAATCCAAATAACTAATAACAATACTTTAATTAGAATGGTTTTTATCCTAAAGCGAAAAAATACGATGAATGTCGAATGAGAAGTTCGAAGATGCTATAAAGAGATAAAAGGTAACAAATAGATAACAAGGGCTGTCGAAAGCTTTGAAATTCTTGCTATTAATAAATCATACATGGAATTGAGCTAATTAAGTGAAAATATAAACATAAAATGCTGAATTAGGTAGCAAAATTTCTTGAAGATTTCTGATCACTCAAGCTGGGGGAGAGAAGATGCCAACCCATAAAAAGGAGACATTCTAAGTGATTTTTGGAAAAATCACCTTTTAGTACTGTTTTTGATGAACTAGCCATTCCGTTGTCAAATAGGAAACCACATGAGGTGACCTTGCAAGAAGTTCACGAAAGAGCTTGCCTTGTTTTACGTATTACATAAAAATACTAAACTTCGTTACTGTTTATATTGTAGCTCAATCAAGATTATTCTAGAGGCAGTGAAGTCATAAAATTTCAATAGAAGGAACTTAAGGACACACTATGTTCCAATAACCTAAACCGTTGCTATTGGTACATGTCATCCCTTAGATTAATTGCCGTATTTGATGTGGTGAGTTCTTGAAATGAATTACAGACAGTATTATCAGACATAAATATGCTATAATCAAATTTTCGACCTTATTAAAAAGAGACGGTAAGCTATTTGGACATTACGATTTTAAGACGTCGGAGTGGTTCGGGATAAGGAGACTGAGAATGGATATTATACATTAGTCAGAACCTGCATATACCCGATACTTCAACTTCGCGCCACAGGAAAGGTTACTACTCAAACCTTAATTGTCTCCTGTTCTTCAAGGAGATTAATCTATTAAGTCTTATTTAAAAAAAGATGACGAAGGTTCTTATTTCTGGTGCTTCAGGCTATATTGCTCAACATATTATCAAAGATCTATTGGCTCAAGGCTATGCTGTAGTGGGTACAGTCAGATCAGCAGAAAAAGGAAACAAGTTAGCTAAATTGTTTAACTCCAGCAAGTTCTCCTTCGAAATTGCCAGCTTAACAGAAGAGAACGCTTTTGATAAAATACTTATTAACAACAAGGATGCGACAGTATTCTTACATACAGCCTCTCCGTTGCCTCATGATGCGAATGATAATGAGAAGGACTACTTAATCCCAGCGGTCGAAGGTACTAAATCTGTATTGCAAGCAATCAAGGATCATGGTCCTCAAATTAAAAATGTAGTGATTACATCATCCTTTGCTGCAGTTAAAGATTCCAAAAATAACGGCTCTTTACCTTACACCGAAGAAAGCTGGAATTCTGTTACGTGGGAAGAAGCTGCCAAGGACAAGTCTCTTGGATATGCTGGATCGAAGAAATTTGCTGAAAGAGCTGCTTGGGATTTTCTTGAAAAGGAAAAACCCTATTTCACGTTATCTATTGTTAACCCTACATATGTGTTCGGACCCCAAGCTTTTGATGAAGAAGTCAAGGAGAAGTTGAACTTTTCTGCGGAAATTATCAACTCCATTGTTAGACTGGGTTCTACCGGTAAGGTACCACAGTTCGAGGGAGCATTTATTGATGTTAGAGACGTCGCCAAGGCTCATATTTCTGCCTTCACCAATGAAAAGGCTTTTGGTAAAAGATTATTATTATACAATGGACCATGCAATGTTCAAGATATTGTCAGCTACATTAAGGAAGATTTTCCTCAATTAAAAGTACCAGTAGTTAAAGGCAATGGGATGAAAAGTGATTCGAAAGCGAATACAACTGTTGATAATAAAATCACTCGTAAAATTCTTGCTTATGATTTCATTGACTTAGAAAAGTCCCTCCACGACTCGATTAGTCAAATCTTGAAAGTTTACCCTATTTCATGATCCTAACTTTAAGACTTCAGAGAAAAATTATAAGCTAGGAACATTTTGAAACATCATGTGAAATGATTCATGTAACTCACACCCTCAGTGAGTCTCATCGGCTCTTTCTTGGGCAATATTGTGTCAAGTTGCTAGATAATTTGATAGTTTGAAGATGCAAATTACGAAATTTAAACTACTAACAGCACCTGACTCTAAATATAAACAAGTATTCAAATGATCTGGTTATCTAGCACATTTGTTCCTAGATATTTTCAATATGTGAGGTGAAATAAAAGTTAGGCTCATTTTTTGTTGCTCAATTTCTACAATAGCACTAAAAAGCGAATAATTTATCTGCTTGCATTATAGATGAGCTCCGCAAGGAAAAAATATATTAACTTCAACGTAATTATTAAAATCAACAATAGTAGCCCCTGTTGCAGATGTTCAAGTAATTTACATGTTTTCATTTGCGAAGGTATCTGATTGCAGAATGCCAAAACCCAGAAAATGTTATATGAGCAACATTTTTAATGGCTCTTCACCTTTTTTAAAACGATTATCATACATTTAGCTTGAAATCGAATACTCTTAACAATATTTTCATACGACAACTATTTTTTCTTGCACCTAACCAAAACATATAAACTTATGGGTTTGCTAAGCTACGATACTAAAGTATTACGATGACAATTTCCAAGGTTTGGCACATAAATATTTCTTTTAGATCTAAGAGTTCGTTTCCAATTTGAAATAAGAATTTGTAAAAGTAAAAGCATTCATTGGTAAATTTTTTTAGCTCTTGCCTTCTTTGATTATCTCTTGAAATTTTCGTTGAGATTGTCAGAATTTCTAAAAGATTTCTTTTTTAAGCGCCAGTATATTTCATTCATGTTTTTGGTCTTATGGTCAAGTGTTCCTGTGAAACGTCAATTTTATCAAAACTTTCAGAGTGATTTGTTTTAGAACGTGAAGACTTTAATTGCAAATTATCATAAATTGAGTCCGATGCCTCTTCTAATGTATTTCCATATGTTTCAATAAACACAAAGTAAACAACAACTAGTTCAACGGCAAGTGTGCAGCAATAAACAATGTAATATTTCCAGTCAATTGAATCCATCGCCACTGGATTGACAAATCCGTTGTAAATAATGATTATATTCATGGCAACTTGAAAAAGATTTTGTCCTTTTGCTCTATGCGAATAAGGTAAAAACTCGGTGGTATATAAGTAAGGCAAACCATTGAGACCAATATTGTAGGCAGCATAATATAAGAAAATCATACCAAGGACTCCATTCCCAAGAGATTTTTGTTCAAAATTCCTCTTTTGGTTGATGGCAGATAAAACAGTCCAAATGACATAAAATATCAACATAAGCGCAACTGAAAATAAGAAAACTGACCTTCTTTTAAACTTTCCAACATATAGAGCTGCAACTGCAGCTGTAACTAAGTTATAAATCATCAATGCACCGTTGATTTCTAATTGACGTTTTTCTCCAGTTATACCTATTGAATCTAAAACCTTATTCAAGTAATAAGAGACTAAACCATTTCCGGACAAATTCAACATTGCCGCAAGAAATACAATGATAAAACCTCTTCTTCTGAATGAAGGAATTGTTATGAAGTCGCTGTATTTGGACTTTGAAGCAATTTCATCCAACTTTAAAGCGGCTTGAATTTCCTTAATTTCATATTCGACTAATCTATTCGCTTTCTCATCGAAAGAATTACCAGTGTGATATCTTCGTAATATGCGTTCGGCCTGCTTTATCCTTCCCTTGGAAACTAAATATCTGGGCGACTCTGGGACCCACCACATTAGAATAGCTTGGAGTAAGGGAAAAAACCCTTGTAGATATGATGGAATTTTCCAACAATAATCGTTATCTATCACTCTCGTACCATATGTAACCCATGCAGCAACCGTAGCGCCGAGGTACCAGAATACACCATAGGCTGAAGTACAGTCTGATCGATAGGATTTTAGCTTATATTTTTTAGCCAGGCTAGCTTCTCCTTCTTCTGATTCAGGATGCATGTCAGGAAAAGCTAATTCTGCAATGAGTGTTGGAGCAGAAACCGAAGAAAAACCGGTTCCAAATCCAATTATCAATCTTGTTGCCATGAAAAATCCATAATTGGTAGAAACACCTTGTAAAATAGATCCGATAACTGTAATAACTGACCCAATTATGATACAGTACTTCCTACCAATTCTGTCTGCAAACCATGCCGCACCGAAGAATGATAAGATTGTCCCAAACACCGTACCATTAGATAAAGCACCTAAGATTGAACCAGTTGGATAGGACATCGTTTCATTCCATTTGGAAAAGACCTGTAAACCATTGAGCATACTACCATCATAACCATAATTGGTGGAAGCCAAGGTTATAACGAAAATATGCCATGTCAATACTTGTAAATGTCGGTACGTGTACCATGGCTTTTCAAAACAACAAGACTCGTTCAAAGCTGAATGGTCGCTTTTAAGAATTTCAAGATTGATATCTGAACCAGCACTTCTTTTAAATTGGTCATCCTCTATTTGATTTACAGGCATTTTTGGAACAATTGACTCATTAACAGTTCAAAAAAGGTCACTTTTTTTTATCTTATAAGTAATTTCATTTCTGTGGCTCAAAGTATATGACAATTATTATTATCAAGACCACACAATTGGTGCATAAAAGAGCCGTCAAACAAGAAATGTATCTGGTCGCATAAGGCATGCAATCTTGTACATAATGTTCATCCAAATTTTGCAGGAAGAACTTCAGTAAAAGAAACTTTGTGGGTGTCATCTTTATGCTAATTTTCAAGATTCTTTGGTCCCTGCGAAGATTTCACCATTTAATGCAAATTTGGACATGATTTGTATAGTTTTAAGAAAAATAGTTTGCTGAAAAGTCCAGGGTTCTAAAAAGTGAAATGTATAACGGAAATTAAATTCCATAGTAGAGGTTTCAGAGGTAAATTTTCGGCTCGATGCCCAAAATAAGTATTAAATCCAATATATGTGGCTTTCATTTCGCATCTCATAATAGCATTTTAAAATTCGCCTATCGGGCCCTCGAATTATGCAGAAAAACGACGTTACAAAGGCTCGTATATATTGGAGAATATTCTTTGAAGCTATGTTTCCACAGTTTTATGTTTTCAAAAAGAATTCTGTTTCAATAAGAGATAGAAAAGGCTTCCATAGAGCATTAGAAAGAGCTCCGGTACCAGAATTTATCAAAATCTTAAATTGGCCATTGGAAGGAGCAAAATGAAATGTATTGATGAAATTAAGAGCTCAGTCCCTCCCGACCTTGAACCACGGTTTTCAAAGGTTAAACAATCATTAGTTAAAGAGAAGGACAAGACGGCCGTGACTAAATCTTGGAAGAGGCTTCTTTACGCTCTCGAAGTGGAAACACGAGAAATTGCAAAAGAGGGGCCATCCAGAATACCTACATTTGAATGGAAGGCAATTAAAGAAAACAAAGGATCTCTAACACAGGAACAAGAAAAACTTTTCAAAAAGAGAGGTGTTGCATTAATCAAGGGAGTGGTCGACTCTGCTCAAATTGATGATTGGTTTAATGAATTAGTTGATTTTGTTAAAGAAAACCCCGACACGGCAGGGTACAATTACCCCAATGAAGCTTCTTTTTACAATGTTTTTTGGACAAGACCACAAACCGAAGCTAGGTTTCACCCAAACATAGTCAAGTTGCTTAAGACTTTTTCTAAAGCCTTTTATGTTGAAGATGAGAAGAATTCATTTATCGATCTCGATACCCAAGTTGTCTATGGAGATCGAATTCGAATTCGACAGCCTGGATCAATTGCAGACTTGCCCTTACATTTAGACAGCTCGTCTATCGAGAGATGGGAAGATGATAAGTTCAGGGAATCGTACAGAGAAATTTTTGAAGGAAGATGGGAAGATTGGAGTCCGTGGAAGTTGGATAGTAGACAGTTTGCACAAGAGGATTTATATGAATTTCTCGGCGATGGAAGATCAACAAACTCGATTTGCTCATCATTTAGGACTTTGCAAGGCTGGTTAAGTTTATCAGATAATAAATCTGGCGAGGGAACATTGAGATTGCTTCCAAATGTCAAGCTCTCGATTGCATATATTTTATTAAGACCTTTGTTTTGGAAAGATCCAGAACTGGGAAATGTAGATGACTACCAAATTGACTTGACAACTCCAAAATTCCCTGGAACGCTTCCTTCTTTCGGGGAAATAATGCTAGAAGATAAGTTCTTTCCTCATCTTCGCCAAGCACAGTCTGTTGTGGGAATACCTGATGTAAATAAAGGGGATTTTGTCTTTTGGCATGCAGATATACCGCATGATGTCGACAGAGAGCACAATGGTCCTAGCCATTCGAGTGTCTTCTACTACGCCCTAACTCCCCTTGCGGCAGCAAATATTGGTACACTATTAGATACTAGGAAATCTTGGTTGGGAAATGTGTCACCCATAGACTACCGATCTCAGTTGCCGCCAGGAACCAAAGAGTATCAAGGTGCAGATACAAGAAATTTAAAAGACGATGACTCAAAAAGAGCATTAGGACTTTTGCCCTTTGAACTTGATGGTGATTTAGACCCTTCTCAAATCAATATTAGGAAACTAGCTAACGCTGCTCTCGACAAGGGAGAATTTGATTTTCATAAATTTTTAAAAGAGAGACATATAATATGAGTTGAAGAAAAGCTCTTAGACGCTAAGTTGAAACAAATTTTACTGTAGTTTTCTGAATGTTTGAAAGAAAAAAAAATGGAAAATTCATGGTCTATCTATTTCAATAGGCTATTACGACCTACTTCTTTTGTTCACATTGCTCAAGAATTTCATAATTTAAAAAATAAAGTGAGTAGCAATTTATGACGTGGCTTGTTGAATAGAAAAGAGTGCAATTTCCATTGAATTCTAATTAATTAAATGTAATTTATCTTCATGAAGTCTCATGTAAACTATATTAAACCAATTAGCAAAATTAGGATGTGTAGCTAAAGTTAAGCTGTCTTAAGCTATGTTTGTACAATTTGGGCCTAGAAAGATCGCAGAAAATTTGAACTAAATTCTTATTCTTGGAAGATCATCTGATTAGAGTCGTGTCATTTTGAACAAGATGCAGATAATCTTAGTTTGCAGAACAACTGTTATATTGCATCAGTCGGTGCTATAAATAAGAAATTAAAAATTTAAAGAAAAAGTTTTGGTAAATTAAATTGGAAAAGAAATAACGACATTGTGAGGGGAGGGAGGCATGTCGAAGCTTGTAAAACAGTGTAAGGAGACTTTCAAAGTCCCTTCTTGTACCTTTGAATATAAAATTATAATTATAATACGATGTTTTCAATGGTGATAGCTCAATTATGCATGATGATTATGACTTAAAGTAAAGCAATAAATCCCTCTTTTCTTACTCTTATCCAATTCTTATATTTAATTTTTTAATATTTGTTGAATTAGTGTTCATCTTTCTTATTAAATAATAAATCGTTCGTTGAAAGACTAAGCCTTGGTCGAAACCGATTTTTGAAAGCAATAAAATACCATAAAAAGGAGCTTTTAATTAGGCAAAAAAGTGGTGTGTCCTCTATACCTCTAGGAGACCTGAACTTCAATTTTTATCTGTGGTGTGGCGAGCAAACCCACGAAATACAGTCTTTGTTGACTAGGACACGTGAGATTTGCAGTTAAATATTATCGCCTTATGAAAACTAGAAGCTGTGGTTTGAGTGGTATGTTCCATTAAGTATTTAAATATGGATAATAATTAGGAAAAAATTTCTATATAAAATGATCTGAATTATAACATGAGTAGCAGCAGTATTGAAGAAAAAAAATCGCTGCAGGCTTTTCTGCTTGACAGGAAAGAAAAGGAAATCGTAATAGAGGAAGATTTAGAGTCAATTCAAGATGATCAAAATTCGGATGTGGTCAATGATAAAAAATTATTTAGAAAGTTGGAGCAAAGACATATTCAAATGCTCGCATTGATAGGTATATTCGGAACTGGACTCTTTCTTTCTTCTGGAGCAACCCTTGCACTAGTGTAAGTAATAAATTTTATTTTGAAAAGCGCTTTTTACTAATTGAGTATAGCGGAAATGTTGGAATGGTCGTATCTTACCTATTTGTAGGTATTATAGTTTGTTTGAATCAAATGGCAAATGCTGAGGTTTCCTCATTTATGCCGTTGACAGGCTTTTATATAAAACATGCTGAGCATCTTATTGACGAAGCTTATGGTTTTGGATTAGGTTGGATTATGGTATATCAAACAGTAGTACCTTCTGAATTATCGGCAACTGCAGTTGTAATGTCATATTGGTCTGACCTAAACCCAGCAGTGTGGATTACAATTTTTGGAGTTTTGATTGTTGCAACGAACTCCTATAGTGTTAGGTTTTATGGAGAATTTGAATATGTTTTAGGCGTCGTTAAAATAATCTTGATACTAGGGCTTTTTCTAGTTAGCCTTGTTATTGACTTAGGAGGTGTCAAGGGTCAAGGAAGGATCGGTTTCAGATACTGGAAAGAGACACCGTGGAATGAATATTATACTTCAGGCTCATTGGGTCGTTTTTTGGCCTTCTGGGAATGTGTATCCGGAGTGGTATACTCCTATGGAGGAGTTCAATTTATTAGCATGTTTGGAGGAGAAACAAAATATCCACGCAGGAGCATTTTCGTGGCAGCAAAGAGAATTGGTATGTATTACATTTTGAAGACCCCAAGACTCTACTAACAATGCTTTCAGCGATCAGAGTACTCACTCTTTATATTTGTATTGTTTGGGTCTTAACTATGATCCTTTCTTCTAAGGATCCTAGTATTGCATCCCCAACGGGAAATGCTGAAGGGTCCCCTTTTGTAATTGCTATTAAACGAGCAAATATTAGGGTACTTCCTCACATCATAAATGCTGTGGTTTTGTCTTCCGCCTTCTCTGCCGCAAATTTGGGTTTGATGCAGGGCTCAAGAGTATTATTTGCTCTAGCCTCAAAGGGTCAAGCTCCCAGCATATTTTTGAGAACAAATAAAAGGGGTATTCCTTACGTTGGTCTCATATTCACCGCGGCGTTCTTGCCGTTATCTTACATGTCAATTTCGACTAGTTCTTCAACAGTATTTCTGTGGTTTCAAAGTATTACATCTTCAAATTTACTTATTGGCTGGATTTCGATTTCCTTGAACCATATCTTTTTGATGCGTGCTTTGAAAGCACAAGGTTATTCTAGAGCTGATTTACCTTACACTTTCAAATTTGCACCTGCTGCTGCATGGATCTCATTATTTTTCTCTTTACTAATTCTACTTACTTGTGGCTTTGCAAATTTTTTGAATCATAACTTCGATATTTCATCTTTCTTCAGCTCCTACTTCGTTATTCCATTGATTTTAGTGTTGACCTTATTTTGGAAGATTTTAAAAAGAACAAAAGTTAAAAGGCCAGAAGAAGTTGATTTGAAGACGTTCTTCAAAGAAATTGAAGAAAATCCCGAGCCTCCCATAGACAGACCAAGGGGAAAAGAATGGCTATTAATTCTCTGGTCTTAAATAATATAAGATGACGAGCCTCATTTAACTCTTCTTTAAAGTCTTTAAAATATACATTAAGTTATAAATTCAAAAGGAATTGAACTCTTGAATTGCATTTGCGATTTATCATACAAAAACTTTTAATGGTCCTAGAATTCAAAAATTGAACGCATAGTATTTTTCGCTTTTGACTTTTTGTTAATGAATTTGGATGCTTTGAATGTCATAGAAGAAAAATGTTTTTCACTCTAAGAAAAGCTTCTTTCATACATTAAAAATTTGCCCTAAAATAGAGGAGAAATATTCTAACTAGTTACTGTTAGGAACTTTGTGAAAAAAAGACTTGAATCTAAAAATCTTAATCCTCGAAGTGGACTAATAGTCCTGGTGTGAATCCAATGAAAAAGACGAAATTGTGCGCACTTTTTTGTTCCCTACCTTGGAAGACTACTTCGAGATTTCGGTGGCCATTAGAGTGGACTAAATTGTTTAGTTTGTTCCGAGTTGATAAGAACGCGTTCAACAAAACTATGAGATCTATTAGAAATCTAGGTCCAAATTCAATTGAAAAAATCCTATGCTTAATATTTTACTAATTATTTATGTCAAGGACCACGCCATACGACCGAAGTTCGACCACTTCGTGTCCATGTAATCGCTTACCAACAAAGTCAGTTTTACATATTATTTATTAAGTCTCTCACGTGCTCTAATAAGTTTTGGTTGTTTTCGAGTATACATGATGTGCAGTCATGTAGTAATGGGTATATTGAATTGTGCTGCGCTGGATGGAACCGTATGTGTCAAAGAAAAATTGAGCTAATCCTACCGTATTGCATATATGCCAAAAAATAGAAATATTTCGTATCGGAAGGATTACCGTAAATAGTAAGGACAAAATTTAAAGAGAGTATGGAGGCGGAGAGTATTATAAATAAATACATCCTATAAATACAGAAGAATGGAACTTAAATAAAATATGAAGTAAGTCAGGATTAACTATGATTTCTTTCCAAAGGACCAGCAGGACAAGAGCAACTCTCTTATTACTGTACTTAGTCATTTCTACGACTATGCCGTTTTTGTTATCTTATCGAGTATCCTATCGAGAGTCGCCTGATAAATCTTATGTTGTTAATTAGGTACTTCACAGCAATCTCCACTATGTTCGAAAATTCGTGCATTGCAAAGACATGAAAATACGGCAAGAAAAGACAAAAGTATTCTCATTCTATCATTACTTTACTATTAATTGAAAGTGAACTACTTTTTCAAATTTATAAGATGTGAGACTACTATGGCCTTACTCAGATGCAATTTTCAGTTCGCTATACATTTTAAATTTTTATGGGTTCGTTTGATTTCTCTATAAGAGGCTCTTCCCGAATGAAGGATGAACTCAATGAAAAGTATCTTTTTGGGAACATAATAATAGTTTTAAATTAAACAAGGTCTTTATTTGTAACATGAATTCGGCCAATTTAAGAAAACCCAAAACTACAAAAAATCTTTACCCTGTGATTGCTCAAGGAAGATTTTGAAAAATATGAGCCGTTGTTTAAGATAAACCCCAAAATTTTTTCATGGACTTTATGTTGAGCCTCGCTAATTCCCAAGATGGCATAGAAAATAAATCATCAATCTCTTCCAAGGTTTTATCCTTTGTTTCGGGCATATATAAAATCTGGTAAAAAAATCCTATAAATGCAATCCCACCGTAAAAACCCAAAACTAATCCTGTGGAAGTCATAGCGCTTTGCATTTTCGTGAAGTTATAAGTCACTGTGAATGACCATAGATAAAGAAACGCTGAACAGATTGACATACCAATTGTTCTTGTTCTCACGGCAAAAGATTCAGAGGGACAAACCCATTGCAAGCAAGCATAAGAGCCAAAAAATGCCATGTATAATATAAGACCAGAAAGATAAACACCTTCTGCTGCTGCAAGGTTCCTTTGTAAATTAATTTCATAGCCGATACCCATTAGTACCAATCCAACAAAGAAACCTACAATATTTAAACCCCATTTACGTCTGCCAAATTTGTCCATCCAAAATACAGCTGGAATTGTTCCTATTAGCAATGATCCACCACCAACTAAAGACATAAATACCGACTTTTTCTCATCAAACCCAATTCTTGACATTAAAGTAGACATATAATACATTACAGCATTAACTCCTGTTAGCTGACCCAACGCTACCATCAAAACGGCGTAGATTAAGGCACGACGATTACGTGGAACCGATATCAAATCTAACCAGACTTGTATCCTCGTTTCTTCTCTTTTACGATCCAATTCTTGCTCAACTACTTGAACCATTTCTATGAATTCAATCTTATTATCAACAACCTCAAGGTCTCTGAGTCTCTTCCAAACCGAAAAGGCTTCGCCAATTTTTTGCTTATAGACCAAGTAACGAGGAGACTCAGGGAGAAATAAACAACCTATCAATAATAAGGTTGAAAAGACTAATGACGATCCAACCATAAATCTCCAACCACCATCAACTTCGTAAAATATTGCAGCCACAGCATAGCCCAAAACTTCCCCTAGTGCAATATTGAATTGATATAAGGACACTAGACTCCCCCTGACCGAGGGTGGCACTGATTCTGCTATATATATACCAACACACCCACCTTCAATTCCAACGCCTATTCCTAGAATAAATCTTCCGGCGTACATCATCTGGTGAGAATGCGAACCTGCACAAAGTGCCGCTCCCAAGGTGTACCATAGACACGAAATAATAATACTTTTTTTCCTACCAGCATATTCGTTTAATGGAGTCATCATAATAGAGCCGGCTGTTGCTCCCAACGGCATCAAACTTGAAACTAAGGAATCTTCATGAGAATTAAGGTGAAGAGATTTTCGCATCCCTATCGATGCCCCACTTATAATCGATTGGTCTAGTCCTGATAAAAGACCTGCTGCTGATGCAAAAGCTCCTAGAACAATTACCAACGTCTTCGTATCCCTAAAATTTACAACAAACTCTAAATTTCTAAGCCTTTCGAAAAAAGTTGAATTTGTGTTGACTGTTTCGCTCAATTTCTCAAACCCAGCAATCTGTTTGTCCAAGTCAATTCCAAGAGGTAAAGTGTACTCAGTCTTTTCAGTATCATCTTGGAAAACATCACTTGCCAGTGATGACTTATCAATTTCTTTCAGTTCAGTAATTTTGAATATATGAACTTTGTAATATTAAGGGGAAAAAATAAAAAGTAAGACACTGGAATTATTTATTTCACAATAGAATAGAGTAAACTCACCTGTCCCTTTGGTATCACTCATGTAATTTTTTGCCTTTCAAAGGTAAAAACATCCTTTTATAGCGCTAGAAGAATTATCGAATTAAAAGATTTTTATTAACAATATTGATACCGGATTTGCGGGGAACTGTAACAGTTAAGATTCGTCGTAAGGAACACTTCGAAATGTGGAGCATTCTTGTCAAATATGGTACGCGTTTAAGAATTCTGCATCATCTAGTACTAGATCAATGTATTAAATCGGTAGAAATTTTATCTGGGGAAAAGTGTCGGGCGGATTACCGAATTAAGATATATAAAGTAAAGGATCGCATAAAAATTTTTTTGGTCGGATGGAATACCTGATAAGGTCGAGAATAGGTTTGAAGTATCAGCGGGCGGTATACCTCATTGGGGTAACTTTCAACCACTTTAATAGCTACTCATACATAAATGATCGATTTCGCAAGCAGTGAACAGGCACTTTTAGAAGTTAACATTTATTCTTAAAATGCCTTCTTCAACAACAGAAAGATTAGGAATCGAGCAAACAGGCTTCCGCAAGTTTGATATTTCAAAAGCCAAGGTAAGAGGCGAGGGTGACATTTCCTCAGTTTTTGCATCATTTGATAGCACGGGGCTCGCCGATAGACTTCCCTCCGTTTACGCGGAAATCAAAAAAAGCTTAGTTAAGAATCCCCAGCAGCTCAAAGACAGTTGGATTAGGTTGAAAAAGGCTCTTTCAGAGGGTATTGAAGAGATTAAAAGAAATCAAGAATCTATCGTGCCCTCCGTAGACTTCAATGACCTCTGCAATGTGAGCGGTGAATTGCGAGAGGAAATTTTGAAGCGTGGTTCTCTTGTGGTCAGAAATGTAATTCCCATGAATGAAGCCCGTCGTCTCAAGGATGACATATCTGACTATATTGATTCGAATCCAAATACCAAAGGGTTTCCGAAGGATAAAAGAGTAGTTTATGAGTTGTATTGGTCGAAATCACAAATCAAGGCAAGATCCCATCCAAATGTGGAAGAGACTATGAAGTTTATGAATAACTTATGGGTCGCTTCGCCAGATACTGAAATCTGTCTTGATCAAAACATTTCGTATGCTGATCGTTTAAGGATCAGAAATGCTGGGGATGCCCTTTTTTCTTTAGGTCCACACGCAGATGGGGGCTCTTTGGAAAGATGGGAGGACCCTGAATATCGTGAGTGTTATAAACCAATTTTTGAGGGAAAATGGGAAGAATATGAGCCGTACGATGCCAGTCATAGAATAGGGGCTAAGCAAGATTTGCATGACTCTAGAGGCACTTGTAGCGTATTCAGGTCATTCCAAGGCTGGTTAGCAGTTTCAGATATTGCACCTAAAGAAGGTACCATTTATTTTGCTCCTTTGGTAAAGGAGGTCACCGCATACTATATGCTAAAACCATTTTTTGACAAAAATGATAATTTGAAGCTCGACTCAGATATACCAGGAGCTTTTCCAGGAAAAGGATTGGAGTTCAGTGATGATTCACATCCGGAGTTAAAACTTGAAGACATTATGGTTCCCACACCTAGAGTGAAGCCAGGAGACATGGTGTTCTGGCACTGTGATTTAATTCATGCTGTTGATCCCGTTCATAATGGCACTAACGACTCTTCTGTTTTTTATATTCCCTCAGTACCGTTGTGTCCGTCGAATATTGAATACGCATTTTTACAAAGAGAAGCATTTTTGAAAGGGTTGGCTGGTCCTGATTTTCCAGGATTTCCAAACGGAATAGCTGAGACAGAGCATATCAATAGAGGGACCCCTGAAGATGTCGAAAAGACAGGTGGAAAAGCAGCCATGCAACAATTCTGTTTGGCTAGGTTCGAAGAAAAGAAAGGATATACTTCGGGTGCGAATAAGGCAATAAGAAATGCTAATTCTCGCTTATTTTATTAAAGTGGTAGTATATTGATTTGCAAGGATCAAGCCTTTACTGATATGTAGCTATTTTTATGTTGAAATGTTAACACTGAATTTAATGATAAGTAACCCAGTAACTATGTCGTAGACTGCCTAACGATTTTGTAGTACCTATGAGATGAACTGTGACTAGATCGGTACCTAGGAGATAATTCCGAGGACTGTATATAGGAGTACGAAGTTTTGAAGAAGTCTTTGTTAATTATGTCACTCTCAACAGCTGTTCGAACAAATACGTTTGCTTTACATTTCTTTAAATATACCTTTCTTTGATAGGTTACGGTAAAGGTAAATGTCTGGCTTTATAATATCTAAATATTCTGTATCCAAGCGAACGGTAAGTTATTGAAGAAAGTACCATATTGTTAGAGGTGTATACTAACGTTATTTTATTCTAGCGTTCACTAATAGCTTGCGAACGTTGCCGAAAGCTTCACAAAAGATGTAAAATAGACCAAGGTACTTCAAGCTGCAAGCAATGTCTAGACAAGTCTTTGAAGTGCGTTTGGCCCAACAGTATGAACGATGGGAATAATATCAAAGTTGATCGTGGAAATATGTTCGACAAGGAAGATGAAAGAGAACGCATATATGAATCTATATTTCAAAACAGTGACCAGAGGAAACCTCAGTTTATTTGTGCAACACAACCTTTAGCCCTGCTTTTGAGCAGGGATTCTTTCCTTTGCTTTGATGGCGATGATTTAGGTCTTTACTACCCATGGAGAGGCGTACATGAGGAGAACAATTACGAAAATAACCACCTAGATGAAGAATTCAAAAAGTTTCTCCGTAGCAAGGATGCATTTAGTGTTCCTCCAATTCAAGAGCAAAGACGTTTGATTCTGCTCTATATCAGCAATATTTATCCCTTTTATCCTGTGGTTGATAGAAAGAGCCTAGATGACATCAAAAGTATTCCTTTAATATTATTGAATGCAATTTTTTTAAGTGCAATTCGATTTGATTCATTACAAAATGAAAAAGATATTCGTCCTAGGCTACACCATTTTTACCAACGCTGTAAACAATTAGAACTATTGGAAACGAATAAGATTACTTTGATTCAGTCGTATTTACTATTATCAATGCACGAAGAAGGTATAAACGGAGCTACATCATCGAAGGAGTACGTTACTAAAGCTTGCAATTTATGTGGAGAATTAGCTATCACCAATATTAGTGGATCTAATGGAATATCAATGTCCTCTAATCAAGCAGATCACCTGCATTCATCATTTAAAAAGGTTCTGTATGGAAAAAACTTTTTGAGAAGACTATTTTGGGTTTCCTTTTGCTGTGACCGTCTTGTCTCAGCGACCTGTGGGAGGGAGATGTACTATAATGTTGCTGATTTGATGATTGATGAATTAACTTTAATCGACTTTAATGAAGGAGAGTATCAGCAGTCTGACTATATGATATTTCGATCTTGGATACGTATTTGTCGGTTAATTGATCGTATTCAGTGTTCTTTATATCGCCCTCCAAAAAACAGGACAACGAATGATTGGACACTAGAAGAGGACTTATTTAGCTTCGTAATTGACGATGCAAACCTTATAGAAGTCAAGTTCCAAAAGTTTTTGTTATTATCCCATGCATATGTCTGCATATTATATCTTCGTTCCAAAGTCGATGCCATGTCGTTAATGGTCAACAGCATTGAACTTAGTGGTGAGCAAGTCAAGTCAAGAGGCAACTACATAGATCAGATTCATTACTATTCCTCTGAAATCGTGGAAATAGCTGAATCAACGGAGGTTATACATCACATTCTAGTCGTTCACGCAATAGTTCATGTCATTGCTTTAATGCAACTTGAATCCAAGACATACATTAACGAAAGGGATAAGGCAAAAACGAATTTTGGCCTTTATTTTAGCGAAATGATGAACAGATGCGCTGCACTACTAGAAAGGAGTAGAGGATATTGGTGGTTTGCTGGGTCAGCTCTTCGTCTTTGTAAAGTAATATTTTCATACGATGATTCTGTATCGCATAAAATACAGTGAACTAGATATCAATCATCCTAATGTCACGATCGAACTAATAGTATCGACGAACTTATAGTATATTACCATTTGACAGATCTCATATAGGAACTGAAGCTTGGCGCATTCTTTTAGGAAAAGGCTCTAGTGTATACTTAAATCGTTACTCCCTTTTGATAATTTTTTGACTCTAGTTATTGTTTGAAATTCCGGTCACAACTTCCTATTCGAAAGACAAACTTAAAGCTTTTTCGACCGGCGAAATAGCTGGTATCTAATGAATTAACTTTGCTGACACATTGCCTATTCTATTCGAATAACGATTCTTTTAGATACTATCTATATCGTATATTGCAGTGACTTTATCAGGCAAGCTATGCACTTTTTATAATGATGGTGAAATATAGGAATGAAAATTGGGTGATTATCGATATTTTTTTTTCAATCCACCCATACATGAGCAGATTTAGTAATCGTTATTTCTTTTGTCGACTAAAAACTATGGAACTGAAAAATAATTAAAGCGAGAGATGAACGCTCCGACATGAAAATGCCTTGCCTTAGGCTTTTATAAGCTTTTATAAACCTGAAGAGCAAACATTATTTTTTGTTGTCCAAAACAGAATATTCCTCAGTCTCAGGCGTCTTTTTTAACGTCCGCTGGATTGTCTTGTGCTCGACTTGACGCACCATAGCCCCTATCTTTGAGAAGTGTTTATAGTGAAAGGAACATATTGCAGTTCAGAAAAAAAATAGGTAAATTTAAAGTTGACCTTTCAATCTAGAGACTCATTTCAAGGAGCTAATTAGCGTTATTATCATTTTGTCCAAGAGGGTAATTCACATTTTCTTGCAGAGTAATTCACAAGTGTGATTAACGTCAAGGCGAATAGCTTTATTGCAACTGCTAAAAGTTAGTTGCTTACTTTATTGTTGACTTCTGAACAAAGGGACCTTCTACTGAAGAAGTTTCACATTCGGGTTTTTTTCCAGCAATATTGGGTTCTTCTTAGTTTGTAGAACTACAATAAACCTGGATGAGATTGTTTATGATGAGTAAATAAACAAATCAAAATGCAACGCAACGCGATGGAAGAAATACAACGAATACCATGAATAGGACTCTTCGCAGCGACATACCTCTATCGTATCTATACTAAAACAACGAAGGACTTTTAATGAAAAAGTGATAGGTAATTTCTTAAGAGTATAATATAAAGGTAAATTCTACTTGCTGTTGACTTTTAAATAGCAATTTTACATAAAATGTCTACCAATTGAGTAGCGAAGGAACATCATAGAACAAAATCTTGATTTTATTTGTTAGAATTGTCAAGTGCGATTATCTTGACTTATCCGAAAAAAAAGTCGATAAACGAAAAGCTGAGTTTGAAAGGTTGCGAAAAATGGAATGCGAAGCCAAATCCTATTCCGGAAAAGCCCCAAAATTATAATTTGGAGATTGAAAGGGCCGCTGGTAATTTATTTTTTCAGCTACAATCTTACAGGACTGCGCTTGTCTAGGTATGCAGTTTTAACTTCTAAAAGTCTTGGATTTACGCAAAACTCCTGCTCTAAATCCTCAACCATTCTTTCTAAAACTTGAGCCGCACCATAAGAAAAGGAATAGCCTCCGCCATTAAAACCATAAGCGTGTAATATGAATTTGTTTTCTTTCACTTTTTCCTTCTCTAAGCGAAATCCTCCTTTTCTTGCAGGACGAATACCAACAATATATCCTGCTATATCAGGGTCCTCAGAAACGACATCAGGCGCCAACTTATTTGCCCTTCTTAATTCATCCTCAACTATTGCCTTATCTATATTTGAATGGGTCTGATTTTCTTGATTCACGCCTCCACAAACAACAACCCCTTGCAAAGGTCTCGGAATAACATACGTGTACTCATTTCCATTTCTGCTGAATGCCTTATCTGTTTTTGTTTTGACCAAAACATTTTGTCCCCTATTGGGAAAACTATTTTCATCGTACAATCCTTCAATATACTTAGGACCAACTCCTGAGGCATTGATGAAAATTATTGTATTTGGAAAATCAATGTAAAGCTCATCTACCGACTTTATCTCCTTACGGATAAAATTTCCGCCCAATTTTTGTATTTCATTCTTTAAAAAATGAAGATACCTAGGTGGTTCAATTGAAACTGTTTCGTACTCACAGCCATATTCAAATTGTTTATCTTCATATTTGCATTTATCCATATCTCTAAATTTAGGATTAACCCCAGAATACCATAACTGCTCTAAAGTATCGGGCCTCTTCTCAAAAAATTCTTCTACCCCTATGACACACACTCCACATTTAGGGTCGGTTCGAGCATCACTCATAAATTGTCTGTACGACACGGCTTGCATGTATCGTTGATCATCATTAGGCAAAGAACGTCCTCCATGCCACAAAGCGCCTGCCCAGTTAGATGCATACCATATGTCGGTGTCTCCAGGCAAGTGCTTTGCAACTGTAGTCACCTTGAACCCTTTTTGCAATAGAGTCCTAGTTATTGCGCATCCAATTATTCCGGCTCCCAAAACAACGATCTCGCGGTCCTGAAAGGTTTGATCTAACTTGTATGCCATCTTTTTAAGATCAATCTTTGATTTAAATGGTTTCGGATAAATATCTAAGGGAAGACTTGCAATATTTATAGTATTGGGGTTTTTCCTATTTGGGCATTTTATACGAAGATTTCGCACCACGCATTATCTAAAGGAAGGAGATAATGAAACAGGAAAGAAATAAGAAGCTTTTATTTAACCATTTTTGGAGTCCTTTCGCAACACATAGTTGGACAAATAAAAACTTTTATACTATTTTGAAAGGCAGAAAATATTCTCAAAGCTTCTACTCCTTTATCAGCTTTGCTTGTCCTATATTCATAGGAAAATATACGAAAAACGTTCAATAATGTAGTAAAACAAAAAGCCATACCCTTTCATGTACTAGATTATGCATTTCTACAAATTGAAGTATATGATTTGAAAAAAGCTGATGTCTGTTTAATACAATCTGATGTGCCATGAAAGCCCCAGAAATAATCCAGATCCAACATAAAACACTGTGGTAATAAAATTACAAAAGGATTAACAAAACTAGTTATGAGATGATAAGTAAGGAGTATTCTTAACATTGAACAGTTCTTACCAAATTTAACTGACAGCTAAGATGATGGCTTCCATAATTATCAAATAGAAAACTGATAGTTATATTTCTCTTCAAAGCTATATAAACAATGTTTTAAATTCGTATAATGGCTACATGGTGCCAAGCATACGTCTCCTAAATTCAGTACATCAAATCTTCCGTAATATGTCATATCTAAACCTCAATTTGGTTTGTGTTTGTTTCCCTTTTACAAAACTACAGCCTGAGCGTCTAGAAAGGACGTTTGGTTAATTGACACAGGTTTTGAGAGTCAATTGAAAGAAATAGTTCGCTTTAAGAAAGGTAAATAATTTTTTGAAGGCAACCTATTTTGATGCGACGGAAACCCTTTGAAGCTCATCATAATTCTGCAAAATGAACTTCATTACAGAATCTATTATGGATAACATAGCGTAAATAAAATAAAATGGGTCTCATCAACAGCCATACTAGCAACTAGAGGTTGAATATTCGTACATGTCTTCACAAACAATATTTTTGTATCCAAGGCTCCTCTTAATGCAGTGCCCCATGAGCTTTGCATATTCTTGGCAAATATGGGACTCGCATTTCTCATACTCAGTATAGAACAAATTGAGGAGCCCTACTGTGTGATTTTTCCCCGAAATACTATTTAATATACTTGCACAAGTGTCGGCAGCTTCCATTTTTCGAAAATCATTTGTTGTAAAGAAGTTAGAGAAAATACCTTTTATTTTCCTAAGATAATCAAAACCGTTAATTTTGGAGCTTTCTGCTAATTCTTCAATGGACTTAAAGCTTATGTTCTCTAGAAGAAAACCTTCAGGGCCCTCCAAACAATAGTTATATGCCCATATTACAAAAACTAATGAAGCAACGATATTAGGACGATAAAGTAAGCAATCAGTTCTTGGTTCGTAAACTCTAGACATGTCTTTGGGCCCTACTAATAAGATTTCTGAAATAAACTTATAAGCATGTATGACCGAGATCTTTCCGCTTGGCGATACCGCCCATTCGTGAATTCGACGACTGACAGCTTCATAGTCAGCGACATCTGTTTTCACGTTCATCCGACTTGGTGCACCAGCATATATTATACAATCGTATTGACTGAGACGAAGGAATACCTGTGATACATGGTAGAGAGGAAGCTTGCAAGCGGAGTCCTCAAAGCTAGCTAGCTTAGGTCTGTCGCCAAATGGGGTGTAAAAAGTAATTCTTCCATCGCAGCATGATCCGTGGCATATACTATCTAGCCAAAAATTCATTGCATTGAAAATTGTATCCTTCCATGACTCTCTTGTACGCTCATTTTCAAGCATCTTGATGTGAAAATTTTCTTTTTCAATCAGAAAAACTACCATAAGTAGGCCAGCAAAGACGACTTTCCTGCTAAAGGGCCCAACTTCAAATTTCTCATTGTGAAGTAGTTTTGATATCGCAGCAAGAAATTTGATAGTTTCCGTCTGGGGTGGCAAATTATATTTGTCAATTCTCGACATCTCCCAAATAGTGTCATCGCAAGGCAATGACAACTTAACCTGCTGGATTGAAACAACGGTCTCATGCCCAAAAATTATTGCGTGAGTAGCGTCTATTAAACATGCCATCAAAGCGCATCTTTTTAAAGACTCACTTTCAATCCATCTTTTCCAAGCGTCTCCTTCTTCATCCAATTTCTCTTCATGCTTAGATGAAGTCGATCGGTCACAGCCTAAGAATGGGCTTCTCCTTAATAACTGAAAAGTTAGGCCACGATGTAAATATGCTCTTTGATGCAAAATTCGTGTCGAGCTTGTCATTTCGTAACATTCTAAAATAATCAAACTTTGAATGAGCCATGGGGTAGCAGGGGGTGTCGAATCAACGGCCGAAAATATTTTCCACCTTAGCGGAACAGCAATATTGTCAGCGAGATGATGGGCATTTTGAAATAAGGAAAAATCGTTTTGCACGTGTGACACAAAAGAAGCACCAATAGCGATCATACTCAACAAAAGTAAAGGATGAGCTTCCTTTGCAGAAAATGAGGATCGATGTAAAATTGGGTATTGAACATGGAATACAAGCCAGTAGTTTTCAAGACAAAGTTCGATGTGTTCTACTCGAAAATCAGGGTTAGATTCTAGACTAGGTATATATTTCAACATCTTGTCTATGGATCCGCGATCCACTCCTGTTTGGTCACTTGTAGCATAATATGGAGAAGCATTTAACATCTCGTTAAATGCAGAATTAGGCGAATAGTCCATAACATTAAATGATGAATAACGATTCTCCATCGAATATGATGTGTCATCAAACAACCAGGACATTAGATCGGGAAGCAGATGATTTGCTCTGTCGCTTTCATTCAAATCAAGTAGAATCAGGGAAGAAATATCAGGAATTCCCTCAGCTACTGATTGATCTCTTGGTAAAAGTTCATTAGTATTCGCAGTATTTTCTCCGTTGAACAGTAATTTCATTCTATCCAATTTTCCTTTCATATTATTGTTTAATTCTGCTGAACTTCCTTTTTCATAATTTACACCTTTTACTTTGGGAAAAACACCATCATTATGACTGTGACTTTCTGATAAGAAGGTCAGCTCGGAGCTTAAAAACCGTATCGGTCGGCTCTTTTTCAAACTTTTGCTATGTTCTCTTGCTTGATGCCTCTCGAAATGCTTTTTTCTAACATCCTTTCTAACAAATTGCTTGTTACACCCTGGCCAGTTGCACGCGTATAAGGAACTCCTAGTATGATTTTGTCTGTGCCTAGCTAGATGATCAGATCTTTGAAAAGATTTGTTGCAACCTTGTTCCTCACAAGAATAAGACTTAGCATCAGGAACCAGAGCTATATTTTGCCTCATAGTCATATAAGCGCCTGAGTCATATCAATAAATCAGGTGGAACTTAAAGGGATTTTACTTCTAGTGAGAAATCTTGCCTTAATTTAAAGGTTGAGAGGCATATCGACGTGCACGACTCTTCTACGCTGATGTCAAGGATGGTTCCAGACTTCTCATGACATGAATACTCAATCGAGCTTAGGCTTCTCCTGTTACATATTTCTAATAATGAGAGATCTTCTGTTCTTTCTAAAAAAAAAAAATACAGTAAGAATTGAAATAACCTTCGATCAAGTCCCCGCTCCAACTTCGATGAGAAAGACATAACTCAGAATATTTTTAATGTAACGTAATGGTACCAATTTGGTAAAGATATATCTTATATGCTTTACATACCTAAATAACTATGAAGTCAAAATCGAAACTTATTTTTTCTTCAAAAGTAAATCTATAGTTTTTTGGTAAAGGAGGACCACATGCTTCACTTCCAACACCGTGCTGTCTATAATCTAACCTGATATACCTAGTTCCGTGCTGTACATCAAATGGATGTTTGGCTTTTTGTAAGTTGTATTCGTCGGAAAGTTTGAATCCGAATTTCTTGTCTGCTTGGATTAAAAGATCCTTCTTAGATTCTGCTTTTAAAATTAGCCATTCGGTATCCTCATGATTTCCATTCTCTTGGGGATATTCATATGAGTAGTTCAAATCCTTGAAGTCAACGTCAAACACGTCAATCCTTTGAGAAAGTTTTTTATCAGCATAGCTTTCACCTGGACCTCTACCAAACCATCTTACGCTGTCACCTATTTCATTGATCGAGAATTCATAGCCGAGTCGAGGTAAACTCTCGGGTAAAAAAGATCTGTGAAATGCACTCGCGCTCAATACAGTTCTAACTTTTAAACCATCACTATAAATTTCATAAATCTGCTTGGCTTTAAAGCCCCAGGCTAACGATGGGGGAGCGATGAAAGAATCGACCGTTATTTTGCAAATCATTGCATTTCCTGGAAACTCCTCTAGCTGCACAGATTTTACGTTGAGACGCATCATATGCAAACCAAATTTTTTCCAATGAATTGCATCCGCTTCAGCATCATTGTTGATACTAGCTCTCCAAAATGTCAAATTGTTATGACCCGGAATTAAGTATTCCTCCCCATTATTCTTCCAGCTCACAATCAGTCCGCGCTTTTTACAAAATTCGAAATAAGATAATTCCAGCTTGACAACAATATTTCTTTGAGATTCCTTTACGTTAAAATGGGAAGGCTCTAGGGTACTGCAATGTTTCGCAAGTCCAGTTCTTCTATTTAACTCGTATTGTCCCCAAGCGATTAATGTGTTCTTGGGTATCCCGAGTTGTTCAAGCATTGGCTTCACTTCAATTAACAAAATCACATTGCACATCGATGACAATTCAGGTTGATCGATACTTATTACTTCTCTAGGAAAAATACAAGGAACTTCTAAAATACCTTCTTTGATGACTTCATAGCTGTAAGCAGTATATTCAGTGATCTTGAAGAGAAAACGAAAGTCTTTAGATGATCTAAAATCAAACAAATTAGTGATATAGATTTTCTTGCTCCTAAATTCAAAGGCAAACGGCTCTATCACTTTCTTATATTCAACCAACCCTGGACTTGGGTCGTGAGTTGAGTCTACTAACCCATCCATAATAAATTCTCCATCATTTGGGATATCAGCGAAATCCCCTCCGTAACAATAAGCAAATTTGTCATCTATATATCCTTCTAAGCCATGGTTGCACCATTCCCAGATAAATCCACCTTGGAGTCTGTCGTACTTATAAAACATATCAAAATAATCTTTCAACAGTCCTGGTCCATTACCCATAGCATGTCCAAACTCACAAAGGATAACTGGTTTCTGCTCTTGTTCGGCATATTCTTTTAAAGTCGCAAAGCTTAAATACATTCTGCTATATACATCTGTTATTTCACCTTTTAAGTCATACTCATAATGTACCAATCGTGTTGGGTCTAGTTTCCTAATTAAAAGAGCCATTTCAATAAGGTTTTTACCATAAAATGATTCATTTCCAAGGGACCAAAAAATAACAGATGGTTGGTTTATGTCACGTTTCACGAGCTGTTCAGCTCTATCCAAATAAGCAGTTCTCCAAGCCGGATTATCTGAAGAAAATTTAGATGCCATTTGATACAATTCCTGCTTGTTTTCCTTGTATTCGATATCATTAGATCCATCTAAGGGTCTTCTAACCGCCTCAAAAAATCCATGACACTCTAAATCTGCCTCATCCATGATCCATAAACCATATCTATTCGTAAGTTCATAAAATAACGGATGATTTGGGTAATGTGATGTCCTAATCGCATTAATATTATGGGCTTTCATAATCTGTAAATCACGTTCAATAAAATCTAGTGGTACAGCCCTTCCAAATCTCGGATGATGATCATGTCTATTTACTCCTTTCAATAAAATTTCAACACCATTCACCATTATTTTTGAGCTTTTAATTTCGACTTTTCTAAACCCAATTTCTTGTGTCAAAAAGTTTGTTTCTCTACCATCAACATAAATTGCTAAGCTCAAATTATAAAGATAAGGTGTTTCTGCCGTCCACTTTTGTGGCCCTTTGATATGAAAGGTCTTCTTGAAGTTCTTTTCAACATCAGAAAAAGTTTCGTCAATGACATGATTCTTTTCTTGATCGCTCAAGAGCATATTGAGTTGAGCATCCCCATGAGTGTGTACGTCTAAGTCAAGGATAAGTTTAGCATTGACATAGGATTCGTCTAAGTCTGTTTTTACAACAAAATCCAGAATATAACCTAGTTTATCAAAGCCAAGAAGATAAACGTCTCTATAGATGCCACTAAGCCACCACTGGTCCTGATCCTCGATATATGAAGAACTTGCCCATTGATACACCCTTACCCAGAGGCTGTTAGTTCCTTCTGTATTCAATAGCCCGCTGACATCAAATTCTGCCAGATTTCTGCTTCCCTCGCTGTAACCAACTAAATTCTCATTCAAAAAAACATGATAAGAACAATCAATACCCTCGAATCGTAATCTAAATTCGTCAGAGTGCCAATGTCTCGGTACGACAAACTCTCTATAGTATGTACCAGTTGGGTTGTGCGTAGGTGGGTTTGGAGGATCTACAGCGAATGGGTATTGAACGTTAGTGTAATTTGGTTTCCCGTATCCATTAAGTTGCCAATGGCCTGGAACAGTAATTCTCTCAGTGAATTTAAAGTCTCCATCATAGGGTAATGGCGAAAGTTCGGGACTTTCAGCATAGTGGAAATTCCAACGACCATTAAGAGTAAGACACTCCTTTGGTAAGTAATAAGCTCTAACGGGCAATCTATTTATTTGGACTATCTCTGGATCGCAAAGTACCGCTTTTAATGATTCAGTGGAATAATTCATAATACTTAGGCAGGAAATATAGAAAATTCGTAAACTAAAATACGTGAGTCTAATTAAATATAAAATAACGTACACATATGGTGGAGGATTGCAAGCACATCCCCCACCATATTTCATAGTCATGGCACTAAGATATTGTAGAAGACAAATGCTACCCTCGATTACATTTAGTTCCGACTGAAGAATAATAACAACAGAACTCACGAGATTAAGGCGTAAAAATTCTCAAGTCAAAAAAGGGCATAATAATTTTACCACTAAACCAACAACGTATATCGCTGATAAAGATCCGATCAATAATACCAATTAAATAAGCCAAGCCTAAATAAAATATTTCCAATATAATCAGCATGAACGAAAGCAGATTTTGAACATCGAGTAAAGTGAGAGGATTATTTTGAGTAGTCGAATTCTTTTGGACGGTGTCTATACGAATAGTCTACATTGCCGTTGCTATAACTTTGCAGGTCCTGATAAAACAAAGCTGGGTAATCTCTAATTAAACTCAATGCCTTTCTTAAAAGTTCCTTATGTTCGGAGTAAAATTTCAAATTCTGACTGCTGCAATTATTAGAGATACATCTTCTATTTCATGATCTGGTGCATCAGAATCTTGGGAGGAACTCCATCGTTAGGTAACCTGATAAGGAAGTCCTCCCAAGATTCATGGCCGTTTCAAGGAATTTTTCTTGTTTCGTCCATTGGTGGGCCCCTGTTATGCTTTTCTTAAACGTATCTTTTATTTTTAGATAAGTCCCAATTTTATGCGCCCTATGTCCTCATTATAACTTTCTACCAAAGAGATAAAGCAGTCAATATATACCTTTTGTGGATCTGAAGAATTCATTTTCCTTTCTGGCTGAAGTAAGCGCCCAGGGCCATGGTCATCAATCCAGTATATTTAATTTCTCAAGTTATCTGCACACTAACTTGCAGCATTGTCAATTTGAATGGATAAATGTTTCCGCTTTGGATACTTTTTAGCTCTCTTAAGTAATAAACAAAGGGGCCAGGAAAAATCCCTAGGTCCATTATAAGAGTATTGGGGCATTTTCTTGAGTGGACTCGCAAGGTCATGTGCAAGAAAACATACATTCCAAACTTTTGTGATGGTTGATCAGGAAACAACGGTTCTCAATATCAATAATATTTCAATATCTGACATAGCTGAGTTTAGTGATTGAAAGTCATTTGATTTGTAGATTTATAGACGACATTCGAAATTTACATTATTGCCGCATTACTCTCCCACAACCCCCACATTTCCCACTATATGACCTTCCAAATGAGGTAACTAGATAAGATAAGAGTTATGCAATATCGACCGAATCATTAATTCCCGATGATGAAACTTTCTAGAGAGGCCGCTTAATTGGAAATGTTTCTACTCAATTTCATTTGAACCTTTATTGTGATGCTCTTCTTTGGTGGCGTGCTTTGAAAGAAAATGCCTGGATATAAAAGCAAGTTAAAATATGCTTTTAAAACTTTGAATGGATAATGAAATTCATCAAATTAGCTCTGAGTTTATTCTTTTTAGAATTGTCATACCTTAGTTCGGCCTATGACTTTTCTGAACTTAGCAACATCAAAAGTCATCCTAGATTTATTCTTACAAAAGAAAGGGTCGCAGAAATCAAGTCTTATAATGAAACCGATTCTTTTTTTCAACTGTATTTGAACAATCTCATCCTAGATGCAGATACTGGAACTAATACCAATATTTACAATGGCACATCAGTGGTTTATGCTAATGTTTTAAGGATTGCCACTGCATATCGTCTCACAAATGACTCAAAGTACTCGGATTGGGTCGAGCAACAGCTACTTTCCTTAGCTCGGCTTGATACCTGGTACACAACCCAATTCCTAGACACCGCAATTTTGGGTCAGACTATTTGCTTAGCTTATGATTCATTTAGAGTATCCTTAAAAAAAAGTTGCAGCCAACGTTGTATTCTACACTAACATTCAATGCTAAAAGAAAAAAATTTTGTGAGGTTTATAGGGAGTTCTAAATAGTTGTTTTAAAGGGCTACTATCGTACTTAGGTGATTTCTTATGAATACTTGACTAGTCAGACTATTTGCTTAGCTTATGATTGGATTTATGATGCCTTGAACGACACTGTAAGAGAAGAAATAGAAACTGCTATCACCCATAACTTCGTTGATGCCGGGCTAGGGGTGACTATTGCAGACAATTGGTCATACCACACAAACAATTGGGCATTAATTTGCGACGGCAGTCTTTTATTGGGAGCTTTAACTGTTATAGACTCCAATAGACTGAAAGCAGAAGACCTTTTAGATTTCGTTCTTCCAAAGTTAGAGCTATCTCTTCAGGCATTGGCTCCTGATGGTGGCTGGTATGAGGGCTATAGTTATGCGTTATATGGTTTTTCATACTTGGGCTTGGTATTATCCGGCATAGATACTGCAATTGGATATGATTGGGGCTTAGGACTAACCAGTGGATTAGATGAAATTAATGCCTGGATGGCCATGTTGTTGGGATATAATTTTAATATCTTTGGATGGGGAGATGGAACATCCCAATTCACAGCTACTGGTGAATTATGGACCATTGCTTACTTAGATCAAAAGTCTGGAGAGTCTGGAAAAAAGAGGTATCTTAAAACTTTGCTAGAGAGATACTCATTAGCGAGGTTGTCTTCGGACTACAGAGGTGCTCTATGGTATTACCCTCCCACGGAGACACTTCAAGACTACTCTAGGTTATTTGTAGGAAACAACACGCAAACCGTGACATATAGAACCTCTTGGTCAGATAGTGATAACCCTTGGTTTCTTGCCCTTAGAGCAGGTAATAATGGATTATCACATGGCCATCTCGATAGCGGTAGCTTTATGTTGGAGACGGACGGCTATAATTGGACTGAGACTTTAGGCTCTGAGACCTACAGTGTTGCAGGATACTGGGATGATATGCAAAGATGGAATTATTACAGAACCCAAACGCAAGGAGCAAACACATTAGCAATTTCCGATAAACGCCAAAATAATCTTGAATTTGAGAACCAGGTTATCAATGCAAACAATAGCCTTGTTTCTTCCGGTATCACTACTGATGGGTTTTATGCAGTTGTTAACCTTAGCGAATCATATTCTCATGCTGACTCAGTATTACGCGGAATCAAGTTAAATGGCAAGAATCAAATGATTTTGAGAGACGAAATTAAAGCTGCACGCCCTCTTGACTCGTTAACATCATGGCACACCAGGGCAAAAATTACTTTATTATCAACTAGGCTAGCGAGATTGGAATTCAATGGTACATATCTTTATGTGAACATTGATTTACCTGAAAGTGCCGAATTTGAAGTCGTTACTGCTAATCCTTGTACTGGAATTAGTAGCTGTGTCCAAACCCCAAATACAGGGATCTCGAATCTCGTCGTTAGAAATCCTAATTTGATGAACTCTTCTACTATTCAGGTGTCTGCATATAAAGACAACGCTAGCTACTTCTTTGAAGAGGCTGCTTTGGAAGACTGGAAGCTTCTTTGTACAAAGGAATGTAAGACTTACAAGCAGGACATAGATTTTTATTGGCTTAAAAATATTGAAACTTATTATTGAAGGCTGTTTCAAGAGAGTGGGTTGTTTTTAGAAAATCAAAATTTGATTATTTTTATGTGCCGTTTAACAAGATAACTTTTAGTTTAATTGAGAGTAAAGTAGTACGAATTATTGTAAAGTAGGAGCGTTATGACAACATATTCCATTTCAGTGAGAATATAAAAGCAGAGACATTTACAGGTAGATTCTCACTTTATTTAACTCCTACTCCAGGATGTTATTGACATCTTTTTGTAAACGCTTTCTGTAATAAGACAAAAAGAGACTTAATTGTGCTTCAAAAGAAATTTTTTTAGAAGTAATTGAAAAAAAAATTTTTGATATAAAAATTATGAGGTTCCAAAAACTATCAATTGAAAACTATGCTTTAGAATTATGCCACTTACAAAGAATTTTCCAAACCGGTATCAAGTTCCACTTAGTGGTTATTTTTGGTCTTGAAAAGTATTGTTTGATCTTGATCTATTATTACGCTAATCTTTAGGTAATAGAGACATTTCCACCATTATCATAAAAGAAAATTGAGCAACTGCTTGCTATTATTTCAAGATATTAATTTCAGAAGGGTTAGGGTTTTCCATTATTGATTTATTCTTATACTGCTTCCCTTTTCCTATTGCTTATTATCTTTTTTAGATGGGCTGGAAGGAATAATCTCAAAATTATGTGCGACCTTATTCTCTGCATATAATCCACCCCACCAAAAGAATATGCAAGATAATACTTTGCGCGTGCCTCTAACACGTGAAATCATACGATACTCGGTTCCAAAGAGTGTTTTTAGATACCTTCCTGGTTACATTCAGTAAACTGTCTACTCTGTTTCTTACTTGTTACATTTACAGCATTCAAGGTCATGAAACTTTTTCAGAACAATTTAAGTGTAACCCTTTTGCAAGGATTCGTTATTTGGTGGGGACTGTACTGATAAGCGATTTTGAGCCAGAGGACATAAATATAATGGGGGAACAAAGTTGCATATAAAGCTTCAAAAAGCGTTGATATATAGTTCTCACTATACAACAACTAACATTAACAATTAAAATATTATTATGAAGAACAAGACTAATACTGAGGTGCTCATCAGTAGCATTCGATCAGACAATTCAGGAAGAGGAAAAAAGTTGGAAGAAGTTCTTCCCCATTTAGATAAACCTTGGTATCGTTACAAAAGTTTAGTCACTTTAAATTTCTTTTTGCTGGCATGTATTGTTACCCAACTCACTATTGGCTATGATGGTGGTATGATGAACAATCTCCAGACTTTATCATCGTGGCAAGGATTTTTTAATTATCCAGTTGGAGCTCGTTTAGGAACGATGAACAATTCAATTGCTATTGGCGCTTTGGCAGTCAATTTACTTATTAGCCCAATGGCAGAGTATATGGGTCGGAAATGGCCAATAATTATTGGTTCGGTCTTTTGTATCGTTGGAGCAGTACTACAGGGAGCTGCGCCGAGCTTTGGCTGTTTTGTAGGTGGAAGAGTACTTATTGGTGTAGGCACCACGATAAGTGGTGCTTTAGCTGAAGTCTATTTGACTGAATCTGCGTATCCTACTCATAGGCCAATTATTGTGGGGTTGCTTCAAGCTGGGTATCCTCTTGGGTCCTTAATTGGTACCCTTGTTACTTGGGGACCATATAATGCAAGCGGTCTAAAGAACTCTACTTGGTCATGGAGGATTCCTTCTTTATTGCAAGGGTTCTTCCCATTACTTCAATTGTTGATTTTTCTTTTTAGTTGGGAATCTCCCCGATATTTGATTTCAAAAGGAAAGGTTGAGGTCGCAAGGGCCTTTTTTGTTAAATATCATGGTAATGGTGATGCAGAGTCGGAACTAGTTAATTTTCAGATGGCAGAAATTACAGCTTCAATTGACGCCGAAAAGAAACGAAATAGAGTGGGCTGGAAGACCTGGATAAGCACCAAGCCTATGATTCATAGATTATGCATAGTCTGTGGCCTTGCTCCAATGATTCAATTATGTGGCAACGCAATTATTTCTTACTACTTGTCGATCATGTTAAATGAAATCCATATCACTGATGGCATCACGAAATTAAAAATAAACCTAGGTATAAGTGCGTGGGGTTTGATATGTGACATATGTGCATGTTTTGCAATGAGATTCTTCGGGAGAAAAACAATGTTCATGTTTGGATTTGCTTCAATGTGTGTATGTTATGTTATATACACCATTATAGCTGCTCGGATTTCAATAGTTGATTTCAAAAGTAACTCTTTAGCTGCTGGCGCAATCGCTATGATATTCTTATTTCAGGGATTTTACCACTGTGTTTCTCCCGTTGCAATTACCTATTATACAGAAATTTCTCCTTTTGCGCTTAGGGGTAAGGCTTCTCAGATTTATTCATTAACGGGAACTGCTATCGGTTTTTTTAATGGTTATGTAAATCCAATTGCATTGGTAAAAATTTCGTGGAAATATTATATTGTTTATGATATTTGGTTAGTGTGCATGTTTTTAATCGTATTTTTATTCTTCCCCGAAACGAAAGGAAAATCTCTTGAGGAGATGAACGAAGCATTTGGTGACCCCATTATTGATGACAATGCTGTTGAAGAATACGAGAAAAACTATCTTTCTAAAGTCGCGACAGAAGATTGATATTTCGAAAGTAGAAAGCTTTATGAGTGAATTAGTTTTAGCAATGAGATATTGAATATTCATTAGGAAGCTCCTTTTACCTTTCTTTTTTTTTTTGGAACCTGCTAATTTAAGGCATACGTATCGTGGTAATTGATATTCCTCATTCTTTCGTAAGGAAATTTGGCTGACGAGAGAGCTAAAACATGTACCTTGATATAGGTGAAGAATGGTAATCTTGATGCACTTTTCAATTTACAACGTTGTCTCCAAAAATCTAATATTCAGGGATAACAGGATACAAAATTACAATATTTCTTGCTCTGGTGGAATAGTGCCTTAAAAAAGCTGAATCTAAATCCCAATAATAAAATAGGATAATGGGATAGAGATAAGTGTAATTTAATTTTTGCTCAAGTGTCAAATTTGCTGTAGCGTATTTATACCAAAATGTAAACTTTATGCCGATATTGAAGATTGATTGATTTTGATTTGGCTCAATTCAGTAGGACAACTTCAAAAGTCTGAAAAATAGATTCTAAAATAAGGGACTAATGAAGTAATTTAGCTGTTCCGGCATCGAAGATGGTGAATGTCTGAGATTTTTAAAGCTTTAGTTCAGAGGTGTAGTAGTGTTTTCATATAAAACTCAGTAAATTTCGGCCCTTTGATTCTTAACCTCGTTAAGTATGGGGCTTGAAGCCACATAATGTCTCTTTCTATATATTTCTCGATAGGAAAATTCACCACACCAGCAAATAATGAATACTATCCCCATAGGGCCTTGCGAAACTTCGAGGTGTCAGAGTCCTCTCATCAATACGAGCCATTTTTCCACCAAGACGGAGGCGAGTAAAATTGGGAGAAAATTCCCGATCAAAGGAGATAAGTATAAATGCTTTTTGGAATTCATTGCGTCGTAAGAGGCTATTTTCACTAAAAGGCGAGAAAGAAGTTTCATTTATTTTTCCTGCCTCAGTGTTTTCCATGTTTTAATGGGGTTCCTTTATGCAGTTGAGATATGTCCACTTGGATACCTCTAGAAAAGTGGTATCGTGATTATATAGCTTTTTAGCACCCTAATTATCGATAGAGTTTATAGATTGTCAAAAACATTTTGAAAAAAAATCGTGAGCCCACCGCAAGCACCACCTATTCCACCACTCATTTTGGGAAGAACCCGGTACAGAACGTAATCTACTTATAAGACTGCGAAAAACTTGAAATTCTTGAGCATGTTTCCTATCGATCTAATCAATAAAATATGAAAATCGAAGTGCAAATCGATGTACATCCCCAAACCTTGTAATCTTCAACTGTTGTTCAAATGCTTCGATTCTTTAGGTCATTGCATACTCTAGGATGATCACAAACAACAACTTAAAGTAAGCGTCCCTGCAGGTGAATTTAAGTGCTTGATGACGTCTAGCGGATGTCAATACAGGCTAAATCAAACGACAATGTATTTTAGGCGTTAGGAGTGCTTGTGAAACGTCTCATAACCTCAATGATGAGGACGTAAAGTTATTTTGAACGTTAGTTCGGTATCGTTTTTCTGACTGCGACAACATAATAAGAAACATCTTTTCTTGTTAGATGCCAAGGCTCTTCCTTGACCTACTGGAATATTACAGCTGATATCACATCTGTGCAAAATTTCAGATATCGCTGTGAGTTTCTAGGTCCTGAGTATAACATTTGACATTTTAATAATAAAGTTGAAGATACTAAAATAGCATCGATAGATTTCAACACCATCTCAGTCTTTTTATTTATCACATTTACTTGAGGTACTTTTTATATTTGAAGAAAAGAAGAGAATAGAAAAACAGAATTAAAAAAAAAGTAAGAAAACCGTTTTTGCATCTAGCCGAAAATTGACATTGATCTGCACGCCAGAGAATGAAAAGCTCGAAGTCGGACATAAAGGAAGAACACTAACCAAAAGATACAAGATGCACACAATTGATTATATCATTTGACGCCTTCTTATGTAGTTCAATTTTTCTTAAAAGAGAATTTTCTAATAATCGTACTTCCATCTTTTTAAACTCGATTGTGGTACTCACTTTTTCAAAGGAAGTACCCATTTGCACTTCGTTACAACAATTCAAGCGGAGATCAAAACTCATTTATCCTTTTAATTAAGGACGGAGTACACTTAGCGCATCCTCCTCGTAGAAATACACCATATAGACGATTGCGAAGTTTTAGATGAATCACCACAAATATTTCTTGATTGAGCATTTGTGCCATGGGAGTATGATTTGCTGTCATCACCTGTGTGTTTCTTGTACAAGTTTCTAACTGGTATGATTGTAACATCAAACTAACTATGTTTCGGGGAATGTAATCTTTTGGTATAAAGCTTCCAAACGGTAACATCTTGACATTATCTTACAAGTAGAGAAGATTGAGGAGCCCGCTAGATGAAGTATGTTATGAGCACCGGATATTTTGCAATGTGACCTAAATTCTTATCTAGGTAAATGAATAAATGGGGGATGGAGTACAGCTCGAATCCGACCATATGATCAAAGATAGTGACGAAACTAGATGCGATATGACTTATTCCCTCGGGTCAGTACTAAAAATAATAAAGAACGTATGAAAGTGACAATGGACCCAAAGAATGGTCTAGCTATCATAGATACTAACAAGTTAGAAATATCACCTTTGACATTAAAGGATACCCCGTATGATCTTGAATAGCCCAAGCGATTATCTAGAATGACAAAACCTTAGCGGATGTTCTCTCCAAATTAGACAAATGATGGTTCTACCATCCGAACTTGGCAAGATTGAATTTTATAAAGTTGGCAGCAGTATCAAATTGCTAATGGTTATGGCGGTGGTATGATGACCAAACTTTAGTTTCATGGCAAAGTCATTTTAGAGCTGTCACTGGGTACTAGCTTAGGTACTATTAACAATAGCGCATTTATTGGGCTTTAATTTCAACTTTATTCATCAGCATGTTATCTTGATTGTTTGGAAGAAGAATCACAAAGAACGTGAATAGCGACTAATGAGGACTATCATGCGACAACGCCCCTCACATTTTTGGAATCATTATTGGAAGTATATTTTTTGATACTAGAACTGGTCTGTAGTGTGATGTTGCCGAGATATACTTTACAGAATGTGCCTACCCTTCTCAAAGACCCACCTTATTTGGGTTGTCACTAGCAGGGTATCCAATAGGTTCTTTGCTAGGAGCTTTGGTCACATGGGGTCGTTATAATGTGGCATGCTTAGCTGCTAGTACATGCGATGGAGGATTCCGTCTATTTTCAAGTTGTATTTCGGTTGATTCAATTGATCGTTTTCAGCTTTAGTCAAGAAAATCCAAGATATGAAGGGGGAAATTGATAAAGCTAAGGCATTTCTGTGAAGGATAATGTGGCGGGAGATGAAGATTCAAAGTTATAAGTGGCCGAGATTTTTGCCACTATTGATGCCGGAAAGGAACAAAACATGTTTGAATGGAGTGAGTATTTCTCTTCAAGAGTAATGATGCATCGGTTGCATTGTTTTTTGACTCGCACCAATGTTAATGGTGTGGAAATGCTATTATATCATATCACCTTTCAATTATGCTTAATGGTGTTGATATCACGGATACGATTACCAAATTGAAAATAAATAAGTGTTTGGGGTTTAATTTCTGACGTCGGTGCTGCATTGTACTAAAGCTATGCTAAGAACTGAATAACTGAGTGTTTTTTAAGGCATTTCAAACGTTTGCAATAATACGCTTGCTCTTGCTCTTTGGTATTCAGTTCTATAATCAATATCGTTTTATATATCAAATATGTTTTAGTTTCTTTATTGACATAAATCTAAATATTCATGAATTTAGAAGATGAAATCAAAGAAGTAGAATTTATTTAATAAAAACCAATTATAAATTTGATCGTAACTTCCTGAGATGAGTTATTTCTATTTATTGCGAACAACCTACTTTCATGGCACTGTCACGATAGCGCTCCAAATCTTGAATTGTAGGCGGTAAGGGCAACTCAGTCATTTTTACACCCTTCGGAATGCCAAGAAAAGCTCCCATTATCCAAGACACCCCTTCCCTTAAGCTTCCTTTCAATTGAGGGACAGTTACAAGAGGTTTTAAGATATTAGTGTTTGGTTCCGGTGAAGAATGAGTACATCCTCTGTTTGAATACAAGTCTGCAATAATAGATATATCAACACCATTGGTTATTTCAAGTAAATCACAACTCAGTTTAGCTTTTATATTTTCAACTCCATCAGTGGAGTCTATGGGAAATCCGCCTTCAATTAAATTTAACTTTCTTTCAGACGAAACCTTATGTGCTCTCAAATGCCAGTCTCCCAGAAAAATAACCCATGATTCTATTGCAACACCATCATGAGGGCTCCATTGAGAATAGGTACCATATTCAAAAATATAAGAGTTGCCTTTATATTTTGCTTCAAAATTTTGTCCTCCGTCGATACTCACTCCTAGTGAACTGTCAAAAGAGTTTGAGTTCAGGCCCTCAATATTGAAGCCATATCGCGTAGAGTAAACAAATTTGCAATATTTCTCCTTCACAGATTTTATAAAGCTTTCCTGACAGGGCCCAGAGACTAAAGCTATATTGTTACCATGCCTTTGTGATATAACCATTCCTGGTGTGCTTAAAACAATAATATTAGGATATTTAGGATAAGGCTCTTCCTTAGATGTCCAGAAGGGATGATTTGCTGGTATTGAAAGGGCAATGAAAGCTTTCATAGCCCAATATGGAGACTGAGAAGAGGAGTATGTCTCAGGTAAGGCATCCTGTGGATAGGAATAACCTTTGGTAAGGATATTCGATCCATATCTAGATATAGGTCTTTGGGCCCACCACCTTAAATTTCGCATATAAAGACCTTTTATTACTCCCCAATTTAACCCAGATACCTCACTCTCACCTAAAAGTCCAAGGCAACCCCAAAAGGATGCCGTTGCAAACCTATAAACCAAGCTCCTTCCAATCGGCAAGCTCGCTCCTTTAGCATCAAAAAGATGTATATATTGTAGAGCAAACTGATGTGATCTCGTAATAAATCTTTCGCATCTAGAAGCATCCTGAGGATTAAACTTACAATATAGAATCGAATAGAAGTGAAAAGCAAAGGCGTTATAGTGGTCAATATTGCAAGGAGAACCATCTCCATACCAGCCATCTTTGAGACTAAAACTCTCTATCTTTTCTAAGTATTCTTCACTCAAAGAATCATTGTTATCATGATTAATTTTCTTCAAACCCAAATCAATCAAAACCCTAAACATCATCCAGTTATTTTGGGTGAATTTCAACTTACGGATACGTAAAAGATAATTTAATAAGTTGGACTTTGATTCAGGATCTAGAGGATACCATACATGCTCTGGAACCATTGCTAATGCGAAACCAATGGCTGCAAATTCGACCATTCTCTGATCTCTGTCACTCGGGTCTCCCCAGTATTCCTTATGTGTTGGATTTGTACCATTAGAAAGACCCTTTCTATAAATTTCCCAATAGGGGAATTCACCCTCGCCAGCAACTAGTGAGCAGATGCCCCAAAGTGGCCTTGCAAAACCTTCAAGGTCAGAAGCTGCCTGATCAAATACAGCAGCTGATTCATCGAGACGGACACGAGCACAACCCGGGGAAAACGCTTCTATCAAAGGGCAAAATAGGTCTAAACATGCTTTTTGGACATCGTGGCGTGTCAATAAATCGTTCTCACCGAAGGGTGAAAAAGAGCCTTTCATTTTTTTTCATGTATCGTTCGTCGCTTTAAGATAACGTAAAAAGACTGTATTATATACGCATATCAAAATTTGGTGGGGGTCCTTTATATAAATTTTGAAGTAGTGACTACATCTAAACCTTACTGAGTTACATTCAAACTTGTCTGCTTTTCTAAATATTTTTATCAAATAAGATCTAGGTCAAGTAATAAATTACCAATTACTAATAGATAATAATCTGCATAAACTAACCCATGATCAAAATATTTGTTGATCGCGTCCGCATTATTAATAGTTGTTGAGTGTTTTAAAATCGTGTCAATTTCACCCATTTCAACGGTGCCGTCATCGTGCAAAACGGAGTCATTGACGTAGGATAAATTAAGTGAATCATTAACTAACTTTAAACAATTGCTTAGATATAGTTCAGATTTTGTTTCTACATATATTTTGAGAAAGCCCAATGCTGCCACCATAGCGGCCGAAACATCCTTGATGTCAGAAGTTGGCGCATCAAAATCCCACGGAGGAACACCATCTTTTGGCAAGCGAGACATAAAGTATTCTCCTAGCTTTTTAGCAGCGTTCAAAAAATTTTCCAGCTTTGTCCAATGATATGCTTCAGCATACCCCAAGATACCCCAAGCCTGGCCCCTAGACCATGTAGAATCATCAGAGTAACCTTGATTAGTGAACCCTTTAACTGTACCGTTTTTTTTGTTATAATTTAAAAGATGAAAACTAGACCACTCTGGGAACCTGAAGTGGTTCTTTATTGTTGTTTCCGCGTGTTTCGTTGCTATGGTCGATAACCTTAAGTCACCCGTTATATGAGCCACGTAATACAATAAATCAAGATTGCACATGTTGTCAATTATGACAATAAAGTCTCTTTCCATGTCATCAAATTTATATCTTTTGTTGACTGCCTTATCCCAACTTCTTATGCAGCCAACGTCTTCATTCCATCTTGTTGAGAGAGCATTGGCCGCAGAGACCAAACATTCTTTTGCTTCAAGAGAACCACAGTATTCGAATTCTCTTTGAAAAGATGGTTGAATCATAAACCCTAAATCATGATTATCAGTCCTATCTTTTTGAGTCTTAAGGGCTTCTGACCACCATCTTGCAGCAAATTCTAGTTTCCGTATATGAATCTTCTCCGAAGGAAATTTAGAAGGATATTTCTTTGCCCTTTCAAGCAAGGCATAAATTGATCCCGGAAAAAATCCAGAGGTCCAATAATCTACGTCTCTGTAGATGTATTTATCATAAGCATATTCAGGCATCAGCATTGGCGGTTTAGCATCGTTTAAAGTGAGGGTAGCAATACCCCAAACTTTAGCGATTGTATTCTCTGAAAGAAGCCTCTCTCCAATCAGTTTTAATAAGTCCTTGTTGTTTTCCATAGTTTTTGGTAATGCTGTTCAAATCATTTTATGATGGAAGATTGTAGATATGAATAGTATTATACAATTTTAAATATCATCCCCTCCATCGGTGGGTTGACCGCTATCCCCCACCAAGAACATTCTCCAAATAGAATGAGCATCCAAATTTTTGAAACAAGTACAGATCAAAGAAAACCAAAAAGGAAAATTTACCCGCAGAATAACGCATTTAAAATTAGCTACAAAGTAAGTCTTCTACTGGGCAACGATTTCAATTTGCTTAATTATTAAAACTGTTATTCTTAGCTATTCAAAATATTTCTTCGATTTTTTTAAAGTCTAGTTATAAAACTTAAGGTTGTTCATTGTATACTATATCAAGACTGTGCATAATACTTACAATTGTATTCAATATAAGACCACTGAATAAGTCAAAATAGTTTATTTAATTAAGCTCTTATGCTTAATTTAGGCGAGATTCATATGGATTTCTCTATTTCAAGAAGTGCAGCCAAGTCTTTGGAATATTTGAGGTAAATCTCCTTATTTGCTTCTCTGTTCAAGGGCGGCCGTCCACTAGTACAATCTCCAAAGCCATAAATTTCTTTCAATGCAAGCTTAATTCCAACTACATTGAGCTCAGAGATCATTTGATTTGCTCTAGTGACTTGGTACTGCAATTTTGCTACTTCTTCGTATTGGCACTGTTTATATAGCTCAAGAATTCTCAACATAGATTTTGGAAACACATTTGCAAGTCCATCAATAGCACCTTTTACGCCAATGCTCATGGCAGGAACAAGAACTTGTCCTAAGCCAGTGAAAGGTTTAAAATTTTTGAGCTTATATTGCTTATCTTCACTTGCCAATAAAATATATAAATCCAAGTTGAAATGGGTTAATTTGACGCCCACAATTTGAGGAATCTGCAGTAATTGCTTAAATGTATCGAGAGATAGGGTAACATTATTGCTTACTCCAGGGTAATTATAAATTATTATAGGTAAAGGCAGATTTCTTGCGACCAAATTAAAGTAATCAATAATTCCTTGTTGGCTAGTCAAATGAGGACCAAAATAACCGGGCACAAGTAGCAATGAAAAATTCGCTCCAGCATTGTAACCGTCGTGAATCTCCTTTGTAGTGTCTTGAATGCTCAATGGCGGAGAACCTAAAACTATTTTGAAATTGGGATCAGGTATCGCTTTTCTAACGGTGGCACAAAGTAAGGACCTTTCTTCTCCTGTTAAATGACACGATTCTCCCATTGATCCTGCTAAAACGACACCATTAATACCGCATCCATATAAAAACTTTACATGTCGCAGCTGATTGTCTAGATCCAATGTATAATCTTCGTCATTTTTAAAGAAAGTTGGAACTGGCACATAAATTCCATCTGGGAGACATTCAAACTTATCTATCGACATTGACTAAATCTGTTTATTTTTCAAAAAATTGTATTATCACCGCTCTTTAAGGCATGAGTCATCTATTTAAAAAAAAAGCTTTTTACATTTCGAATTATAGCTGTAATTTGGTCTGTACTTCAGGTATTCCCGTATTGTTCGACTTTTGATGGGGGAAAGCTCAAGGTCGGAGATAATACACGAACAAACAACTACATATGATGACACAAGAAAGTAAAAAGAGCAGAAATCTATGTAACACATTTACCGCTTAATGAATACATCAGGCATGTTAGTAGGCTGAATATAATGTTCTGCCTTTGATTCAAAAGTAAATGCTCTATCTATCTTGTATTGAGCTTCAACCCGAGATTAAAGTGGCTGATTATCTCCATCTTTGCGACCAACCCTATTACGGAAAATTTTTACGTGGGGGTTCTAAATTGCAGATGTTACAAAATAGCCACTATGATACAATATCTCAACTTTGGTGGGGGTGGCCGTAGTTGTGCACTTTGGAAACATAATGTTAAATACGCACTTCACCCAAATTTTGGAGCAAGTTAAAGGACGTTTAAAAACGTATAGAGAAGTCGATCATGGGAGGCGAAATCACGAATGAAAATACTCCGTTTAAATGCACGGAGCCAATATTTTTCTACAATGGAACAAAGATTCCTGCAATTGGTTTAGGTACTTGGCAATCTTCAGAGGAAGAAGTATATGATGCGGTTTTGTCAGCTATAAAAGTTGGCTACCGACACATAGATACCGCCTCTGCTTATGGAAATGAACCAGCAATTGGAAGAGCCATAAAGGATTCTGGAATAAATAGGAATGAATTGTTCGTCACCACTAAATTATGGTGTACGGATCATACCAGGCCGGAATATGCACTTAGGGAGTCCTTGAAGAAATTGAATTTGAGTTATGTTGATCTCTATTTGATGCATTGGCCCGTTCCTTTGAATCCCAATGGCAATGATCCAAAATTTCCCAAATTACCAAATGGAAACCGCGACATTGATAATAATTGGGATTTTATCAAGACATGGGAGTTGCTTCAACAGTTATTGCCGACAGGCTTGACGAAGAACATCGGTGTATCGAACTTATCGGTAACTAATCTTCTGAAGCTATTAGAGTCAAAAGAAACGAAGGTAAAACCAGTCGTAAACCAGGTCGAGATGCACCCTTTTTTGCCTCAAAATAAACTTTTGAAGTTTGCAAAACAAAATGGGATTGTAATCGAGGCATATTCACCTCTAGGATCGACAGATTCCCCTGTTCTTCAAAATGAAACGATTAAGCTGATTTCAGAAAAATTAAGCATCACTCCTGCCACTTTAGTAATATCTTGGGCAATTTGGAGAGGAACGGTTGTTTTACCAAAATCAACCAACCCTGCAAGAATAGAAGCAAACCTTAAGATAGTTGATCTTCTGGATGAGGATGGCAGGGCTTTGGACAAGATAAGCGTTCTTCATGGCGAGCGTAGAATTGTGTCACCTGATTGGTATCCTATTAAAGTTTTCAACGATGAAGAGTAACTTCTTAAAGTCTGTCATACTTTCAAGATATCCTACTTACATTGCTAAGACACTTTTAGAACATTCGTAAGGTTTTATAGACTTTTTAGGTGTATAAAATTATCTCACCGATTACATCAGTCTTGGATGATGATATATATGCTTGTGTTTTCATTATTACTGATGTGTCAAAGAGAAATGATGTAATCAAAATACAAATGGATCTAAATTTGCTATTCTCTTAAAAGCTAACTAAGCAAGGTATCTGAAAAGAAGAGACCAATAGTATGTTCAAACTCTCAGTTTATTAACAGCACACGTCATCTTGGGTACTCAAGCTGACAAAAGTTAGCAGTTTTTTTTAAAGTTCTCAGGTAAGTATGGAAATGTATACCGACCTTAAACTTCTCGTCGATTTAATTTTAGTTCCTTGGAATGCCATCGATCGTAGTTAATACTAAAAATCTTTTCGTCTTGGGAGGGCCCTTTGAAATGCAATTAATTGACTCCGGATTGTCTTGTTCGGCATGATAGAGATGCCAATGGATTGATAGTAAGCACATATGTGTTTCGCTGATCATTCTTGCAAGAATGTTGCTCTACAGAGCATTTTAACTTCCCTTTTCTAGAGCGACGGAAATTGAAGAGGGAAATATACGAACAGGCAAAGAGTAAGTACAGAAGATGTGAATAATACCTGCAGAACGAATTACTTTCTTTAAAAAATATTTGATGACTTTGAAATCTTTAAAAAATTTTCTTTACTTGGATTAAATCAAGAGAGCAGGCAGCAGGTCCAAAAGAACAAGACAAGAGAATTCCTGAAAAGACCAATACTATAATATGCTGTTAATTAAGATTATGACATGAATATGCTCTGCTACGAATCTTGTTACTTCAATTTGACTTACTGTTACGAGTGCCAGAGCAAGTAGACTTTAAAATGTTTTGATCTCTTGATCGACGTCACCTGAGTAGTGCAACATGTAAGATCTTCTCATTTACCTTGACGATATGCCACATTTCTGGTGCATTGCGCAATGCAGTGAATAGTATTCGATAAGATATTACGCAGTCACGTGATAATATCACATCTTTTGAAGCCACTGTAAGCTTTGATGGTGCAATTGTTAAGTTCACGAATGCTAATAGTTGCGATTAAAACTATGGCTTTCTTATCCAAAAAGATTAAATTGGGTACTTAAAGTGAATGAAATTTTTCAGCAATGATGCAGATTTGATTCAGTGATTTTACTGTTAAGCGGAGCAAAACTTAAAATGTCTAAAAGGTCAATTCAGTCGGGAGGAACCGAAAGTAAAATAGCAAAGACCAATATTATAGATGAAAGCATAGACATCGGGTCTGATTCCTCGGAAGAGAAGTCTCTGTTCCATGTGTTTCAAGACCCTGTTGCGAGAGAGTATTATACTAAGCTATACGATCAGAGCAATTACGAATGTCGCCATCTCTTGGATCCTGATTTGGAATGGACAGAGGCCGAAGAGAAGAAGATACTTAGAAAAAATGATTGGTATGTTACTTTTTGGGCGTTCATCATGTTTACGGCTTTAGATTTTGATAGGTACAACATTTTGCAAGCTGTGTCTGATAATTTATTAGATGATCTCAATTTAACGACAAATGACTACAACGTGGCTAATACTATTAATTTAGTATGCTTTTTAGCTGCAGAATTACCATCGCAATTGATATCTAAAAAATTGGGGGCAGATGTATGGATTCCGATTCAAATATCCTTGTGGTCAATTGTAGCCATATCTCAAGCTGCTATGACATCAAAGGCTGGATTTTTTATTACAAGGGCATTAGTCGGAGCCCTTGAAGGAGGTTTTATTTGCGATGTTTGCTTATGGATGTCATATTTTTTTACTTCAAAAGAGTTGCCTTTTCGGTTATCGCTCTTTTATATTGCAAACCCTTTAACAAATGTCTGGTCAAGTTTACTTGCATTTGCGCTTCTTAAAATTACCACAAGACATATCACTGAAGGCTGGAGATGGTTGTTTCTCGTTGAAGGTGTCTTCACATTATTGGTAGGTATTATCTCCTTCTTTAAAATGCCACCATCTGCAGTTCAGACAAAGGCGTGGTATCGTAAGAAAGGTTGGTTTACTGACAGGGAAGAAAAAATTCTTGTCAACAAAGTTTTGAGGGACGACCCTTCCAAGGGCGATATGAATAATAGGCAACCTGTGGGTCCAAAGGAACTTTTCAAAGCTTTATTCAATTTCGACCTTTATCCTATTTATTTTATTCGTATCTTGGGAGACATTGGGACAAGTCCAGTACAAACTTATATGACATTGACTCTCAGGAAATTAGGATTTACTACGTTTAAAACTAATGCGTTAACTATTCCTTATAACATCATTTCTATAATAACAATGCTTATTACTGGGTATTTTTCTGAAATTTTCAAGAGCAGAGCACTAATAATTGCCACAACTCCTATTTGGATACTTGCTTGCTTATTTCCCCTAAGGTATTGGCCAGGATCGCAGGTTAATATCTGGGGCACATGGGCTCTTTTAACAGTGTTATTGGGACATGCTCCCATATGGCCTATAAGTATATCATGGTGTTCGGCGAATTCAAACTCGGTGAGAGATCGGGCAGTTTCTGCAGCAGTAGTCAATATATACTCCCAGACGGGTTCAATTATTGCTGCTAATATATATAGGGATGATGATGCACCAGATTACAAGCGTGGTAACGTGGTATTAATAGGAATAGCTTTCGGTGCACTTGCAGCATGTATTCTTGCTAGATATTACTACATTTTCAGGAATCGCCAGAAGGAAGAGCAATGGAATAGCATGACAGAGAAAGAGCAGGAGTATTATTTAATTAATACTACCGATGTTGGAAACAAGCGCCTTGATTTTAGATTTGTATACTAATTATGGTAAAACGTGGAAGGACGATAGGGTATGTATATAGACAAGCTTTATATTCAGAGAATAGAGAGATTTTGATTAACAGCACTGATTTGCTATGTTTAAGCGAACAATATAAGAAGGGAGAAAACGTCAATCATGGCATACAAAGAAATCTTTCATAAAGTCATATATAATTTTTTTGCTACTAGAATAACGGCGGGAGAGAACTATTTTAATGACTGATAGATCTTTCTGAAGTATACTAGAAGAAAGAATGATTGAATTTATAGCAAGTCAATTAAAATGAAAATGTAAAAATTTCTGTATAGAGGTACTTAGTCTTCGTCCTGAAACTTTGGTAAAGTTAAACGCTCATATACGGCTTCTGAAGAATCCCTATCATTGAATCCAGAGAAGAGTTTGCGCGTGTCGACCAAATCTGGAGATAAGTCTTCAATTTTCGTGACGCCAAGTAATTTCATGTCTCTAATGACCTCTTCCTTCAAAAGTTTAGTAGCCTTAATAACACCATATTTACCATACCCTGCATTAGCATATAAGTAAGGCCTTCCAAGTCCAACCCCTTTAGCACCTAAGCAAAGAGCTTTGATAATATCACTTCCCCTTCTAACTCCACCGTCAACAAATATTTCAATTTTGTTGTCTAGCTTTTTATCTCTCAATATGGGCATGACTTCAGCTAAGACCTCAACTGGTGCTCGTGAAAAGTCAAGTTGACGGCCACCATGATTAGACAAAACAACTCCATCAACGCCATGTTCAATGGCCAAGAGAACATCTTCAGACCGCTGTACGCCTTTTATCACTATGGGTATATTTGTTGCTCTCTTAAATTTACCAATATCATCCCAAGTGAGTCCAATGTCTTTATAAGACAAAATGAAGTCATCCTTTACATAATTAGACTCCACATCTTCACTATCTTCAACATCAGTGATTTTAAATCTCAAATCTTTTTCTCTTCTACCAAAGACGGCACTGTCAACCGTCACGAATATTCCCTTAATACCCTTTTCTTCGCAAGCCTTGATCAGATCAAAACTAGTCTTTCTATCTTTTTCAACGTAAAGCTGAAACCATTGGTTTTGATTTGGCAAAGCTGCATTGGTTATTTCGTCAAAGGTGTAAGAAGCTGCGTTAGAGATCATCTGAAAAATATTCTCTTTTCCACATCCTTCAGCAATTGATAGCTCACCATCTGGGTGCCCTAGTTTAGCTTGAGCTGCAGCAGAACAATAAAAAGGAGCATCTGTTTTGACCCCCAACATTTCTGTAGAAATGTCTACGTCATCAACATTAACTAGAACTCTCGGCCTGAAAAAGATTCTATCGTAAGCAGAATGATTTTCTCGAAGGGTAACTTCATTATCTGAGCCTCCTGAATAATATGCCCATGCATGTGCCGGCAAAAGCTTCTTTGCAACATACTCAAACTCATTTATATTGAAAATGGAGCAGAGATGCGGTTTCTGCTTTCTCCTCTCTTCTAGTTCAGCCTCGTCTGTAACAAGAGGCTCATCTAATTCATCTAAAGTTCCATCCAAGGTACCAAGTTTTTTCTCGGGCGGAAGTAATCTTGGAATAACATCTTTTGAATGGAACTGATCAAATATTTTACTTGCATCGTATCCGGCGTGTTTCAATATGACTGAAAGCCCACCAGGGTGTTGTGGTGCAAATTCAGTTAAATCATAAACTGTTCCATTGATTGCAACCCAAAGCCCCTTTTCAAGTGAATTGTGCTCCTTAACTTCTTCAGCTGGAATCAAGCCTCTCTGTTCAGTGTCCAGTCTGATAAAGTCACCACTACCATACAAAGCCAAAGCACTTAAAGTTAGAACAACATATACTGAAGCACGAAAACTTGTTTGATTTTTAGTATGACTGATTGAATTGAATCTTCTTATGGATTTCCAGTTAAATTTTGAGGAACTTCTAGGGAGATTTCCCTTTATAAATCTCAAATTTTTAAACATGCTGCTGCTTTTGCATTCCGTTAATTAGGATATACATGTTGAGAATTTATATATGGATCTGTCGCAAAGGTGATTCGACGGAAATGCGCGGTGCTTTTCCTTCCAGTCAGAGTGGTCCGGTTTTTAATCGAGATATTGAATTATCCAAATAGGAAAAAAGGGTGCTTATTTTCCTGTTGCAAAGTATCTGCTTCACCTTAGTCTTTGATTAGAGGAAGAAAGGAATTATGCTGATATATCTCAATTATATAGTGATTTAAGAATCTATTTTGCGTGTATACGTGTTCGCGTGTATGTATTCATAGTTATAAGCGAACCGACTCTTAATTCTATTAAAATAAAGTGTGCCAAATGACGCAAGAAAAAATCTATAGCCTTTTACCTTCTTGCTTTTGAGACTTTCAATATTTGAAGTTTCGGAACTCGATGACTTCCAGTTATTTATTAGATCCTTGTTTTATTAGTTTTCCTATATCGAAATGAAATTTTTTGCTGTATTCGGATGCTAAGTTTCACAATATCTCAATTTATAATTCTTCCAATAATGGATGAAAGTCTACTAATATTAATATTCGTACTAGTCTACAGAGATATATCGATAGACGCTAATATGTATTTAGTAGAACTGAAGGGAAATATGAACGAAAGAATATAATATGGGCTCTTTTCCTTTTATTCAAAAAAGTGTAAGTTATATATTCAATTAATGTGCAGTGCCTTATAGGAAAAAAAAATATGAAAGCAAGTTTTACAACTAAGAGCTAAACGTTTATAGATTTTATGGTACCTCAATTACGTCTAAAGTTATTTCGTATGCGGCTGGACAATTTAAATCGAGGGATAAGTAGTTTTCGTATTTATTGGTCACTTCACCAGGGCATGCAGCAAAGGTATCATTCCCATTGTACAAAAGTTTACCATCTTTTATAGAAAACGACTCTGCCGATTCATCACCAGAGAGCACAAAAGTTTGGTCATGTGCCCAATTATCCGTCAAAATAGAAAGGGCAGTGGTAGAATTACCAAAAGTTCCATCTTTATGTAACGTAAAATCGACTGAAAAACCTGCATCAACATATCCATGTCCAACATATTCTGGTCCCGCATTACCTGCAATCAACTCGACACCATCTGGGTGCTTAGTAATGAATTGTCCATTGAGGTCAATGTTCGTACTATTCATTCGAAGAAAAATGTGTCCTTCGACAGAAAGCACAGAAAGCAAAGTCGCGAATAATAACTGAAAGAGTTGCATTTTTAAGTGTCGTCAAAAAAAAACCTTACTCTAAAGCAGAGTTCAGGTTTCTTATATACCCATATTTATTTGTTATGTCTTCAATTGATATCATTCTAATTAAAGATGTCATAGTTTTCCATTCTATATTTAGCAACCATATGTATCATTTTGAATTTACTCCAAGTGCTTTAACTATATACAGGATTTGCCCCTAATTCACATGCGCTATAATCTAACTTATATACCAGGTTCAAAATTTTAAATAGATTATCAGTATAGTCACTTGCCTCAATTAAAAGCAATAATACAAGATATAATTTGTTGGATTACTCAAATAAATTGCCTTCTACGAACGCAATATGTATTTCAAATATATAGGTTATCTGTAAAGAATCAACACAACTTACATTTCACGCCAACACACCTATTTGCCTAGAGTAGATCTCAGTTTAATCAAATCGAGTAAAAATTTCGCTTACTATTTAAATTTACTTTGCCAAGAAAATTTCTAGAGAAGCTGTGGTTAATCAAACAATTACACCACTGGCACCGCACAAACTGATAATCTAATAATAGCAAGTCATAAGAAATATGAGTGAGCTTTCGATTTCTTCAATCATTTAAAAATCCGAGTTGATGCCTTTGCAGAAAATATCGAATTATATTCATATAAAAGAATGTCTAAAAAGACGTCATATATATCCATAAATTAAAGAGTTGCTTTTGTAATCATTTTAGTTTTGATCATATAGTCGATATCTTCAGGAATTGTTTTCCAAAAGTCATCAAGTTTTGGATATTTAGGTTTCCATCCTATTTTGTGACCATTGTCACCCCTACTTCTGGAATTCGTACCCCATAGCGATGGTGCAAAATCAAAACTTGCGATCTTCCTTATCTCAGTAGGGTCTAAGTGAGCGATCTTGGGCGTCTCAATAATGTTATTTTTGAAAAGATATTCACCAACGGCAGAAGATACATCTGCCCAATAATGTTCAACTTCCGAAGGCTGCTCACTAACTGGTTCTTCATTAGAAAGAAAGTAAGAACCAAAATAATACCCTTCTTTCCCTTTAGGAACGCTTTCTCCTTGTAATAGTTTGTTAAGCAAGAGAGAATATAAATCACCCAAGTCTTTGATATGAATATGGCTCCAAATATACTTTCCATCATAAACACTAAATGCTTGACCCTTTTTCACACTAAGCTCCACCAAATACGGAATTTGTATTGATACGATTCTATCATAACCATCGCTCTTTCCCACTATGTTAGATGGTGCCACGATAACCGTGTCAATTGTGGGATTATTTTCTTGGATACTCAAAATTATCTCATCAACGGGGCGGTGTGGCTGCTTTGAATCTAAAGAGTTAATTTCATCGATGTTCTTCGCGTCAGAATAAACTTTCGTGCTAGGTTTCTTATCTTTAGCAAGACCGTCACCAAGAACAGATGTTCCAGATGTATGAATAAAGATAGTGGGTTTAGATTTTTTAACCAAGGTGTCGTAGAACACTTGGGCTGAGGGTACATGATCAACATCTGCCGTATTGATGATTATGTCACACTCGTTTGCCTGCTTTTCTAGTATTTCACTATTGTCGAGGGTTCCTAAGATAGGAATCACCTTGTCGTTAGTTTTACTCTGCAATATAATACCTTTTTCTGGCGTACGAACTAAGGCACGAATTTCGAAATCATACTTTTTATTGTTCAAAACCTGGTATAGCACTTCACCTCCAATATAACCAGTAGCTCCGGTAATAAATACTTTCTTTAAAACCATTACTTTTGAATTTTACTAACAAAGGGCCTTTAAATCGCAATTGACTATAGATTAATACTTAAGCTTCAGGAATTGGCTTCCCATGGATAAAAGATGTAAGAATATTCCTAGTTATATAGCCAGCTTCGAGAAAAGTATTGCTTTATAGATACTCGGTGCATTGCTATCAATAAGGTTGCTTACAAATAGCGATCACGTGACTCGGGCTAATATCGTATTATTGTTTCTTTCCTTATGTCAAATAGCAAAACTTATACTTCTTGCATAGAAACCATTAAGGAGTATTTTGCTAAGCTCAAGTACCTCTAAAAGAATTTCAATACCCCGAAGTTGAAAGATAATTAGATGATTTTAATTATATAAGTCGAGCTGGAGAAGAAAGGACTTAAATTTTAAAGAAGGATCGAAAGTTCTAAGTTTAATTTTCGCTAATTATCAATTTAGTACTCCGCAACTCTTTCGTGGGAGCACTCGTGGGAGTACTATTGAATTGTTGTTGTCGTCTCTCCTAACGTCGGTCAAAGCATTATCTTTACCGATCTAATATGGTACTGTATATTGTTAAATATACTTGCGACCGATTGCAAAAAAAAAAAAGATCGGCATCGTAGCATGGCTTAATTTAATGCTTAAATTCTTCAAAAAGAATATCTCGTTGTAACGAATCCAGTGACTAAAAACCATGGATAATCATAGGATGTGATTATAGGAATATTGTATTTGAGTAGAAGCCACACTTATACGTACTGAAATATTTAGGATGTGAAAATGGCTCACTTAATACTGATAAATGAAACTCTTATCATTCAAATCAGATATATCATTGTTTTTATCAATATCACTAGCTTCATTTTTCTCTTCCATCTTTCCTCTTCTTCCATTTTCCCATTGTAAGTAAAATCTCATTATGAGGGCAATAAGAACTGTAATAGCAAAAGTCGAAATCCAAGCATTATAAGCTACCGAGTAATTAGGTGCTTCTGACAGTATAAACAACTGAGGAGCAGCAACATTTGAGGCACAGTAAAAAATGAAAATAATTGCACTCATTGTTGCCTTTTTAGTGGTTCCTTGATAATTGGAAGATATCAAAGCCAATATGTTGGGAAAGGTTGCTGGTTGAATCATTAACAAATAGTAACCAAAGAGCTTAACTCCCTTTCTATGTAAAGGTACTTTGGATATTATGGCAGCGCCAGCAATTGGGGGAATTACCGTAAATATAATCATCCATAGTCTCATACTTTTGAACCTAGAGGAAACATAGCCAGTAAAAAGTATAGACAACCACGTTACTAATGACGCAGGCACATTGAGCAAGGTTGTGTTTATTGACGAAAATCCGAAGCTTTCAATTATAATAAAGCCATACGATATTACGCCACCGTTCGGCAAGATGTTTAAAATACAAAGTGCTACTAGAAGCCAAGTCTTGATATCTAAAAAACACTCAAAAAACTGATCCCATTTCCATTCTCTCGTAATTTGAGAATTCTTGTGGTTCTCTGAGTAATATTCCTTTTCTTGTAGTGTTAAAAAACTAGCTTTTTCGGGACAATCAGGTAAAAACATCATTAGAATTATACCCCAGAATACTGTCATCGCTCCATAAATGATGAAGATATATCTCCACGGATTCAATGATCCCCGAATATGACCTAAACCAAAAGCTATAAAGCCGCTTACTATACCTCCAAAGTCATTACCACCAAACCAAATAGCAGTTCTAGCAGGTTGTTGCTCAACTCTGTACCACATAGATGTCACTATAACAAAGACTGGTGACACCGCCGACTCCAACAAACCTAAGAAAAACCGGGCTACGAGGAGTCCCACATATGATTCAGAACTAGCGCTGCATGCTAAAACGACACCCCACAAAGTGACAGTGGCACCTATGAATTTGCCAATCGGGACAATTTGAACCATTCTTGTGACTGGAAACTGGCCTGCTAAATACCCGAAATAAAAGATCGAGGAAACCCAAGAATAATCTTGTCCAACTAGGTGATTATCTTCCCTTACGCCAAACACGGAAGAGCTTGAAAGTGCTAGCTTGTCCATAAATTGAAGGCTGTAAGTGATAAATAGTAAGGGAATAATACGAAAATCGACTTTTCGAGTAAGGCTTTTCAAATTGACATAGTCATTTCTCACGGACCCTCTTTCCTCTATCAAAGTTTCAATCTTTTCTGTTTCTTTTTCAGACATTTCAGCTATCGAGGCAAAACGTCCTCTTGATTGAAACTTCTGTTCATTTAATACATTTCTTATCTACAAAGGTCAAGAAAGAAACAATAGATCGGATTTGCAGAGCCGTACATCATAAAAATGTTTTTGGGAATACTTTCCGACAAAAAAAAAGCTACAAAAAACAAAAAAACAAAAAGGAAGAAAAAGACTACGTATTGAAAAAAAAGCTTCTTTACATGGATCAAACATTGCTCTACAATTTGTGCCATGGGATTCCAAAAATCGAGCTCCATTGTCACTTATTTGGTACTGTTAGAAAGACAACTATGATGTATCTTAATAACAAGGCAGGTAAACCGTTGACTGACCAAGAACTTAATGAATTTTACGTAAGAGGCGAGAAACCAGTGGGTGTATTAAGAATCCTTCGAGCTTTAGACAAATACCTTATTCGTACAGAGGATGACTTGTACAGATTGACAACTGAGTATTTGGAAGATGCTCATTCACACAATGTCCGCTACAGTGAATTTTTCTGGAATCCCACGGGAACAGTTAAAGTATCCTGCATAGAATATCATAAAGCACAAGGCGCAATAGTTGCAGCAATTAGAGATTCGGAGAAAAGGCTTGGGATAAAAAGCAGACTAATAATCTCCATAGATAGAGAAGAGTCTCCTGAATCAGCAATTGAAATGGTTCTTTGGATGACTAAATACAGAGCTCCTGAAGTAGTAGGTATCGGTATCGATTATAGAGAAGAATTGGGGCCACCAGAAAAGTTCATTGAAGCTTATAGATGTGCGAAACAAGCTGGCTTTCGAGCAACAGCACATGCGGGTGAGTTCGGCTGTCGGCCTAAAAACATTGAAGTGGCAATTAATCACTTGAATGTGGATCGAATTGACCATGGCTATACTGTTTTAGAAGATGACAGTCTTACAAAGGAGTGTTTGGATAGAAAATTCGTGTTCACTGTCGTTCCCACGAACTCTTATTATCTAAGAACTTTGACTCCTGAAGACTGGGAAAGAAAGCATCCTATTCGTCTTATGGTCCAAAGGGGTTTGAGAGTATTTCCAAACACAGATGATCCGGCATTTCATCAGGTCACTCCCACCAAAGCATGGATGATGATGGTAGAGCATTTTGGTTGTACTATATCTGATTTGAAGAAGTGTCTTCAATATAGCATTGAGGCTGCATGGATTGATGAATCTACAAAAGAGACTTGGATGCAAGAATGGCCCTCTTACTTTGATGCCTTTTTAAAATGAGAGTCATGGAATTGTGAATCAAATTAGGGAAAAAGTTTTTTTGTCTACAAGTTTAACTATAGACACGTTATAAGCAATTTCTTTAGCAGATTTGGCAGAGTCATTAAAATTTCAGACAGTTTAACTGTTTCATAGATTTTTATAAAACATATTATTATACTCAGTTTCGTTTTCAGACTTACAAGAGTTTTACATAGTTTCTTTAAGTGGTGAGGTCCCATTCAAACAATTCTATGTCTTAGAAGAGACCACGACAACTACAAGCCAGCCTATTGAAATTCTGGTACATTCAGTCATCATATCCTAAGGTAAGTATCCTTCTATTTGAAAAGATTTCTAAAGGGTATTCCTGTCTTCAAAAAATACTCTTATTCGTAAACATTATGTTGCTATATAGTTCTCGCCTAGACTGCGAGACGACACATATATGCATTCTCGCATTGTTCGGGCTTTAATTATTAATTGTTATATGCTCCAAATAAAATTGCATACTTTGTCACCGGAGCTAAGATAGACATCTAAACGTAAAAGTTATGTCGGTCTCTAAAGAACTCGTTCAAAAAGTACTTCAAAACAAGGCATTGACATATAAGTCTTCAAATGCGCCTTTATCAATAACTGAACAGAGAATCGATCTAATTACAGATTCTAACGATGAAACTCATATCCCGGCAAATTCGATATTAATAAAAGTTTCAGCGGTTGGACTCAATATGATTGATCTTATATTTCATAGGTTAGCATCTCCTTTGATTTTCTCTAAAAAGCCTAAGACTATAGGAATTGAATATTCAGGGGCAATAGTCGCTATTGGAAGTGGAGTCGAAACTGATTTCAAGGTTGGGGATGAGATATGCGGGATAAATATGCATCCATTTGGAAATGGGACGTCGTCGCAGTATATCTTAATAGATTCTACATCAAAAGATGAAATGAAGTTTTGCTCAATACCAGAAAACTTGTCATTAAGAGAGGCTTGCTATTGGCCGGTTACTTATAGTACCGCGAGTGAGCTACTCGAAAGCCACATTAAACTTTCAAAAAACTCTAGAGTTTTAATTGTAGGGGGATCCACAATGGTTGGGAGGTTCTGTATTCAACTTTTAAAAGCTATTTACGGCGTGAAAGAAATTGTAGCCGTTTGCTCAGATGCATCATCGAAAGAGGTATTGGAACTCGGAGCAGATAAGACAATCGACTATAAGAAATATCTGAGCATTGCGGTACCTGCTACTGAGGCTGCTGGTCCTGAAAAGTTTGATATGGTTTTAGACTGCGTCGGAACTTTTGATTTGTTCTCAAGTATTGACAACATTCTCAAACCCAAAGCAGAATCATCCGTGTATGTAAGCATTGCTGTAAATATCCAAAATCGGTCCCCCTTTACGGCCTTTTTGAGGAATGCGCTAGGAATGGTTTATCTGAAAATCAAAGACATGTTAAACTTGAGCACATACAATTATGTTTTTCAACAATCGAGCTTTACAAAAGACACGTTGGAGGAGGGGAAGAAATTAATCGAGTCTAATACTTTCGAATTACCTCCTCTTAGATTCTATGATTGGAAAGATTATAAAGATGCCTTCAAAAAATTGGAAGGCAGGAGCACACGGGGAAAGCTTATTTTGTGTATAGATTGAGTAAATTCAATTTTTTTCCCTCGAAGGTTTTAATGTGAATGAAAAAAAAGGGCAAAAACAGTTTCTGCGTCTTACTATGTGGTGACCATATCCAAGTCACTTGAAAGTTGATTTTTGGCTCTCTTCTGCTTCTTCTCTCTTTTATAACCTCAATGATGTTTCATTTTGCCAGATATTGTTTGTTTTCGATTTATCAGATTTTGAATTTATGATTGGATGATAGTAATGATAATTAGCAAAAAAATAAATAAATAAGTACACACACCCTCTCAGCGCAAATTTCAAGCAAAAAGAAACATTGAAAGGAAATTATTAGACAATCAGTCAAATGATATTTCTCCATCATATTGTGGAAATGACCGATTTTTATGAAATCTTTGTAATTTTATCTACATTTCTAACAGAACGAGATCTTCTTCAGTTCATCACATACTATGGATTAATTACTTCAAGCATTCGTTTTTTGGGTTGAATCAGCTTTCCACCTTTGATGTTAAAATTGGTGTCTAATATGGAACCCAAGATCTTATTAGGATTTAGTTCAACAATTCCTTTTTAATTATAATTCATATCTCAAATCATGATTCGTAAATCAAATTACGACTTTTGGCTCATCTCGTTAAATAGTGCAGGTTTTCTCTTTAATTTTCTCTAGGGCGAGTTATGCAAGATTGTCTCAGAGGTTGAAACCTAACAATAGTCAGAGTGACTTTTCTATAACAGTATACGTAATTTGAATGCAGGAAATAGCTCTTTTCAAGAGTTTATTGCGAGAAGTTTTAGATGAAAAAGATAAATGATAAAGGTGCAGATGGGCCCCACTATTACGAAAAATAGTTTTCGAATTGAAAGGTATATACAACCATTCATTCCTCCAACTCACACTAAACATATTCAGAGATTTTTTTAATTATTCCTCTAACATTTGTAGTTTATTACACCTGAGGCATTTTTTTCTAATTTTGTTCAACCAATTTTTATCTGATGCGGCTTTGCTGCGAGACGTGCATCAGCTGCATCTGACTGATTTTTTTTTTAAAAATTTTTCTTGGCAGCTAATTGTTACCCAATAAATACTCAAGAACTTCGTAATCGATTTGGAAAGCGTCATCTTCTTTCATGTCGATCTTTCGCAGGCAGTTAGCTTAAATATAAGCTCACAGTAGTCCAAGCTACCTTTCTGCTAACTCAAAGTTATAAGTGAGATCAGGGAAGGCATAACATGTCAACTGATCAAAAATGCGACTCTCTGGAAGGGTATTTTGCTGATGACACTTCCCATGAAGCTCAACCGAAGAAGGTTAGTTCGATAGGTATTAGAAAGAGTGAACTCCTAATGAAGCAGTATAATCACTGGGTTTTTAAGGTAACATTTCTCTTTACTACCTTCTTAGTTGCCTATGCCTATTCTTTGGATTCAAGTATAAGAAGCACATATCTAGCAACTGCTACATCATCATATTCTCAACATGCTTTATTATCAACTGTTAATGTTATAAAAGCCGTTGCAGCTGCTGCATGTCAGCCAACTTATGCCAGACTTTCAGATACGTTTGGAAGATTGGAACTATGTATTGTCGCAATTATTTTCTACTCAGTTGGAACAATAATCATGTCGCAAGCATATGATATTTATAGATACGCAGGAGGATCTGTTCTTTATCAGATCGGTTATACAGGTATGATTTTAGTGGTTCATGTTATCTTAGCAGTTTTCAGCAACTTAGACTGGAGATTGTTCTACTATTATGTTGCAGGCTTACCCTTTATAATCAATACGTGGGTTTCTGGTAATGTTGCTGCAAGTTCTTTGCAACACTACTCTTGGAATTATTCAATTGGAATGTGGGCTTTCATTTTTCCATTATCTGCTTTGCCATTTTTAGGTTGTTTGGTTGTAATGGCATGGAAAGCTTCCAAAACAGATGAATGGAGGAGCCTTAGGGAAGAAGAAAGAGAGATCAACAAGTGGAGATCGTGGAAAGATAACTTACTTGTGGATTTATTTTGGAGAATTGACATTGTAGGTGTTCTCCTCATTATTTGCATACTTGGTTTTATTTTGGTCCCACTAACTATAGCCGGTGGTGTCGAAGAAAAATGGAAGCATGGCTATGTCATAGCACCTTTGGTTATAGGCTTTGTATTAATAGTGCCCTTGGTTTTGTGGGAAGCTAAATTCTCAAAATATCCTGTTCTTCCATATGCTCTTTTAAGAGATCGTGGTGTTTGGTCAGCTTTATTCATATCTTTAATGATCAATTTGGTTTATATGATGCCAAATGATTACATGTATACTGTATTGGTTGTTGGTATGAGGGCCAGCATTAAAGCTGCAACCCGAATCGACTCTTTGTTCGATTTTGTTGCCACAATCGTGGGGCCCTTAGTTGGATTGGCTGTTGTGAAATATAAAAGGTTGAAAGGATTCGTAATTTTTGGTGTAGCTTGTTGGATTATTTCAATGGGAATTCTTTTGCACTTTAGGGGAGATAATGATGGCGTTGATTCACAAAAATTCATCAATGGTGTTATTGGTGGGTTATGTCTTATGGGATTTGGGGCAGGTTTTTTTACCCATGGTGCTTATGTTTCTATTCAATTATGTACCAACCATGAATACATGGCAGTAGTGATCTCAATATACTTGGCTTGCTTCAATGTCGGAATGGCATTGGGCTCTTCTATTAGTGGGGCTGTTTGGACTAATACTTTATACTCAAACATTGTTGACCAATTTCAGAAAGCGGGTGTGGATACGAGTCTAGCTAAGTTAGCTTATGCATCACCTTTGAGCTTCATTGTTGAATATAAATGGGGTAGCACTGAGAGAATAGCGCTTGCAATAGCATATAGTCATACTCAAAGGATTCTCTGTATTGTTGGTTTGGTTTTATGTTTCCCATTATTATTCGACACATTTTTGTTGAGGGATCATAAGCTCGAAAGTGTTCAATCCTTAGAAACGAACGAAGAGCAATGTGGGGAACAAGAAGTTGTCGTTAACAAAAATGATGATGATGTCATTACAAAAAAGCTTTTGGCTTTTTTTAGATACTCACGAAAGTAAACAAATTCAAATCATACGGACAGAAGAGCTGAATATAATTATTACTAGCTGAAAAGGACGTATTGATTAAATTATTTAAAGCTTGATATTAATAAGGTAACCTCAATCCTATCCATTGAAAGCAATGCTTCTGGTTTTAAGATTTAAAGAGCGAACAAAAGATCTCTTTAAGAGTTGCATACTCCAGAGAATCTAAAAAAAAAATGGGTGCAAATTTAGCTCAACAATTTCATTCGCTTACAGCGTGATCTGAAAAGAGGATTCTGAGAGCACTAGGTAGAAGAGCGGTAAAACTTTAAAAGGAGTTTCAAGAATCTTGCAAAAGCTTAACATCATTCTTGTAGAAGCTTTAATCTTTATCATTTAAAGTAATCAATTATTATTGGAACCCTTCCAATATATGCCCCTCAAAGAATTTTTGGCACTTGTATCACTCACATTATAGCTCTCTCTGGCATATAGAGTTCAGGACTTGACCTTGTATACACACTCGTCCTCAATTACATATGTCACTTTTACTTCGGTCACTCTTTGAATGATTTTTGTATATACTCTTATCGAAAGTTACTCTCATAAGCTAATGTATGACTTGATTGTAGTCTGTTTCAAAGGCAAAAGTGAACCGTATTCTTTATTAGTGGCTCCTTCCAAAGCATCCAATAGTGCCGTTTTCCTGTGGCATTTTTATAAATACTACGAAGCACAACACAATATATTCAGCATTTAACTCAGCTATGCCTAAAAATAAAAACTTTGCACAAAAGTTAGACTTTTGTTATGAACTCTAGTATCTCTTCCGATTCTTTAGTTTTTTTTTTAAAGCAGTTTGATGCAATATGAATACACACGAATTACGAAAACAAGATATATCCGGCATTTTCCCTTCAAAATTTATTGAATAAGTACCAAGCTTTCTAATCTCAGCATTATTTCGGAGAGAGTCCTGTAATGAAATATTTCATACTAACTTTGCCGGCAAATTCAAACCTTTATGGTGTAGTGATTACATGCAGGTCCAAAATCTTACTCGAATTTCGATACTCTAAGTAATACTAACCAAGGTTTGATTTACTTTTCACAAGCTTAAATGTATCTTTTATCAAGTCGTCGTATCACTAAAATAAGGGGCTCGACTCCTTTTATCGTCACTACTGTTTTTTTAGCAGTTTTCTCGGATACATTTATGTATGGTGTGATTATACCCGTAATTCCTTTTGCCTTCCAGAGTCGGATGGGTGTTACTAAAAATGATGTCGAATCTTGGATTTCGAGGTCATTGGCAATATATTCAGTTGGCCTTCTTCTAGGCTCTGTAATTTTTGGATATGCTTGTGACAGAGTGAACATGAGACGAGGTATGATGGTAGGGGGTCTATTAGTTATTAGTGCTTCATGCATAATATTGTGTCTAACTAAATCTTTACCATTATATTTGGTGGGGCGTTTAATTCAAGGGATTTCTGCAGCCGTTGTTTGGACTGTGGGATTGGCTTTAATTGCTGATACTGCTGACTCTGGCCAAGTAGCCTATTTAATGGCATTTCCTGGCATTGGGGTTAATTTGGGTTTTTTTGCAGGTCCATTGATAGGAGGGATTGTGTATGAGAAGTCAGGATACTACTCTGTATATTACGTCTGTTTTGGACTTCTATTTGTTGACATGGTTGTGCGTTTATTGATGCTTGAAAAGAAAGAATTAAATAAAAGGATGAAAAAATTTGATACAGACGAACAGGGAGAAATATTGGAAGTGTCGACTTTGAGTCATAACTCAAATGAGGTGAATGAAGCTATTGAAAACGATAAAAATTGTCCACAAAACCTAGAAGAGAACGAAATACCATCTCCGTTACATTATCATATCCATTCCATCGACACTGTATTTGGTATAAAGGTGCCTCCAATAATTGGGCTTTTGAAGCATTCAACAGTGGTTGTCTCATTGTTTCAAGCGTTCGTTATTTCTTGGATTATGTCAGCTATTGAGACCACATTGACGTTGCATCTCAATGAGATATTTCATTTCACATCGATGGGTGCTTCCCTTATGACGTTGCCCTTGGCAGTGTCCTCATTTATAGAACCTTTTGTCGGTAAGATGAGTGACAAGATGGGGCCCAAGTTCTTGGTTACGCTTGGATTTGTTTCTTTAATTCCTTTCTTGATTATACTTCGTGTTCCGAATCATGATTCTGTCAATCAAATTGCAATGTTTGCAGCTTTTGTCGCTTTGAATGGTGCAGCTTTCTCTTTGATATTTTCTCCGATCATGGGCGAGCTTTGTAAAATTGTTTCGGTAGTTGAAGCTCAAAATCCCGGGCGATTTGGCCCAGGAAAAGGCATGGGACAAGTTTATGGTCTATTTAACTTTTCTTTTTCATTGGGAGCTCTAATTGGCCCTTTTCACGCCGGTGGAGTCTACCTGAAGGTGGGATGGAATACTACAGTTCTTTCCCTTGGTATAATGTCAGCCATATCGTCAATCCCAACATTTCTTTTCACTGGAGGGAATGTGATCTCTAGGTGGCAAAACAAAGATTTCAGATTGAATCATTGGAGGGAGACTATATGAACTTGATTGTATATTATCCTGTAAGTAAATATAATAAAAAACTAAAAGGACAAAATGATTTACTCTTGGATCCACAAGCAAGTTACCACGATTTTTTATATAATTACTCTCATTGAATGCACAATAATGGCTACAAAATGTATGCAAGAGCTTGAAAAGTGAGTGGTACAATACAAACGTTCATGTTGATGAGAAGAATATTATCGTGAAGTAAAAAAATGTACTTTAGAATACAATGCTTTCTTTGTATTCTCTAATTTGTAAAAATCTTGCTTCAGCAAAGGGAAAAGATTCAGTACACGAAAGTAGCTTTCCAACGTTTAGATGAGCTGAGTCGGTAACATGTTCTATATGATATGAAAACAGAAGTGACAAAATTCACGAAAAAAAGGTTTATGGCTGCGAAAGAGGTTTATTCGTGTGCACCGAAGTACCGAGTTTTAAGCATTTGGGCCCCTTTAAAGTAATTCTAGCAATAAGTCTAAACCTCATGATACTTTTACTGTTATCACTAAGTACCTTTTTTTTATATGTATTGTAGACGCTATACTGGTGGTTATACCTTGATGCGTAACTTGAAACCAGTGATTAAAATTCTACAAATTACCCAAAACATAGTGCCCACCAGTGACAAGCATCCAATGAATACTACAAACATATCATAGTTGCGTATACTACCTTGATTTATAATGCTAGCACCTATTGGAAGCCCAGCAAAATTTCCTAAACTTAGAATTGCAAACATCAAACCATACTTTTCTCCAAACTGATCGACTGGCGTAATTTGTGCCAAACAGGCGGGGACCATAGTAAGTATGGATGCCAGAAAAAATCCACCCAAGGCAGCATATGCTAACAAAACGTCAAGCCGACTGCCTAATGGCAACCATAGCACAAATATACATGCGTTATATCCGAGCAACATTAAAATATTGACATTAAATCTACCCCAAAAGTCTGATAGAAGGGATGGAACGCCCCTTCCCAAAATTCCAGCCGAATTCCATACTGTCAACATCAAATAGGAGGTTGAAATCGATTGACCTTGTGCCATTGCATAATTGGGAAAATATGTTGCACTGAGAACGAGTGATATTTCACAAAATAGTGCTCCCAAGCTTAAAGTGGAATATTTTTTGTCTTTAAATTTTGCAATGCTAAATCTATATGCTTTTTTGCCTACGACCTTCCATTTTGAATTTTGTTCCTCTGTTAGTGAGGTCGTCGGTTCTCTTTTTATTCTCTCTTTCACCATAAAGGTGGATATAGTCATGCAGCCTAAGCAAAAAAACGCTAGTATTCTTATAGCCCAAGTATAACCGACCTGAATATAGAGCTTCCGTAACATCAAAGGATATATTAAGCCCCCGACAGATCCCCCACACGTTGCAAGGCCAGTTGCTAATCCTCTCTTCTTCAAAAACCAATGATTGATGACTCCAACGAGTGGGGTGAGTCCAATTCCATTTCCAACACCTAGCACTATATAACTCAAAATAAACTGCCAAATTGTGTTACTATTAGCACTAGCCATCAAACCCCCAAATACTAGTAATGCAGAAACTGTAAGAAGCATAAATGTTCCATATTTATCAAATATTGGACCTACAATTATACCAAAGGCGTAGGCTAGAGAAAGGTAGACTGAAAATACCCACGATACAGCACTTGAATCCAGATCTACTAACTGGTGTGATGAAACATATGCTTGGATTACACCAACTGAATTTATTAATCCAAGCATTACAATTAGACCAAAAAAGGAACCTAGTACGACAAAGCATCCTCGCGTACCACCATCTGGAAAATTCTCTTCTTGACTCACATTTATAGAGTCAGTTTCTGATAGCTCGATGATTTCAGAACGCACCGTGGAATCGACTTGCAATACTTGACGACAGTTTTGAGAACGCATCATTACGAGAAGTGATATCTCAAGAATCAATTATTGGAAGTCTTTCAGGTATTAAGTAATGCAGGACATGCAAATCATTTGTATTTTTCTAGTATTAAGATTAGGAATGTGGATGCTAATCTATATCTCCTTAAAAGGCTGAATGGAATTAGTTGCCTAAAAAAAATGGGAAAAGATAAAAAAAAAAAAGAAAGCCAAACGAGTTGAAAAAGGGACATTAAATCAAATACAGTATTACCTTACTAATTCACATCAATTCTTACAAAAGGTTTACCCTTAAAATAAAGAGAAAGTATATATGATGATACCCTTCAATGCTACTTTTTTAATCATCAGTTTAAGACTTCAACGATATGTATGGTATCCAAATTTAAACATATTATACAGTACTAAAAGATCTTTGCTCGAGTTCCTTATCTAAAAATCTCAGCCTGGCTATTCTGGGTCCTATACCAAGTATCTAAATCAACCTAGAATGCTAGTGAACTACATAGAGCCATTATCCAGGATGATACCCAACCACTCGGGCATGAATATTCAAATTAGATGATTATTTAATTCACTTGCCAAACAGTTAGATTATTACGCCTAAAAGTTATTGTTTTACTACTCGTCATTGGCATGCTTGGCGCAAAATGGGGTTTCTTTAAAAACTGATTGGTTAAATTATTGCGTTTGGTTCAAATATTTCAATTTTTCTTGTTATAGTGAGCAGCAAGATGATGAAGACAAACAACTCTTTTAATTACGTCTTTGGATTATTATCATTTTAGATATAGACTTAAAGCATTTTTTACCATCTAGGGAAACAATAAGAGTAGCCAAAAAAGCAGCCATTTCAGGGTATTAATTATAGTTACTATTCCTAGTTTTCACAATTTGTACTTGCCTCTTTGATTATCACTTGAATATAACTAGGATTATCGTATCATTAATCAGGGGTCGTCTCGCTCTCGCCTAATTCCGATTCTGTACTCATCTTGCTATAGTTAATTCTCTTCTTTTTAAACAGAAGTCACCTCCAACTCTTTATTCGGTAACTATCGCGCCTGAGGAGGAAATTATTCCCTTCATTTTGAGTATTACTCTGTTGCTAAAGAATCTAGGCGGTGGTACTCTTCGCCATTTGCCCTTCCTGTAAAGGTCAATATGCCATCGTATTATGCTGTCAAGAAAAGTGTGAAAACTGGGGTCTACCATAATTCGGATGATTGTAAGTCAATGGTTAAAGGGTATAAAGGTGCCGTTTATAAAAAGTTTCCGTCTCTTTCAACGCTCTAAGATTCGCCAATATTAAAGAGGCGTTTTCTTTAACAGACAATTAGGTCTTTCCAGCTTATCGTTGAATGGTTAAAGTGAATAGGGTTTTGTTTTCGCTTCAAAATTTTAAACATACTGTGTCGTAAATAGAGATTTAGAGTGCAAAACTCCTATATGCTAATAGAAACTCAAATATTTGAGATTACAGCTGAATTAAAAAATACGTTCACCGGAAAACAAGAATTTGAAACGATTTATCTTTGAATAAGAAGTCGCTATCGATTTCTGCAAGTCCTAATTCCAAATCAAGTGGAAATTCAGCATACAAGCTCTCACGATCGCCATCTATATTCACACTACATATTACATCATTACGGTAATAAGCCGCATAGTATATGAGATTAATAGATCATCTCGGTTATAAGCCGCATCTGATTACATGAATTTGCGAAATAAGAATATAAAGCAGCAGCCTGAACCCCAAAATATCTACCAAACTATTATTATTAGTTAAAGCTACTGACAGCCGACATCCATAGAATAGTAGCATTATGTCTTTCCTCGGAGATTATACTACAAATACCGTTACTTACCCTTCCCAGGGTGAAAGTATAGCTGGCGTCTTGTATCGCCCAAATAATGTTTCCAAGCCACCTGGTATTGTAATCATTGGACCCTATTCCTTTATTAAAGAGCAAGCACCGATGCAGTATGCTACTCGTTTGGCAAACCAAGGATATGCGACCTTAATTTTTGATCCACGTACAGTTGGCGAAAGCTCCGGAGAACCCAGGCGATTGGAAAATCCTAAAATGAAAAACGAAGATGCTGTAGCCGGAATTGACTATCTTATCCTGAGAGGCGATATAAACGAAAATAAGATTTTTCTTGTTGGAATTTGTCAAGGTGGAGCTGAATGTTTGGACATTGCTTCTTATGATGATAGAGTTGTCGGTGTGGCATCCGTGTCCGGCTACTATCGTGATCATGAAACCGACATTTACATGATTTGTGCGGGCTGCGTTGACTGGAAACCCGATGTAGACATTGCGACTATGAAGATGCCAACCCCAGAGCAAGGAGAGGCACTTTTCAGAGCCCGGATTGAGAGAGCAAAGAAAGCCCAAAAACTATATGAAACTACAGGCGAGGTCATCTACCAACCATTAGTCGATAAAAAAGCAGCGGATCCCAACGTCGGATCGTTAGCAGGCTTACCAGGTCCAGTAGTTTGGTCTTGGTATGGTCCATGGACTTTGAAAAACTATGAAAACCGATACGCTGTCCTTAGTGACTTGGATCATTTTGGTTACCAAACTGTCGAAAATGTTGCAAAACTTAAAAAACCTGCTTTGCTTATTCATGGTGATAATTGTATGAACGGAGCTGCGGCAAAGAGACACTTTGATTCTATTTCAACTTGCAGGAAGAAGCTTATTTGGAACAATGATGTCTCACATTTTCAGCACTACGACCAACCAGACGTTGTTGATCGAAATTGTGGAGAAATTTTTTCTTGGTTCCAAAACATTTGATCAAGTACACAAAAAATGATTTACAATTTTTGTCGCGATGTTTCTTGAAGATGCCTACAAATCTAGTTCTTTTTTTTATAGTTTAAAGAATTAGCTCTTGAAAGGTGTTAGTTTATTTGTCACATAAATATAACTACTGATATCGTAATGAAAAATGCTTTAAATTTGTCTATTGTAATAATCACGGATACAGCTCACAGCTGACATTTATAGCCTTCAGCTAGTGTCCTGATTCAATCTCTCGGCTCAGAGTAGACCAGAAGTATTTAATAATTTGGGTCTTGCTCACGACTTTTTTTGAGCTAATGTCTTACTTATTTTTGAAAGGTTTCGAAACCTCAATTCAAAGCTTCTTCATTAAAGTATCACTTTAACATAGGGTACCAAAGAGAATCAAACTCATAAAGTCATTAAGGCAAAGACTGATGGTATCATTCAATTGAGGTCATTTTTATAGGGAGTTCTAATAGTTGCTTTCAGGGCTACTGTTGTACTTAGCTGATTCTTATTATATACTTGACTGCTTTAAGCTTCTGTATAGTGTGTTACTACTTAAAATCCTTAGTAGAATGTAATCTTCTACTAATGGGAGTATGAGTATCTCGCGCTTATATATTTTTGCAACACTCATCACATTGTGTATACATACAAGACTGGCACTTCTTCGAATTTGTACCCTCGAAATGTATCAAGATTGACATAGAGATTCTGCTTCTTATTTAAGAACAATTGAGTAACAAATCATCAAATCAACTTCTATCAGTCTTCCTTTAAAAATGATAAGAATAGATTGTAATCAAAGTCATGATTTAGATCATCATTACTATTGAAATCAGGAAGATTTTCGAGATTGGGAAATTCGAAATCGTTTGCAAAGTTATCAATACCAGTGACTCCGAGTATAGAATTGTTTATCAATAATTCATAATAAGAATTTTGAACAAAGTCCAAGCTAAATTGAAGACATATCCCCACCTTAAATGCTATGAAAAATTCTTCGTAAAGTTGAATACACAGCAGATATAATAGCTTGTATTTCTCAATAGTATTTTTTAGTGACATTACATTATTTGTAAAATCTAACCCGGCCCAAGAACCTAAGCCAAATGAATCAGATGACTTAAATTTCTTACACTCGCTTGTAAAATTAAAATTTCCATCAAACGAGCGACATAAAAAGCATATCAAAGTTGGCACTACTTTCGTTAAAGGAGACAAGATACTAGCGCCTATAATTTTATCATATTCAGCTCCGAAAACCGAGGTTGTTCTCGCTGCGAAGTCTAGACCCAAACGGGACAAAATCAAACCTTTTTCAAGTAACAAATTTAAAAATATACTTTTTGAATACCTCAAACTCAAATCTTTATCCCAAATTAAGAATAGGCAATAATACAATATAAATAGCTTAGAATATATTTCGATCCTTAGAATGAACTCCAGAACCCTATAGCCACTTTGGACCTCATTCATGCTTATTAATTGCGAGAAGGTTAATAACTTTTCATTTAATAAGTTCTCAAAACTGTCTAACACATCTTCTAAATCGGATATTTGAATTTCTCCTTTACCCCCATTTAGAAATAACGTGATTTTCCTTAATAGATATGCAGCCAAAGATTTTACCCTTATCTGTTTCAGGACAAAATCGTTGTTCATTAACACTATCTCATTATCAGCTAGATAGCTTACTAAACCTTCACTATGAAAGTTAGAAATAGAAGGTTGCAACCCAAAATTAAATGAGTTGGAAGCATCATCATACAAGAGCTGTAACCAGATCTTTATTTGAGTATCTTTTTCACTTTTCCAGATTAATTGATCTGATTCATACTTGAAAGCTAAAGGAAGACCATGATGAATAGACATATTAATGGCATGAGTGAGTAAGATTGTATTATCTGTTGCTTCAGTGTCATCTTCTGGACACATTGACTTATAAACGCGTAGGAGCAATAATGCTTCGATGGTGCGAAGATTTATTCTTCCGGATACTGTAGGAGACAAAAGCAACGTCGATGCATACTCAATATAAGAGGGAGTAATTTCTTTTTCCTCCCCATCCTCGAATTTTACAAATTCTTTATAGTCGCAGTCAGACGGAAATGTCAAAGTGGAGAATCTGAGTACAATTAGCAAAGATGCAATAATTTCATAATTCTTTGAGTGTTGGATCTGTTCATGAAGACTTCCCAGCTCCCATAAAAGACTAATATTCTCAATAAACTCATCTTTATTGAGAAAACAGACAAAAGGATAACAGTATTGAAAAAACCTCTCAATTAGACGTATCGACGATTCTTTAAGTGGTAACCGTGGGATACTTAATGATAGAGAGTTAGAAATTCGCGAGATATCTTCGATAACTGGCCCTGAAGGATACGAGTTTGAAGTTGGTGCTGCTTGAATTTTTTTTTTTAAGTCAGAGAATTTGGCTCTCTGTAATTCGGAATATTTGTTAAGGATTTTTTGTCCGTATTTGTCATTCATGAAAAGACCAATGTAAGTTGTAGGCCCAAAATATGTCAATCTCAAGTTTTTTAATACGATGTTATGAAAATTAACCATATCGACTCTAAAAACATGATTCTTATCCTCTTGTTGAATATTAGATTCGGAATTTTCCTTTCGTGAATTTTTTTTCATAATATCTATAGTTCTGCGTTGGGTACTGATCGTCTTTTCTAAGGATTTTATTTTACAAGTCAAGATTCCAACCTCTTTTCTCAATCGTGCATTACCAGGTTCTAAAATAGCATTTTCCTGCCACTGGCTAGATTCGTACTCACATAAGTTAGTCTCTCCTCTTTTCTTGCATGAACTGCAAATTGGCACCTTACGATCACATTTTATTCTACGTCTTTGACACATCTTGCAAGAATTAGATAACTTGGCTCTTCCACCATCCAAATTCTCGGAGTCAGCGTTCCTGTCTGTTGAAACTTTCATGTTTAGACTCATTTAGTTGAATCACGTATACCTGACGCATAGAGTTTACTATGATTAATAAAAAATTCTTTAGAACAGTGTCCCCTCCGATGACTTCCGCAAAAGATACCAAGAGAAAGTCATATACTGAAGGTAGTGTATCCGGCATATACGTAAAATCAAGGGAGATTTTTTTTTTGTTCGAGATATTTACAGTTCTAAAGCGCGTAGCCAGCCTTCTTGATTTGACCATGAAAAAACCACTCATATATCCTTTGTACCAGACGCTTAAATGCCCATTAGGCACATTTATAATGGTATATTTTAGCTGTTACCCGCGTTAGATAATTGCTATCTAGAATGAGCCGAAAGCCATCAATCAAATAGAAAAAAAAATACTTAGAATGTCAAAGAAAATAATATCATCTCTCATAGATATATATTTCATAGCCTCATTCTAGAAGACTCACAGAATCTTTCTCTACCGAATCCTTGTTTTAAAAAATCTATCACTAGATTCAATAAGCTCTAATGATAAAAAAATTATTAAAATTACAAAAATTATTAAACAGCATTTTTCTAAGAAGTTTAACTTCTTGTGTCAGGGCTTTATAGAATGTATTGTGTTCCTTTGCTGCAATAAATAAGAACAATTTCTTTCTTACAATCTTAGTTGCCAGCAGGTTAAACATTCAAAAAGCTTAAAAACAGGACTATCTAATCTTGTTAAGCAGGTTCGTAATGCATGCGCATCCAGAACATACGAACATGATGCACATATATACGTACGTGTATATATCTATATATATAGACACAAATCATCATTTAATCTTACAAACTTCGAAATCGTTGAAGGAGAAAGCTCTACATATTCTTCTGAGGACGTTAATAGTGACACTGTATACACGATGTTCGATACTGGTGGAATATCAATGAGAATCCCTGAGTTTTTATGGAAAGAGATCTTAACCAAATATGGGGATGGAACTTCCAGCATCGATTGTAATAAGATGAGAAGCGCAAATCCATACGTAAAGTTCCTTGCTAGTGAATCTGAAGCTCTGATGGAATACCCGTTGGCTGATAGTCTACCCGAGGGATGCGCTTCTGTGAGTTCTCTTGATGGGGTGAGAGCTACACTGAGTGGACCGACTAGTCCGCCTCTCTTCAAAAACTATTACACTGTATGGGATTATGAACATAATTCATACTACATTGGTAAAAGGAATAAAAACCCTGGCCCACCTGATATTGAAATTATATCCAAGGATACAGAATGGACGCCTAAAAAATTGCATTCATAAACAAAATAACATAAGGACTCTATATACGTTATATTTGCAATGGTGAGTTTCAAATTCATCATGTAAGTCTAGATCCATAGTAATATACAGGGTCTGTATGTGTTGAACCTTTATTTTTAAGTTTTGAATATGAGTTAAGGAAGCTTATGGCTCTTCTTCTCTTGGAGCCTTGCGAAATTCTTCTTCATTGCTTCTACTATGTACTCTCGTCCAGTTGTTGCAGGGTACTTCTTCTCGGGACCTTGTATAACAACGTCAGTATTTGCTTGGTTAAACCATGCAATGGTGTACCTTTCTGCCTGATTCTCTCCGACCGTGGGACATCTTACTCTGTGAAAATTGGATTTGAACCTGTCATCAGACCAAGACATTAACATGTCTCCAATATTGACAACAATTTCTCCTGTCATTGCTTCTACAGGAGTCCATTCATCACCAATGGCAAAATCAGTGTGCGCTTTGCGCCCAGGGCAAACTTCTAATCCATGATCCCCATTTCTTTGAAATAACAAAGTAAGACAATCAAAATCAGTATGGGCCCCAGCTCTCCACATATCCAGGGAATAGGTCTGACCTGTGACATCTGGATAATGCAAAAGACGAAGGGTCGATTGGGCAGTATCCTTTTCAATTTGATGTGCTGCCTCGAAAAAATCAGAGTCAAATCCCAAGCTTTCTGCAAGACAGCTGAGTACAGCCATACTCAATTTTTGGCACTTCATTATGAATTCCGATGTATTCTCAACCCACTCATCGCCAACGTCATCCTCAGATGGCCAATAAGTGTGCTTTTTGTGGTATTGAAGTTGTAAAGTCTCCTTTAAATCCTTAGTTCCTGTCGATGGCCGTACCTGCGCTTGGTATTCATAACCACAATTATATAGCTTTTCAAAAGGCCTTTTTTCCTTTATTTCTTTTGAAAGGTGAAAATAATCAGCAGCATTGGAGAAAGTACGGGTGATATCCTCTTTGGAAGGGTATTCCTGATCGCACAACACGAAGAAACCTGCAGTGATAGCCGCATTATATAATTCTTCTTTTATCTCATCACGACGGTTATCAAAGTCCCTCAAGCTAATTCTAGGTATATCCAATGTCATTTTCTATATACTCATTATATTTCGATGAAAATCGTTATTATGAATCTATGCTGTGCTTAAGTATTCTTATCATATCAGAAAAAAAAAATTTCGGATCTATATCCGAACTCAACCGAGATCGATACGGTTTCGGTGAAAAGCGATTTCACTGGGGTTTTAATGTCAATATACCTTGAGGTCAAGCAACTGAAAGCCATTTTGCCAGTAGGGGTAACTTATGCAACGACAAGAAGAAAAAGTCTCTTGAATTCTTCTTTGGCCCTGCCAATTTTTAGCAGCTTTTCCCAGAACAGCAATTGGTCAGCTTTTCTTATCATTATATCTACGATAACTGCAAACCAGTTAGCAATTCAACCTTACAACACAAATATAGATTGAGCATTATGGAAGGTCTTCAACTATCTCTTAGTCCATTTAAAGAGAATATGGAGGCTAGATAAGAGACCTTGGTACGTAATTTAGCGCATAATCATAATGAAAGCAACCGACTAAACTGTATCCTAGACGTAATTACATTGCCGTCTTATTTCTTAGCACCAGAACCGGTTACTATTTTTCCTATTTGGAAAAACTGAAAGTAAAATAATTAAATGAAAAGCAATTCGCTGTGCATATCAGCCTATCTGAGCTTCTCGAAAGCTAATAGCGCTCCAGTATTCTTCTCGTACCGAAGATGACTTCTCGGATATTTTGTTGCACATTACCAAATTTGGTTTCGAGGGGAAAGGCAAAAAAAAAAAGGTTCATAAATAGAATTAACTATAAAGCATATGGAATTTGATTGAAGGAAACAAAGAATTATTAAGAAGAAATTTAAGTGAGCAAGTTAGTAAATAACTAAAAAAAAATATCCGATTCCTCACAACGTCAGCTTTTTGAGGAGGAAGCATTTTTCTTTTTTATCCCAATTACCAGTATGTGTTCCTTTCTCTAATGCGTTTCTAATTACATCTGAAATAGTCACAAAATAATGTGGACTATCTTCTAGCTTAAGCACACAGTTATGCCAAGGCGTTGGAATATGTAGTAAGTCGTCAAAGTTTGGTGCAGCTACCAGGTCTAGGGATCTCACGACTCTGCACTCATCAGAATCCCAAAGGCTAATACCAAATTTAGGGCCACTATTAGAGTGTGCATGAATTGAGAACCTTAGATGCTTGGGGAACATAAGGTCTACCAAATTTGAATACGCGTCATTTCTCTGTTTTTAGTTAGTAATGATTCTTAAATATCATTCATTTGATTGTATACATACCTTTATCATTTCAAATGCAATCCTCGAAACAACCTTTCTAAACTTCTTTCTAGTGAGTTTAACAGTCACAGGATGTGAAGCGAGGTCTTCAGTCATAAATTTTGAGAATCCTCTATACAAAAATAACCTTGGATGGTCTTTGGTGTTAACGTCCTCTCTTAGCTTTCCTGAATCGGTATCACAACTATGTACCAAAACCTTACGACATAGCTCAGAATAATCATCAAGCTTTGTGCTTAAGTAGTGTTCCAAATGAACATGCTCCACAAGTTCTTTCTTCATTGGAAATTGTTGGAAATTGAAAATATCTTTCAAAGATGCAAACTTGATCACTTCATCAACATTTTGAGGGTCCAAAGAAGAATACAAATTCTTGACTTTCTCTGTGTATTCATCAACTATGTCATCATCGACTCCAATACAGTCACTAAAGACATGCCCATCACTAACTATCCACACAATCATTCCCGGTGGATATATCTTCTTCACATTATGTGCGAATTGAATAAGTCTTCGAATTGCTAATTCTTCTCCTTTGTCTGGCTCACTAGTTGCAACCTTCTTTGAGTTCGATGATTTACAAGGAAAAGCAGGTAGCACAGCTTCAATGGTGATGCCTTTGGTAACAAAAAATTCAATTCCTTCCTTGAAAAACTCTCTTCCTCCTGAATCCCACTTGTCTACCTTCGCAGTCTTTTTCAACGTGGCTACAAATTCATCACATATTATGTCCGCAACATATGAAGTTTCGCTGAGATCTGGGGAAAAGTCGACTTTACTAGTGGATGCAACCAAGTGTAAAAACCATTTGTCAAAATCACTTGGCTCAAAAGATTCAGTGACAACGCCTCTTATCACATCAGTGCTGGCAATCTGCCACACGAGAAATGATTTTCCAGATAAATTTATTGAAAAGGTTTCGAACGCTCCATCATTTTCTTTTTTGATTGCCAATTCAAGCTCTTTTGTAAAGCCTTTCTCATCAAAATCAGTGTCATAACATCTTTTGATTGAGATGTCCGATTTAAAATCTTTACAATATATAAATTTGATTCTCTCAAAGACTGTTCTCTCTTTTATCTCTTCCAAGTCAGAAGTACTGGAGGAAGAACTCGAAGACTCTTGTGAAATGGTTGTAAACGAAGGCATTTTTTAACATTAATTTGAAGGTTTTAAACCAGCATTGTGAAAAGAAGTGACATGATGTATTCATATTTATAATACCCCATACGAAAGAGTAGACTAGAAAAGGTATGAATAGAGATCAAGGACCCGAAAGTGCTCAGCAAAAATTAGCTGGTTAACAGATGAAAGAGCAACATTCGCTTAGCTTGGATTGAGAAACTTTAGCTCAACAGTTTGAGCTCCAAGGAATTAACCTGAAAGGTTAATCTGTAAAAACAACATGACTGGAAGATATGTTGGTGATACCTAATATGGGACCCACTTCCTAACCACAGGACATGTTTTGATCAAGGCTCATTTACACAATTCAAATTTGATGCTTAAATTTTATAATTTCCTTTTGAATAATTCTATCCCCAAAAAAATTCAGTAGCATAAAAAAAAACATGTCTATGCTGTTATATATCAAAACATACCTCGGGACCATATGCTCTTGAACACCTAAATTTTATGCCTACGATTTAGGGAATTTTTTTGGTCGCAAATAATTTCTTCCAGAAAGAGTAATCAGACAATTTTTCGTTAAAAGGAAAAATCTGAGGTAACACTTAACAAGTGATAAAACTTCATGTCTTAGTTAAATATCAATAAGAAAAGTTATAATATGAGCACATTATCTTATTTTTAAGTCCACGAAGAATAATACTTCCGAATTTTGACATTTATTTCTCCTTATAAGCTCCTATTTAAAGATATGTTCAAGAAGTAATAGATACAAGACAAAGTGAACCTAGTTTTGCTTTGGCTGAATTTTAACCCTTCGTGCCTCACGTAAAGTTGTCTTAAATTATTTCCTGGATGGCAGCTCCTAAAAAACATCGTGCCTTGACTTATCCTTTCCCAACTACAAGTGTAAAGTCGACTCTAAACAAAATCTATGTATCATTTTCCATTATAGTAAGAGCTCGAACAAACATTCTACATATTCTTTTTTTGAGAGATGAGAGCTTAAAGACTAATAGACGCTCAAATCAACAACCCAAGTCTTAATGACACCATCCAAACCAGTACTAACGAATGTGGCAGATTTATCACTTTCTTTATACTGATTCCATTCGAGACCTGATACTCCATTCTGATGCGCCAAGGGAAACTTCAAAACCTTCGATGGCTTTGCTACTGAATAAATGAAAATTGAGCTATCTAAGCCACCACTTAAGAGGAATTGCGAATCTGGAGACCATTCAGCAGCAAGCACCTTGCTGCTGTGAAATGCCCATCGGGTTGTGACAATACTAGTATCTTTAGTATTATACAAGGTGTATTTTCCGGTGGAGTCTGCGACAGCAACAAGAGCGGAATCCGGAGACACCCTGATCAAAGTTGGCGCAGCCCTTAATTTGGAATAGCTAGAGCTGGACTTATTTATTCCCGTTTGAGACAATGAGAATTCTTCTACGGTGAATGACTTTTCATTTGAAATAACGAGTGAATCCGTCAGAGGAATAGCTGAAATAGTTGAGGACGGAAAATCAAATGACAATTCTGTAACTTTCGAAGTCCCAGAATACACTTCGATTTTTGATTCGAAGAGAACAACAATTTTATCCTTAAAAGAAATTATCTGCTTCGGCTGTGAATCTAGCGTCAAAGACGTAGCCGTCCCATCTTTCCAAAACTTTAATTGATCGTCCCATCCTGATGTGACTAGTTCATGCTCCAGATTAGTGATTCCGACGACGTAATTATTATGCTCATGTCCAGATGGATCTAATCTTTGAGCAAGAGAGTCTAAGTTTTCACCATTGAATTTCCATTTAAAAATGCTTCCATCAGACCCACCTGTCAAAAGATTCTCAGAGTCTTTAAAGGTACTCGTTAAAGAGCTCTGATGTCCCACGATTATCAGTGAGGGTTCCCTATCACCTTCTTTGAAGTAGTTCAAGTTTCCATTAAGAGAAAGGGAGACAATATAGTCTTTCGCAACTATAACTCCAACCTGTTGGTTTTCTACGCTGCCGGAACTTACAACATACGTTGAAATTAGACTCAGGTCTTCGATTTTCCATGCTTTCACCGTATTGTCAGCAGAGCACGTAACAAATCTCAGAGAGTCTTGAAACCAACTGATACCAAATATACCACCTTCATGAGCGTTCTCTATCGTTTTGACATACTCTCCTGTTTTTCCATCATATACAACAACACTTCTATCAGAACCCGCACTAAGTAGCCATTTTCCATCCGGAGAAAACTTGACGTCTCTAATGTTGTTTGTGTGATATCCTCTCACACTCTTGTCGAACTTAAACGGTGGCCCATTAAAGAAAACTAGTGCTTTGTCATCACCCACAGTTGCGGCTCTATAAGGCCTTTGGGGTTTAACATCAACCGCATTTATAGCAGATGAATGGCCCTGAATTTCACCTACTGAGTTACCGGAGTCCCATGAGAAACAATGTCCGAACTTATCTTTTCCTTGGCCAACAGCTATTACTCGAGAGCTGTCGCCATCCCAGGCAATCGACCTAATGGGCCCTGAAAGGATTTGGAACTCACTCTTGACGTACGGTTGTTCAAATGGGTCTTGCTCTGATCCAGGAGAGCTAATAATGGAAGAATCCCAGATCTTAACCTCTCCAGATTCATCACCTGATGCAATATAATTACCTGATGGTGCAAAAGTAGCGACAGTGGTCCTATGAATATGCTTCGTAAATTGCCTCGAAGGTGTTTTTGACAAGGGATCGAGTGGTCTGACAATGATTGATTTACCGTTCGGGTAAACAATTCTATCATGAACAGGATCGTATGACAAATGGAGCGATTGAGCCCGGACTGTCGAAGGCTGAGGAGGATATAACTTCAAAGTCTTAATCGACATATCACCTTTATATATATGATTTTAATCTTGTAACTATCGAACGTCAATACAGATCACGGATCACGACATAAGTGAGCCTGTTTAATTTAGTATCTCGCTGTACATTTAAAGCCTTTAAAATTTCAAGTTTGTGTAAGGATCGTGATTGTCGAGGTAAACTTCGGAAACTATTAGGAAAATATGATTGGATTTAACGAGTATAAACTAACGGGAACGTGTAACTCAACAATGCTTCGTATAAGTGGTTCAAGAAGGTCTAAAATACTAGCATATAGGAGTGTTAACAACTTGCGTAGGCTTTCTGTGAGCTCAGTTGCTCGTTTGGCCGAGCTGCCAATTCCAAAGCCACCAACTACACCAATATTAAAGGAAGACATCAAAACTAATACTGGTAAAAAAAGAACTTCATTTATTGGTATATTGTTTAGGACATTACTTGTGGGTACGGTAGCATATGGTGGGACTTTATATGTAGCCACCAAGAATGATAAAGTGATGGACTTTGTAATTGACAATCAGTTACCTTATCACGAAGAGATTTTCGACTTTTTTGAGCACACAACAACAGATGATGTTAAAAATAAGTTCAATGACTTGAAAGAATATGCTTCGAATTTTAGTTTACCTACGAAAGATCAAATGAAGGATTTAGGGCAAAAATTGGAGGATAAGGGCGAGTCTTTCATTTCTGAGACGAAGAAGAGATTGAGTCCATCTGAAAGACAGAAAGCTATTGAAGATTCACATCCTTTACCGGAGGAGCAGTTGCAAAAGCCAGTTGAGGTAGAAAGTGTTAGGAAAGACATCAGCAAGTTGCGATTAATTTCAGTTGACAGTTCAAAGACAGATCCTAGTATTCAAAGAGCTATTGATTTATTGAATGAATTGACGCAATCCGTTCCAGAAAATCCAGCTAACGAAAAACTAGTGAAAGCAATTCAGAGTAGTGTAACTGAGTTAAGTGAAAAACTCAATGGATTGAGTCAAAGGTTTGATGATGAGGTAGCCAGTAAGTTGAAGGTATCTCAGACAGAATTGTTGTCGTCTTATACTCAAAAAGAATTGGAATTGACTGAGAACTTGATTGCTCAATTCAACAGAGAAAAATCTCAGTTGGACAAAAAATACGATGCTAGATTACAGCAGGAAATCGATGCTACAAAGCAAGCTCTTTCACAGGCTGCTGTCAATGCTATTTCAATGGTGAGACTAGAACAAACGAAAAACTTCGAAGCTTTGGTTAAGAATAAAATTGATTCTGAAAGAGAAGGACGTTTAGCGAACTTGAATAAATTGGATTCTAAAGTTTCGGACTTAGAAAAATTTTCCACTAGTTTAGAGTCTCAAATTTCGAGCAATAACCAGAGGTTAAAGATCCAAAGGGCTTTGGAGAATTTCAAGAATGCATTTGGACGTGAAGGGCCTGAATTAAAATCTTTGAGCCCATATCTCGATCATTTGACGGAAGTTTCAAATGAGACCAAAGACGAATTGCTCGCAGTTGCATTGGCAGATTTAAGGCCCTTGATTGTTGGTGAGAACTCAAAATCTATTTTGTCAACTGCACAGCTTTTATCTCGCTGGGAACAATTGACACCTGAGTTGCGCTCATCATCTTTGTTGCCTCCTAACGCTGGTTTATTGGGTCATTTGACTTCCAGAATTTTCTCAGCCTTCCTTTTCCCTGTTAAAGGGTCTAAGCCTGATGGAAGGGATATTGAATCAGTCATTGGAAGGGTCGAATCAAGTTTATCGAGAGGAGAGTTGGATTCTGCTGTTGAAGAGGTTGCAAACTTGAAAGGTTGGCCAAGAAGGCTAGCTAATGACTGGCTTGTTGAAGGCAGAAAGAGTTTAGAGATTAAGTTTTTGATTGACTTGATCTCAACTGAAGCTATAATTTTGTAAATGCTTTGAGCGTCCTATTTTGTAGCTCTACTATTTTTAACGTATATATTATGTAAAGCTCATTAGATATTTTTACTTTGTAAGCTCACGTGATCGTGTTGAGAGTCGAACACTCAACGTTTTCAACTTAACAGTATTTGACGTAGTTTACTTAAATTGATAGCTAGAAAGATTAGAATTCCAAAGATGTCTTCAGGTGGTAATAGTGCCTCCGTCTATGGAGGTGATGAAATAAATGCTATCGTTCTAGATCCAGGCTCTTATCACACAAGGATTGGGTACGCAGGTGAAGACTTTCCGAAGGTCATCACACCCTCTTGTTATGCCATTGAAAAGGGTAATGAGAACCAGAAGCAGAAAAGAATCTTTGGTGACTCAATCAATGTTCCTAGACTGAATTACGTCGTAGAACCAATAATGAAAGATTCAATGGTTATTGATTGGAATACTGCACTTGATCAGTACAAATATTATTTTCATGACTTTTTAAAGATAGATTATAAAGAGCAGCCTATATTAATAACTGAGCCTGTGTGGACAGAGTTTAAGTATAGACAGGAGCTTGTGGAGAATTTTTATGAAAGTTTTGACTTCCCAGCATTGTATCTCGCTCGTACACCAACTTGTATTTCATTTCAGCAGGGTCGTCCCAACTGCTTAATCGTTGATATCGGACACGATTCAGCTAGTGTGACGCCTGTCATCGATGGTATATCGCTATTGAAAAATTCAATGAAGACACATTACGCGGGTAGGTTTTTGAACGATCAAATTCGAGACTTGCTTGACACTCAATTTCCTAAGGTTGCGATTGAAAATAGCTACAAAATTAAAAGTAAGATACCCACGATATACCCTCAGGAAGCCAGATTTGAACTAAAAAACCTTCCCAAAGGGATTACAAAATCATTTGAAGATTACGACAGACAAAAAATTTGGCACGAGTTCAAAGAGACTGTTCTTGAAGTTCCAGAGAAGAAAATAACATCTTCCTCAAAAGATACATATTCTCAAGATTCATATAAGCGGTTATTCGAGTTCCCTTCCGGCCAATCCATTGAATTGTCGGCGGAGAGATTTGAATTGGCTGACGCTCTCTTTGAACCCCAGAACTATAAGTTTCATTCAGAACATCTCGAGAAGCAATATCCTCCAAGCAACGGTGAATTATATCTCGATAGCTCTTACGACGATTATAGGCCCTTGAAAAGGGCACGAAAAGCAGAGTCAACTCCTCCTCCTGCCGACCCTCTGTCAGATCTGGCATCACAAATACGTGGCCTCTCAAGTCTTATATCTCACGCAATTTCTACAATTGATATTGACTTGAGGTCTTCAGTAGCTCATAATATAATCGTTACTGGTGGAGTTTCTTTGATTCCTCAGTTGACGGAAAGACTATATAATGAACTATCCAACTCCAATCCTGGTTTGAAAATAAGGCTACATGCGGCAGGAAATTCAAGTGAAAGAGTGAATCAGTCTTGGATAGGAGGCAGCGTCCTTGCCTCACTTGGTACTTTTCACCAGATGTGGGTCTCAAAAGCTGAATATGAAGAGGCAGGACCCGAAAGAATATTGAAACAAAGATTTAGATAGATTAGATACCATAATTGATAAAATTTTATTTTTCCTATTTTAACATTAACCAACATTTTGTGTTAAATTTTGTTGTATTCGATTTTCTCAAAAGGTTGCGCATTAAAATCTCCGCAAATGATGAACTGGACTAAGTTCGATTTGCTATTAACACAATTTTAAGTATTTTATCACAGGTGATACTACTTCTTATTGCATAGCTAAAGCTTACAGCTAAGAGAAAAAATTAGGAATTGCACTATTACCATTCCCTTGAAAAATGAGTTATAATGAAGCAATAAAGGGGGCACTCGAGCTTGACCCATGGTTAGAACCATTTTCAGCTCAATTGAACGAGAGACAATCAAGAGCTAACAAGTGGATTGAAACAATTAACAAGGCAGAAGGGTCACTTTCAAAGTTTGCATCATCGTATCAGAAGTATGGGTTACGTGCTGACCCTAAAACGAAGATAATTACAGTGTATCAATATATTCCAGATGTGAAAGAAGTTTCATTAGTTGGGGATTTCAATAACTGGGACCCGCAAAAACACAAGCTCATGAAGGTAAACGACTTTGGGTTATGGGGGGCGTCGATTCATCCTGTCAATGGGGAATATGCTATTCCCCACGATGCACGTTATAAGATTACCATGGTTTTACCATCTGAAACAAGAATATACAGGTTAGATCCCTGGGCAGTCAGGGCAACTTCTTCGAAAGAGGACCATGTCTACGAAGGTCGCTTTTGGAACCCACCAGAACGTTACGAGTTCAAATATCAACGGCCTAAATTAAAGCACGGAATTAGAGTGTACGAAGCACATGTGGGAATATCGACCCCGGATCCAAAAGTTGGCACCTATAAGGATTTCACACGGAATGTTTTACCCATTATTCATAAGTTGGGATATAACACTATTCAGTTGATGGCTATCATGGAGCATGCATATTATGCTTCTTTTGGATATCAGGTTACTAGCTTCTTCGCTGCATCTTCTCGGTTTGGGACCCCCGAAGACCTCAAAGAGCTTATAGATACGGCCCATAAGTTGGGAATTAGGGTTCTTTTAGATGTCGTGCATTCTCACAGTTCAAAGAATGTAGACGATGGTTTGAATATGTTCAATGGTACGGACCACTACCTTTTTCACGGAGGGCCGAAGGGTAATCATGACCAATGGGATTCCAGATTATTTAACTATTCAAACTACGAAACTTTGAGATTTTTACTTTCCAACTTGAAATATTATGTTGACACTTTCAAATTTGATGGATTCAGATTTGATGGTGTTACAAGTATGCTTTATAAACATCATGGTTTAGGGTTTGGTTTCAGTGGCGATTACAATGAATACTTCAATCCAGAATGGGTTGATAACGATGCGATCATGTATCTTATCCTAGCCCATCACCTTTTTAAAGACATTGAGAATGATGCGGGTATTCAATGTACGACGATTGCGGAGGATGTGAGTGGAATGCCTACATTATGTTTGCCGATTTCTGATGGTGGTATTGGTTTTAACTACAGGTTATCCATGGCAATTCCTGACATGTGGATTAAGATCTTGAAGCACTTAAGAGACGAAGAATGGGATTTGGCTAATATTGTTCATACTTTGACCAATAGAAGACATGGTGAAAATTGTATAAGTTATTGCGAATCACACGATCAAGCTCTAGTAGGAGATAAGACCCTTGCTTTTTGGCTTATGGATAAGGAAATGTACACCAACATGTCGGTTTTATCTCCTTTGACGCCGGTTATTGACCGAGGTATGGCTCTCCACAAACTTATTAGGTTAGTGACATTTGCTCTAGGAGGGGAGGGATATTTGAATTTTGAAGGTAATGAATTTGGCCATCCCGAGTGGTTAGATTTTCCTAGAGTAGGTAATGGAGAATCATATCATTATGCTCGCAGACAATTCAATTTGATTAAGGATGACCTCCTTAGATATAAGTTCCTTTTCAATTTTGACGAGAAAATGCAAGAAATTGACGAAAAGTATAATATTTTGGACAGTAATCAAGCTTATGTCTCTTTGAAGAATGAAGGTGATAAAGTTCTCGTCTTTGAAAGAAATGGATTGTTGTTTGTATTCAATTTACACCCAACAAACTCATATCCTGACTACAAGGTAGGTGTAGAAGTAGCAGGTACGTATGAAATCGTTTTGAATTCTGACGAAGGCTGCTTTGGTGGGCATGACAGAATTCAAGATGTTGACGATAAAGGTAAAAAGCTTGAATTCTTTACAACCCCTGATCAATGGAATAATAGAGCAAACTCTCTTTTTGTTTATATTCCTAGTAGAACTGCAATAATCTTGCAGCTCAAAGATAAGATTTAATTCTTCCAGAAAATCTAGCTATTTTCATATATTCTTTTGGTTTATTTACAGATCATATAAGTTAAGTATACATTATTCGAGTTCATCGAATTTACCCAGCTGTTGCCACTCTCTCACGGGGTTTTGGAATCCCTCAAATATCCCAGTCCTCTCCATCTTTTCAAATAAGACGAAGAGTTTTTCGGCTTCACGTTCCTTTTCTTCAAGACTAAACTCAGGCTGAGTGCCAGCATACTTTATTGCATTATTTAAGTCCTTTGTTATCCCATTCTCGTTATTCAATTCAGTATCATAATTCCCATATTTCGGCTTCATATGTTCTTCTATATTAATATCTTTAGGCAAACTAATATCATTATTTTGCAAATAATCTCTTCCAATGATATATCCGACTAGCTCTAAAAATATCTTTGTTTTTGAATCTTCAGATGATTCTTGAGGTAACTCGTAAATACAGTTTAAAGTTACATCTTTCAATAATGAATACCTTGGCTGAAAATTGACATCTTCGCCATTCCGAAATAAAATACTTGACTTCAAAACAACACAAATTAATTTCGAAAATATATCATAGGAGTCATAAGTAGGAGATAACGCCTCAGCCAACCTTGTGCTAATTTCTTTTTTCGCAATAGGATTCGATAAAGTTAATAGGCTGTTCACGAGACTTAGACTATTACTTAAGTCAAACAAAACATCCTCTAACTCAAAAGTAGCACACTTCGTAGACAAATCAAGGAGGCGGTCAACCCAGTGCGCCAAATTATCGACAAAGTCGCGATATGGCTTCAAAAGTACATCTTTGTCATCCAGTGAAGAAAAATCACCGAGATATTTAAAGGAAACTAAAAGAACATTCAACGAGCTTTGTTTTAATTTCCTATGATGAATTAGTCCTTCTGGCAGACCCATTAAATAGTTAAATAAAGCTAACACTTCGAATGGTAATTTATTTGGAATTATTGCTTCATATCTATGATAAAGTGCATATGCACCCTTGAGGATCTCTTCCAAAAGAAGATCAAAGGTTGCATCATCCTTCAACTTTTCAATCTGAGCCATACAAATATCAAAGCCCTGAGTAAGTATGCTTTGTATCTTGGAAAGTGTCTGCTCCTCCACATCAGGTATTGAATCGCATAAAATCAAGAAGATTATTCGATAAATAGGAATCAACTGTTGAAGCTCATCAGGTGAATCCGACTCCTTTATCCACTGAATATCTATATATCTCAAAACTTTTTTAGAATAAATAGGAGTGAAATACGTTGAATGAATACCTCGATTAATTAATAAAATGTTAGATATGGTTGCTAACATTTCCGACAGTTCCTCAAATGTAGTGCTAGAAAACAAGAGTCCTAATATAATGTCAACTTGGTCATTGCTTAGACTATTACAAAAGCTAGCATTTCTACCTCTGTGCCTAAGTTCCTTCCTATCCGTGAATTCCATTACTTTATCGACAGAGGAAAACATCTTATTTAGTTACCTCAAGTTCCGATATCATATATATTATATAAACACGTGACCATATCAACACAGATATTTTATCTAAGGTGGCAGAGCTCAATTACCTTATCAACTAGAGATTCGACCTCTGCAAAGGGTACGGGCTCATCAACTATATAGCAAGTAACTTTTCTTAATGCATAAGCGCCAGCTGTCATTACGCCAATGTTACTTTCATAAGTCTTGATCATTCCAATAATATCTTTGGCAATTTTTTTCTCAAAGTTGGAAGGATAAAGAGCTAACTGCTCTTGAACTTTTGGACTCTTATTATCTAGCCTTCTCAACAAAGACTCATAGAGATGTAGTTTCGCGATTTTGATGGAAAGTGCGATAGCAACAATTATTTCATCAATAAAAAAAGTTACGGGAAAGACATTTTCATTCGAAGCTGGTTTGTATATGATGGGTTTCAAAGATATTGGGAGCCTTGCTTCGGCTTCGTCAAGGCTGGATTTTAGCGTTGACCACTTTTGAAATAAGCCATTTGATTCATCCTCAGTTAAGACTTCTTCTGAATATTTAAAATCGTTAATTTGACTACCCAATATTAAAAATTTCTTCTTCCACCAGAATGTTTTTTCTTTGCTGAAGGTTTCATCGTCCAGATCAACTGAGGCAAAATTATCAAATAGTTCAAAGTATTTTGGATCTAATTTTCTCCAGTACTTCTCCACTGAAGAATATAATGGAAGATTTAATTTGAATGATAAAAGCTGATCGCATTTGTAAACCGCCCAAAAACAAAGCTCATAGAAGGGTGAACTTTTTAGTAAGCTGTGGGATTGCGTACTCCTCTCTAAAAGAGAAGAAAATATGCTATAAACACCTTGAACATGTGTACCATCAACGCCAATCAAGGATAATTCACTCACACATAACATGGTGGTACTTAGTAGACATCTCGAAATCATGGCCTCGTTTACATCAGCAACCTCAGAAGAGCTCAAGTTGTATCTAATCATCTTGATACATTGCTGATAGTAATTGACAGGGATCGATTGCTCAATACGCTCGGGACTGATCCTGTGTAAGATGATTGAACTAAAATAAAGCACAGAATACAACAACATCTTAGTATCATCATATACGGCCAAACTCGGTATGACTTTCTGAAAAATCTCTAACGGCCAAAATATGTCGAGAAACTCAGACAATTTATGAATGTATAAGTCTAGGAGTTCAAATTCCAATTCGTTGGATAACAAAAGTTCGAAACGATTGTCTCCCTCAACAGTCGAAGGGACAGTTATATTCAATGCTGCCTGAAAATGTTTATTTAAATAATCTAAGGAAAGCTCCCCATATTCAATAGGCGATACCTCCTTAGACAAATATTGTTGCTTTTTATTTTCAATTCCAGATAGTTCATTGATCCTTGGTTTAGCATTTCTTTTCGTTTGGAGTGGTTTATAATGGCCAGCATTTGAATTCGTACGAATTCGACTAGCAGCCATACTAGGCATAGTAGGTTCACTATTAACCCTAGGTTGTGAAGTCATTATTAGCAGCAGACTCCGATGACCATTTGAAATGACATTGAAACTAGCATGTCGCGGGTGTATAGCAGGGTGACTCGCAAAATAAGGTTGCGAATAATGCAGAGTTCCCATATAAAGGTGATAAGGATTCTGTGTTTGACCTATGGGACCAGAAGGGTATAACTGCTGCTGTTGTTGTTGTTGTTGTTGTTCATATGGCCATTGAATATTTGGTATGAAAAGCATTCTCTGCGGATCTGAAGGCATCGGTTGGAATCCCGATCCTTGGAACAGGTGTCCCGTAGCCTGCTGGGTATGATGATGTTGATGGGTTTGTGGATATTGCTGCTGAGTATGAAAATGTTGATTTCCTGCCACTTGCAGTTGTAAAGGCGGCTGCTGCTGCAGTTGTTGATAGAACACTGGGTTCATTTCTTCGGCTCCCTGTACAAACGGTGATTCAGGAGGAACACCAGAATGCAAAAAATGAGGTATTTGTACATGGCCTGGTCTATTAAGTGTCGGTTGGTTATTTATAAGACCGCCTTGGCCAATATGAGGTCCCTCTCTTTGGTCCGGTTTCTGGTAGGAATTTTGAACATACGGCTGGTAGCCGAAATTGTTATTGAAAGGCAAGCTCATTGTGCATTACGCCTTGAAGTAATTTTATACAATATGCTTGCTAGCTATTATATTGAACTCATACAAAGAAGAGGCGCCTTCTTTATATTCTTTTGAGCGATAAACGAGAGGCAGTTTTGGTTTTTTTTTTTTTTTTTCCATTATTATTATTTTGGATGAAAAGAGTGCACATAGAGTTGAACGATAAGAACAGTTATAAAGTTTATATCTTGACAGACATCACGTTATCATGGATATGATACAAAACACTTTATGAATTGCAATGGCTAGCAAAGAATTCAATGTGTTTGTTGTTGACTTGTCACCTTCCATGGGTGCTATGAAGAATGGACGAAGAATAAATGATTTGGAATACGGGTTAAAGTATTATAACGACTTTATAGCGGAGACGCTCCTTAAGAAACGCAAACAGGATCGTGTCGCTATTGTGCTTTGTCACTCCAAGAGCACAAAAAATCCCCATGCAGATGAGAGCTCACTTAGAAAGATCGAAGTGCTCTATGAGGATGCCATGTTAACCTATGAAAAGTCTAAAGAATATTCACGAAAGCTTGCTGTTAATACTGATTCAGTAGAAAAAAACGAGGGTGACTGCTTGGAAGCGCTACTAGTGGGTATTGGAATATTCAAGGATTCAATTAAATATAAATTTAACAGAAGAATCGTAATAATAACCAACTCTGATACTGAAATCGCATCGTTCGGCTCAAAGATTGCTGAGGCAAGTTCTGGTCCCATTTCACAAATGAACATTGAAGTCCTCTTGAATGGCATAGACATCGATGGAGACTATGTCAATAAATCCTCTACTAAGATGGAAAATGAGTCAAAATGGAGGACTTTAATAGCCAATTACGGCGGCCGACTTGTGGACACCAAAAATCTTAACATGTCACTCAATTACGCTCCACCTTTGAAAAAGGTACGTCCTGTTGTGTCATTTAGTGGCCATTTAAGATATGGGACCTCTTTGGAGAGTTTAACTTCTGACAGAGATTCCATAAATAGCGACGATAAATCCCAACTCTGTATCAAAATTCAAGTATTTCCAGCAGTTAAGCCGGAGAAACTACTACCTAGTCATCAATATATCATCAAAGAAAAATCGGTGCATCAATTGAAATATGAAACATTTTATCACATCAAAAAAAAAAAGGAAAGGCCCAAAAAGACAGAAGAAACCCAAGAAGGTCAGAATGATGAGCAAGAGAAGAGTGTAGAGTCTGATTCTGATGATTACGAAAAAGAGTACGTTAGTAAGGGAGACTGGGAACCAGGTTTCAAGTATTCCAACATGGATTTGATTGCCATAGATAATGAACTTTCTGATTCCGCAAAACTTCGTTGCAACAAAGGAATGGACATCCTTGGCTTTATTAAAAATACCAAGTTGCCATACGTATATTTCATGCAAGAATCTTCTTATGTTATACCTGAAAGAGCAACCACGAAGAACATTGTTGCTTTCAGGTCACTTTGTGTGGCTCTAGAGAAGTTCGAAGTTTCGGCGCTTGTAAGATATGTTCCAAAAAATGACTCCGATATTCAGTTATGCGCTCTTATGTCAACAAAAGTCATAAATGCTGATATGGAGTTAAATAATCTTATTTTGATACGACTTGCCTTCAAAGAGGACGAAAAAATTGGAAGATTTCCCTCTTTGACTCAACTGCGTACGACAGCAGATGGCATGAAGCCCGCCAAAGATGAAGAACAAGACGAAGACTACGAAAATGAGGAAGATGATCTCAGTTTAAAATCTGATTTGAAAAAATTCTATCCATCAAGTGGTGCAAAGGAGCTGATGAAAGCTTTCATTCTTTCTAAAGATCTTGATAATACTCTGGAACCACTTGACGATGGTCATAAAATAAGGAACCAAAAAGTGTCTCTCATAGAGTCGGATACTTTAAGATTAATACAAGATATCAAGGAAGATATTGACACAAAATTACTTCCCTCGTCTCTTGCAATCCATAAATTCATATTCATTTTGAAAAAAATAATTAAGGAGTCTTTGAAACAAGAAGATTTTGACAAGTTTTTAAATGACAAAAACTTCATAACTAAGTATTTGCTTAAAGATGATGATGACACTTATGAGTTTCTCAACGGTGAAGATGCCACCAATTTCTTTAATTTAAAAAACGTACTTTCAATCAATACATCGGGTGCATACAACTTTTTAAACGATATAAATCTTAAATCTTTAAAACCTGCCGGAGAGCTATTGGAAAAGTTGGATATCAAATATAGAAAGGCCGCAAATTTAACAGATCCAAAAAAACGTAAAACTGATTACCCCCACGGTGGTCTTTGGAATCGCAATAAGAAGCCAAATTACGGCGAATCAGAAGGTGAATACGACGAGGCCCTTAATCTAGAAAAATTACTTGAATGAAGTCTAATTTAGTCTAAAATAAAAAAAGGTCCCCCGAAAACGCATGTCTGAACTAAATTCTATACGAGTAATATTTACAATTTAAATAATTGGTTCTTTAAATCGAACTCCCTATCTTTAGCGGTCCTCTTTCTGTGTTTTGACAGAGCCAAGCCGTCTTTGCCTAAGTTATTTGTGATTTTTGAATTCACGGACATTTTAGTAATTCTATCTCTTTCTTGACTAATCCCTTCATTTAATGTATCAGCATCAATTTCCTGGATCGCATCTCGATCAAACAAGCCTTTATAACACGAACTGCGTCCTTGTTTCCAAAGGTTTATCCAATGAAGAGCCATTCCTAATTCATCATAAGTGTTGTCTTTTTTTAATTTATTTCGCTTCAATGCTATGTTGTATAACAATTCGTCTATAGAATTTGTAGGAAAATCCATATACTCATTGTATTTGGAACCAGTTGAGTCTTGAAGATTGAGTAAATAAAGCAAGTAATCTGCTTGTACCACTGGATCAATGAAAGCAGAGTGAACACATCCCACTAGGCTCAATGCCAACATTGATTCAACATCTTTTACTGTCGGCAAAAACACACCAGGAGTATCATGTATGAGAATATCTGGATCTTTCGAAATTCTTATTATCTCGCTAGTGCTTCTAGTCACACCAGGCTGACCACCTGTCTTCGCAACTTTTCTGTTTTTGCTTGAAATAGAATCCTTTAACTTCGAACTATATCCAACAGTTCTAAGAGTATTGACCAAGGTCGACTTTCCAACATTTGGCATACCAATAATCATAAGCCGTAAACCTAAAGGAGGTGGAGGTACCATAGATTGGTAATCTTCACGAACTAGTTCAATGATGTTTTTTGCATCTTTCTTATTCCGACAGTCTATGAACAAGTATTCTTCGTTATTTGATTTGTGCCATTTATCAAGTGATCGTTGCTTCAATATTGATAAATCCTTCTTACTGTACAATATGATCTTCTTCTTTTTTGCTAGTACCCTATCAAAGAGAACATTTGTGGTTGATATGGGGGCTCTCGAATCTCTCACTTCAAGAACCAAGTCAATTTGAGGGGCTAAATGCCCAAACTTCGTTAAGGCTTTTTGGTGATGCCCCTTGAAGTTAGACAAAGGCAAGTTATACTTCGGGAAAACCTTACGAGGCACAAAGCTCATTTCGTAAATGTATTGCTTCTCTAAGTCTACTTTCTCATCGCATCTTATTTTATACTTTTTTTTTTCCACGAACTGACATTAATCTTAAATAGAATAATCATTTGTAATGCCTTTAATAACTTTCACAGGGCTTCCAAGCTCAGGAAAGACTGAGTGGGCCAAAAGGTTGCAAAATGGTTTACAGGAAAGAATAGACCGTGCAAAAGAGATGAAGGAAATAGGCTGCAACTACTCTGTTACATATCATTCAGATGATACGCTAGGAATTTCACATTCTGCTTACATCGATTCTAATTCAGAGAAACGTGCAAGAGGAAGTCAAATGTCTGCCGTGAAAAGAGATATATCCCCAACTAACATTGTTATACTCGACTCGTTGGCATATATAAAAGGGTTTCGATATCAGTTATATTGTGAAGCCAAAGGACTTCAAACACCACATTGTGTAATTCATACACTCACATCGTTAGAGAAATGCATTGAATGGAACAATAACCCAGAAAGAGTGAATAAATGGAATGACGATATAATCAGGCAACTTGATATGAGATACGAGGAACCTAACAATAACTCTAGATGGGACTCTCCGTTGTATACGATTGTTCCCGAAGACGAAAATGAAAAGCTACAAATAGATGACATATGGGATACTATTGTTATGAAAAAGGCGCCCCCTCCAAATGCAGCAACTGTGATCAAGGCTACTTCAGGCAATGATTTCTTACAAGAATTAGATAAGCAGACCCAGGAGGTTATCTCTAAAATTTTACAGCATCAGCAAATAAATATAGGTGGTTTCGTCAACATAGACAAGGAGCATGACTTGAGAATTATGATGCCTCCATCTCTGGTTAGTGTTTCCCAACTTCAAAGGATCAGAAGGACTTTTGTAAGTTTGAATAGAATGAGAAACATAGATATTCCCAGGATAACAGCATTCTTTGTTGAGTATGTGAATAGAAGTTTGAACATGGAAGATTGAATATGTCTATAAATACATGCGATATATAAAAGTAATACAAATGATAAATACTATCGTTTTCTTTGGTTTTTCCACTTGAATTGAATATTACCATTCTTATCGGTTATCTTCTTTTTGTTTCCCTTTTTCATAAGCTCCTTAGTCATTTCCATTTTTGATTCTACTTCACCCAACTGTCTTTCTCTATCCATTCGACTTTTCAAAAGTTTAAATTTTTTTAGTTTCTTTAAGTCTTCTCTCTCCTTGATAATAGGATTGTCAAACAAACCATCGTCTACAATCCTTTCATTAGACTCTAGTTGATCCAACTTTAACCTATTTTCCCTCCTTTTGAGCATACTTTTATCTGTTTGAAAATATTCTTCAGGTTTGAAGTTCTTTTGTTCTTCAAAAGAGTCCACGAAAACAGTATGTTTTCCATTAGCCTTGAAGTTTAAATCTTCTTTCTGTTTCCTGATTTTCAGAGACTCATTTAGCCTCATTGTCCTTATATAATTAGCGTCCTGTGACTTCAATAATTTAACTTGTTCAACGGAAAGTGCTTCATTTCCACGGTCAGCAATAAGGATACCCCTATTATCGGCCTTATTTCTTGTCATAGAATGATAGTATTCATCTGGATTGTGGTATGTTGCCTTTTTCCTCAATGCCTTTAATGCTGCTTGTTTTTTATGATAGTCAGCTGCCCTCAATCTATAATCCTTCTTCTTCTCTAAAAGTCCAAGCCTAGCTCTCTCTTGGGGCTGAGACCTCTCTCGATGCTGCTTTTTTTGCACATTATGAACCAACTTAGTCATTTTGCCAAAGCTATGATTATAACGTTTCTGATCCTCTAAAAAATGTTCCTTATAGTGCTTCAGATTTAATCTTTCTGGTGAGTTAAAAAAAAAAAAAATTATGTCGTCTTGCACATCATCTCGATGTCTCTCATCCATTTCTAAATTTCAAATGTCCAAGTTGATCATTAAAGTCAGATATCTAAAACAGCAGCTATGAAAAGGTATTTAGCTCTGGCAGTAACTAAAGCTACTAGGAACGGCCAGCCGTTGAAGCAAGGCTCACAGTTTGTAGCTCACAGCGTTTCAGCTTTCAGTACAGGCCGATCAAATGCTGTAGAGCACAAGCAGGTGTGGAACAATTCAGACGTGCATCTTGGCACCGAAGAAAAGTCAACGCACGGTAGCAATGAGGATGAGGGATTACCGTGGTATTTGCGCGATGATATAGCTTCGAGTAGTATTGAGAAAAAGGTAGTCGAGCTTCCTCCCGTGCCTGAAGGAGCGCCGTCGACTGTCGCTGAATTTTTAAATCTCTTAAGTAATGACTATGGGTTGAGAGATATTCAACTCTTTGATTTACGCAAGACTGATTCAGATGAAAATAGGTATGCTTCCGAGGATAGATTATGTGACTTTGTTATCATATGCACGGGAAAGTCAGAGAGGCACAATTATAAGGCAGCAGATGAGATGAAAAGATACATTAAGCATGAGCATAACCATTTATCAAAATTAGAGGGTTTGGTGTCGGGTGTAACTAGCCCCGTAGAAAGAAGAAGAATGTTAAGGAGAGCAAGAAAAGGGCCTCTTGCAACTGATAACGACTATGGTAAGGCCCCCAATAGCTGGGTTATGTGTGATACCGAAATTGACAACATTATTGTTCATATACTTACGAAGCAAAGGAGGGAAGAGCTTAATTTGGAATCTTTGTTTACCTCTCAAGATGAAACTGGAGACACCAAGAGAGATGTATCCAACTTAACATCAGATAATATATTTAGTGGAATCAGACGTCATTTCCATACCAAAAGTGCATTTCATGATGAGAAATCGATAGCTTCAAGTGCTAGTTTGAAGGATTTGGTAAAGAATTTATTGAACGAACAAAGTGCAATCTCGACTGCAATACTTTATTCGTACCTAGGTAAATGCGATGCGCTATTCGAGAATCCAAGTCTTGATGATTATAATGTGAAGTATGAACTTTATAAAGCAATGCATTTAATAAACCCTGAAGTGGTCTCTTTCGAGAAGGCGGAGTCAGCAATATTAGAAAAATATAGCTCTTTGCCTATTGCATTGAACAGTGACGTAGATTTTGAAAATGAAAGGTTGAACGACGTTTTGAAGTATATGAAGCTTTTAATCGATTCCCCAGAACTCAGAGCTCAGTTCGAGGAAAATAAGTATTTATATTGTGATGCATTGTGCGATAAGCTATCAGACTTCGTTTCTGTTTTGTTTCGATTTTCAAATCAACAGTTGAACCTTGCGTCCCATCCGGAATTCATTATGTTGCTTTGGCATTTGTCCTATATTGAAATAGGGCATAAGATTATTGGGTCAAGAGATATTGATGAGGTTCTTTACGGAAATCAGCCTCTAGAATCAAAAGATTCTAGCCCCTCCATAGCTCAAGCAGGTAATAGAGCAAGAGATATCCGAGATCTTATAAATATATACAATGAAGTTGCCGACTATTTTCCTACTATGTCGCTTAAAGAATTGCAACTTTTTACCTACGGTAATGCAGGAAACTGGCCGAAATTCTGGAGGGAGTGGGAAATATCTTTCAATTTGATCCCTTCGCAAGTGTCCAATTCAGGTACTCTCGTACGGAACTGGGTCAGAATAGCAATTTATTTAGCAATGCGGAATGATAAGACTGCTCTGCTTTACTTTCTTAATAACTATTGGTCTAACTCCACCTCTATTGCTCGTTCTTTTATCAGAGATTTCAAGACGAACAACGAAACATTTAATTCGAAGAAAGAACAAAAAAGCTTTCAGGAAGCTATCACTAGAATACTCAAGTTGGTTAGTCGAGACGAGCATCCTGGTTTTCCTCATGTCAGGGCTTTCATAGAGGAACTCAATTAAATACTGTATATACACGTAAATATAGATTACGCGTCACGATGCTACACTAAAAAATCTATGTATATGAAACATATATAATAGAATAGAATAGCTATGGCTATTCCTATTTAGGAGCAACTTTAAAGGATCGATGCATACCCAAGAAGAATTACACCACTTAAAAAAGGAGATAAAAGACTGGGAATACAGTTTCCAAAGGGCCCACGGTAGTCTACCTGGGAAGGCTGATGTGAAATCTAATTCTAAAATTTATAATCTTTATAAGTCTTACAAAACATGCAAAGCAGCTTTATCTACAAATGAGCCTAAGGAGCTAAAAAGTTCCTGCAAAGGAGCCGAAGAAAAGGAAAATGGGGTTGGACAGATTCAACCGCAAACAGCCATTGATTTTAGCATAGATGATGATACTGAGGTTGATGAAGATATAGTAATAGAGCCACTTGTTATGAACGTAGAGTTGGGTCCCACACCTCAAGCACACGGCAGGATCCTTTCGATTTTTGATATAAAGATGACACCACCAGACTCATCACCATTAGTTTCAAAGAGAGCAACTTCTAATCAAGCGCAGAATAACGAAACACTTTTCAAGACTCCAACGAAACCAAAGATACCGAAGATGAGCCCTTCAACTTCAATTGAAACGCCCGTAAATCTGTCCACGTTAATACAAAAGCTTCAGTTGGCTGCGCAACAGCCGGAGACACCTACCAAGGCTAACAGAATGCCTATCGACAAATACGCAGTAACACCGCAATATTTGGCCAAGAATAACGATAAGTTCAGCTTTCTGTCAAAACAAGACAATGAAGGGGAAAATGCTTTGGGACTTGGACAAGTGAAACATATAGAGCCATTGACCCCTCTGAAGGTGACGAATAACGATTTTCTGGTGTCTCCATCACCTCTAAAGACGCAGCGATTCTTTTCTAAGAAGATTTCGGAGATATTTAATGATTTCAAATCGCTACAAGCAAATGAACCTTCGCATAATGAACGAAATGATCAACCTAGTCAAGAAATCGATTCTGATGAAGTCATAGATGACAAAACAACGACTTTTAAGAAACGTAGAACGCAAAAGCGTACTACCCGCAGATGGAAAATGAAGCCTAGAGATGAGACTGATGGAGGAGACTTTTTTGATGGGAAAAATATTCACGAAGTAATAGAAAAGATGGATGAGAAGGAACATCGGAAATTGGAAAGCTATATGAATTCCGATGAACTGGATCACGAAAGCGATACGCAACCAAGCCATCCTACGAAGAAGCAAGGCAATGGGAAAAAGATCAAGCCCATTAGTCAAAATTATTGTAGGCTTAAAATTAATGACCCTAGATCTAAGAACTTCAAACGAAGAATGAATAGACGCTAGATTATATTTAAATATAGAAGTATAAAAAATACATTATCATGGCATAGCAATCAATAGCTCGTCGATGTCTCCCTTCCCTTCAAATTGCACCCTAGATTGGCATTGTTGATTTTCTTGTACGCCGTTCAAAGAATCTTTATTAGTACTTATAAAAGTAGGTTTCTGCCACTTTTTAGAATCAGTCTCATAATCCCAGATATTCCGGCTATTGGCACTTTCTCCTTGTTCTCTTTCAGTACGAATAGTATCTTCTAAATCTTTGATCTCCTTATCATCTTCCATACTATCGGGTTGGGGAACATGTGTTTCAACCATTGTAACCTTTCCGTCTTTAATAACCATTTCAAGAGCCCTTTGCGATCTTCCTGTGAGCTTACTCTTTGAATCTTGATCTTTCCTATATTGTTTTTGCTGTTTCTTTAATTGAAGCGCTCTTTCCATAGGAGATAGCCATATGCTTCCACTACCAGAATTCGGTGAATCATAATCCGACACGTTATCTATCACTTTCGTTCTCTCCGACCCTGTTGCTTGAAAATGCAATAGAGTATCCAAGTTTTCTTGCGCTTTCAATAAGTCTGGATCATAATTACTTCTCTCGTAACGTTGTAGCTCCTTCTTTTGGGTTGCAAGTTCTTCTTGCTCCCTTTTGCTTTGCTCAAGTAATGCCATGTCTCTTTTTTTGTCTTCTTCCACTTTCCTCAATGCTCTATCCTGTGCTTTCCACAAGTTTTCTCCTGCTGTCATTGAAACAGTCACTTTTTTATTTTTCTGTTTGGGTGGTAATTGAGTAGAAGCTACACTTTTGTCCGGTTTACTCATAATGCCTGATTTTTCATTCTCTAAAATCGAGATGATTTCTTGCTTGTCCTTCTTAGAGAGTAGCTCATGGCCGCAATATGAGCATGGTTGTAAACCCTCTTTAGCACATATTATTTTCCCACAATTAAGGCAGTTGGGAGCAACTTCAAACAAAGGATGTCTCGTTGCCATGCAATTACAAGATCTTTTTAAGCCAGCACTCAGGCCATCTGTTTTCGAATTGACCACCTCTAACTCATTTAGCACATCTTCAATGTCTTTTAGGTTCTCAATGCTTGACTTTTTTGATTTCTTACCTACACCAAGCTCACTCCTATTGGAAGATTTTGAGTTTAGGGTCCGAAGTGATGCATGATCTGCCGAAGTTTTCTTTATTTCCTTCCTAGGTGGAAACTCGCCAGGTGTGCTCCATGCAGACTTGTTTTTAGATGAAGTTGTTATATCGTCCGGTAGAGTCTTTTTGTTTTTGGTGCTTTCAGTGCTTACTCTTTTCTTCTCTTCTGAGTCCGCTTCATGCTTGAGTTTAAGAAAATTTCGTATAAAAGTTAATGAGTCTTCACTTTCACCTAACAAGTTTAAAAAATTTGCTTGTACATCATGGTCTGATGGCAAGACGAGTGCAGAATCTACTATCTGTCTCGACGTGTCCCGATCTATAGGCAATAAGCTCTCTATTGCGATTGCAGAGTAGCTCTTTAACTTTGTATAGCTCATTAGTCTTTATAACTTGGTGCCTAGCTATTAATTAGTCTTTAGAATCCCTTATATGTTATGAAGTATATACGACTTTATATTTATCTCAAAAATGTCATAACTGTCAGTATTAGAGCTATATATATATTAGCAAATCCATCAATTTTGAGATCAATTTTCGTAAAATGTAAAAAACATTTCTAATACAAAAATTCAATTTTTTCTGAGTTTATTCTTATTGTACAGAATATCTACCATTATGGATACCAGCCCTCATATTGTACCAGACACGGAAGAGCTCAAGGCCAAGTATGCAGAGGTAGCTGCCTTGAAGAAAGCGATCGATGAAAAAAAGCGAGCAACTTCTTCTAAGCGAGTTGCTCATCATCAAGCATTTAGAGTTTTTCCAAACAGAGGCAACATCAGAGGAAGAAGAGGACTTTTTAGAGGAAGAAATTTTAGAAATTCGACACCTTCACATAGAAACATGACTTTAGTATTTAGTAACGGGGATGAAGATAAAGATAACTTAGAACAGAAACCGGAAGGACACTCTTATATCTCTGCTGTTTCAAAAAGCGGGATGACATTAGTCAAAAGGAATTTATATGAGAGAGACCAGGGCAAAATTGTTAGCCAAATAGAACAACTGAAAGCTGAAGAAGAAAGATTCAAGAGGCAATTACGATTAAATAACAGAATCTCTAGAAATAGAAAGAAAACGGATAGCTGTGATAGGATATCCATCGATGGAGATAAGTTTGCGGTTTCAAAGCAAGCAGATAAGTTAATTCCTATAACTAAACCTATTCATGAAGAACTTAAAACATTAGTGTGGAACAATAAATCTTATGAGAGAAAAGATAATGGGACGTATAAGTGTCAAAGTCGGAGGCAGATGAGGTATGTAACCAGTTCGTTAAATTGTTTTCTATCAACTAACATAAGCAGTACTGTGGCTGAGCAATGTCGATATCTCACAAGAACAGGTAAGTTTTCTTTTATGCACTTTTTTAATTACATACTAAGTTAATATTTTAGGAATTTGTCAAAAAGGCTCACACTGCAAGTATCAGCATTCAAAGGAGCATATCAGGATATGCCGCTCATATCTAAAAGGTGCTTGTCGAAATAAGTTTTGTCTTTTATCTCATAATAGTGACGAGTTCAACACACCTTTATGCATATATTATTTGGAAGGAAGATGCACCAATAGCAATTGCAAATTTATTCATCACAAGCCTGACCATTACGATGATCCAAAGTACGAGATATGGGTATGTAGGCCTTTTGCAGTAGGTGGTTGGTGCGGACGCGGTTCCCGATGTCCATTTCTACATTTATTCATTTGCCCTGATTTTGAAGAAGATGGATCTTGCATTAAGGGACAGTCATGTCCATTGTCTCACCAAGTGACTGTGCGAACTCAAGAGCAGATGTTGACTAAAAGCAATAAATATGAACGACCCGAGTATGATGATGTTTTAATAGAGAATAACGCTGAGTCAAAGCCTCAGATTATTAACAGTTACACAGTGGATCCGGAACTATTATTCGTGGCAGGTAAAAAGGGTAAGTATGATATATATATTGATGAACCGAACACGGGCCCCAATAGGACTGAGACGACGAACGAAGATTCAGCATATACTATTCACTTTTCAGACTCGGAGGACTTTTCATCAGATAATAGTTACAGTTCGGAAGAAGAAGAGAAGGTGCAAAATGAATTGGACAAAAATAAAGATTATATAGAGCTCTAAAGTTAAGTACCTCTCATCTCAAAGACAAGATAATGGCAGCAGAAGGAAAAATTCCTGAAACTGAAATAACTAAATAGCAAAGGACACTAAATGGAAAGAAAAAGAAAAGAAATTAATAAATATACACCATACCATCGCCATCTGTATCATATAATGAAGCACTTTTAACAAAGAAAATACCAGTATAAAAATATGATATACTGTATATAATGTCTTTGGAACTCCGGCGGGTGTTGCAAAAAATTAATTCGATTTGTGGTTGACCAAGCATCGATTTGCTACAAATATAAGCTGGCGCTTCAGCGTCTCTGTTTTCATCAAGGAAAAAGGAAGCGCAAAAGAAGGCAACTATTATATCCTCAAAAGGAACGACTTAGTTAAGTCAGAACTATCAATCAAGTTTATTCTGTGACGTCAACCATATACTTGTTTGAAGTTTAGCGCCAAGTACTAGAGATGAATCGAATTAACATACCGCCAGACTACAATTCACCGCCAAAATATCTACCTTTACAATCATTTGAGTCCAAATATCAGATTATCAGCAATCTAGGAAATGGAAGTTTTGGTTCTGTTGTGTTAACAAAGTACCGCAAGGATAAAAGAGATTTGTTGAAGCCGGACTCTAGTAAAAGAGGAACGCTTATTGATCCGCTAGATGATTCGTGTTGCCACGTTAGCAGCCTTGTCGCTATTAAAACAATGAATAAAAAGTTGCATTCTTTGAATGACTATACGAGGGTAAAAGAGGTTAAGTTCATATTATCAATTCCGTCTCATCCCAGCTTGGTTCAAATTTATGAAATGTTCATTGATGATGTTAACTTTCAACTACACATTTCCATGGAATCAATGAACCAAAATTTGTATCAGTTAATGAAATCGAGAAAGCATGTACATTTTTCGCCCATCACCTTAAAAAGTATCTTGACTCAAATATTACATGGTATTCGGCATATTCATAAGTATGAATACTTTCATAGAGATGTCAAACCTGAAAATATTCTAGTTATACCTACACTGCAATACTATGGTGGAAAAGGTAATATCCCTCCACATAGGAAAATGGACAATTATGTTGTTAAATTAGCAGATTACGGTCTTGCACGTAACATCCATAATTTGAAGCCTTACACTGCTTATGTGTCTACTCGATGGTATAGGTCCCCCGAAATTTTGCTTCGCAAAAAGTGGTATTCCAAACCGGTTGATATTTGGGCATTTGGAACCGTTGCTGTAGAGGCCGCAAATTTTATACCATTGTTTCCAGGATCGAACGAGTTAGACCAAACGTGGAGAATCTTGAAAGTTTTGGGTTCCCCAGTCTTTCCTGATTCATCATTAACCCAATCCCCTAACTATTTTGGCCCTTTGGGAGGCTACTGGAAAGAGGCACAAATATTAGCAGCGAAGCTTGGATTTTCATTCCCCCTTGAACCAGGTATACACATATATGACATTCTACCCAATCCATCTCACAATCAGCTAGCGGAAGTTGTGAAAGCATGTTTGACATGGAATCCTGATTTAAGACCAGACGTTGAAGCTGTATGCTCAATGCCTTATTTCCAAAATACTGAAATTTCAACTCCGTATCAAGAACCCTCACGAGCAAGTAATCATAAGCAAGAGACTCCTCAATTGTCTCAAAAAGAAAATCAGCTACCTGTTAGCATTCATCCCCAAAGCTATGAAAATGCAATAATTCAATCTACTAAAGCAAATATCACATTAAATAATCACAGTCCTCGCAATAATTCGGAGAATGCTCCAACAAATTCTTTGAATATGTTCAGACATCAAGATGCTAACGTCCAAGGTAAATTTACTAAAAGCGTATCAGAAAATTTGATCAGTCATTCGTCCAACATAAAAATTGATGAGGAGCAAATTTTGGCCCAAAATATTGATCAGTTGCCTTCAGAGCTCAAAGACGGAAAAGAAGAAAGCTTCAACTATTACGACGCAGAATATTCCGAAAAAGAAGACGAAAGAAGAGATGAAGAAGATGACGATGATGAAGGGGAGGACGAGCCAGTAGGATATGACAGCGACCAATTGGGTTGCGAACAAAACAGAGAATACTCTTGGGCAATCAATACTAACCAAAATTATGATAAACCACGAAATATAGATGCTACTCATGAAACCCTAGATGATGAGTTTGGGGTATTTGCGGATCTTTCATTTGGAAGTGGCCCAGAAATCAAATGCTAATTGAGAAAAGTCTCTAATCATGCCTAACATGTTTTCTCATTTAAAATTTTTTTTTTTTTGCTTTTATGATATTTTAATTAAAACGTAAATAGTCATTTTACCCCAAATTTCATGGGTATTTTGAGTTTAATTTAATCACCTTAAGATTGTAAATATTAATTTAAATAGTGGAATAGTTGAGATATGTGCATCTTATTACTCACAACTAGACATCCGGATTACCCGCTAATATTACTTTCAAACAGAGATGAATTCTTTAGAAGACCAACGAAACCAGCTCATTTTAGAGAGCTAGCCAGCGGAACAAAAATATTATCACCTTTAGATTTAGGAAGACCCGAACGTGGAACATGGATAGGGGTCACTACTTCAGGGAGACTAGCTGTCCTAGTAAACTACAGGGAAGATGATCATTCTAGTAAGTTGGCTTAATATGATAATCGCTACTTATGCGGGGAAAGCGAAACTAACTAACAAATATTATAGGTATGCGAGGACCGATATCAAGAGGAATATTACCTCTAGCTTACTTGTGCTCGACTAAATTTGATCAGGAATGGGATAAGGAATTAGATAGTAGCTTCTCAGCAACAGAGACAGGTAAGTTAGATCTAAGTAGAATCGGTGGTTTTACGTTAGTGCATGGTCATTTAAAGATTGACCCTGTTTCGAAAAGAATAGAAGGACTAAATATAATAAGCAATAGAGGGGATAAAGGAAGAATTCTAGTACCCAAAGGTACTTCAAGTGATACTTCAGAAGACAATAAGAGCTGGGTCCACTCTAAAGGGGAACAATCATTGAATGATGATATAGAACATAAAAGCACTTTTGGCTTATCTAACTCACTTTTTAACCATCCTTGGAGCAAGGTTACATTAGGCGAGAGCCTACTTGATGATCTAGTAGATAAGGCACTTGCAAAGGGCATGACTGAAGACGATTTGGTATCTGGATGCTTCGATTTATTGAGTCATGATACATATCCCAAGGAACTTTTGCATGAACCTAATTTTGAAAAAAAATTTAATGCGCTACGATATTCAATATTCATACCGCCTCTAAAGACTGGAATGCTGCCAGACTCACAAGACACAACCATGGGATCCTTATATGGTACTAGGATGCAGACGGTAATTTTGCTAAATAAAAACGGCGATCTCAAGTATTATGAAAGAGATCTACACCTGTCAGATATCATGGATCAACTAAAAGTATCTACGCTGAGCTTCGAGTTTAATATCGCGTAGCATAGTTAAAAGCTTTTTATAAGTAAGTCATATTTAGTGTAAATTAGAGGGTGCAGGCTTCAGTGTGTGGTTTTTTTTTTTTTTTCCCTTCCCTTATTTCACACGCACTCTAGCTTCCATCTAAAAGGAGCAATATTTACTTACAAATAATGAAAGGTAGATTAGAACATTCGTCCTCGGAGAGTCTAATATATCAAAATTTACCTTTGAAGGATTCCAAAGCGGAAAATATATCAATATTTGTTTTAATTCCAGGAAACCCAGGTTTGGTCGAATTTTATATTACTTATCTAGATCTAATTCAACAAAGTTTTAAAGACTTTGAAATTTTGGCCCTTGGGCATGCGGGATATGAGCCACCAAATGGACCTTTCAATTCCTATTCTCTAGACTTTCAAATTGAGGACAAAGTGGAAAAGCTTAAATCTAAAATAAACAATTATGAAAAACATGTTGATATCTATTTCCTTTCGCATTCTGTTGGATCATATATTACTCAGAGAATAGTAGAAAAGCTTATAAACGATAAGAAGTTTCGCGATCAGGCAGATATTAAATTCATTGGATTGATATGTCCTACCATTTATGACATCGCCAAGTCCGACTCTGGGCGGCGTTTTGTTGCTTTGCTAACACATATTCCGATTGTCGCAATTACTTTGTATTTAATCTCCTTTCTCAATCTTATACTAACGGATTCGACTGCAAAGTGGATTATCAGGCATTTCTTTATCGCGAAGCCAAAGCTTCAAGATGAAACATCTTTATCAAGCTGGGAGAATTCTGTTCAAGGCGCATTTAAGATATATAAATCTCCTACAATTGTCGAGCAAACTTTGACGCTAGCTAGTGAAGAAATGACTTGTATAAACCTGGACGACACGATAAACGATTGGTTTTTTAAAGAGTTTCCTGTAAAGAACCAAACTAAAGTTTGGGCTTTTTTTGCCAACGAGGATTATTGGGTTCACAAAAGTACCAGAGATCATTTGTTGAAACTCTATCATAACTTAAATGTTCCTAATTTGTATTTTGATGTTGGGGATATTCATGACGGTATTGGACACAGCTTTTGTGTTGACCAAAGTGTTGAGTTCTCGGAAATAACCGTGAGAACATTAAAGTCATTGTTTCCTGACCTAGCTAGCGAACAGCCATAGCTTGATGTGCACTTCTATAAGTTTTTTAATTTATTATATGCAGTAGAATGATTACGAGTCACCCACAAGTACGACTCATTTTTTGAAATTTTTTTTTTTTTTTGAGCTGAATCATGAATCATCTTATCTCAACATGAAAGGCACTCAGCGGACTATTTAAACTTACAGTGATTCACCATTTTGTTGAAAACTTAATTAGTGTGAAAATATTTTCCTGAGTGTTAACCAAGAGAAATCTTTTAAAAAAAAATGGAAGTGGACCATAAAACAAATGAGCTGGTGACCGAATCAGAAAAGACTCAGCAAAATTCAGGCGGTCAAAATAATATTGATGAAGAGTATTCTGTCAGCTCAGAACAAGCTGTTGTTGATCCAAAGGAACTTGATAGGATTTACAGAAAGCTCGATCTTCGAATTATCCCTGCCCTTTGGTGCATGTATTTTTTGACTTCGTTCGGTTCAAATTGTTATGGTGTCACATTAACCATGAATACTGCCCAAGGTCACTCACTTTCTCAAAGCTTGAACCTTGTGGGACATGATCTTTCTACTGCTTCGGCGTTATATTACGTGGGATATATCATCTTTGATGTTCCCATGAATTTAATTATGACAAAAGTCAGCCCTCAGGTTTGGCTCTCTAGAATTGTCATTACAGTGGGATTGGTGTATACATGCTACCACGCGCTACACAATAATCAAGGCCTCACGGCAGCAAGATTCATCTCAGGAATGGTTGGTGCTGGAACTTGGCCAGGGTTGAGTTATTATGTGAGCTTGTGGTATCCAAACGAGAGACTGACCAAAAGAATTGGGTACTATTTTACTGCAGCTCAGATATCGTGTGCGGTTGCAGGATTGGTATCAGCTGGATTTCAAAGAATAGATGGTGTTAAAGGTAAAACAGGTTGGCAATGGATGTACTTGTGTTATGGTGTAATCACAATTGCTGTTGGAATAGCCTTACTTTGGTGGTTACCTGATAGACCCTTTGCGCAACAAAGAAAAAGCGAAAACAAGTTTGTTAACTTCTACTATAAAGTAATGACACCGTCGCACCCTCTAAATGCATATGAGAAAGAAATTCACAGGAAAGACTTGGAACATCGTTATAAACTAATGACTTGGGGATGGAAAGATATTGTTCTTATCATTACCGATTTGAGAATTTGGCCCATTATAATTATGTACTTTGGTGTAGTTGGAACTGGGTTTGGATTAGCAGTTTTCGGTTCTACAATTATTGCTGCTGAAAACCCAAGTTTGACTTCGATTCAAGTCTCTTTGTTGTATGCACCGATTTGGTTGTTTGACTTAGGAGGTATTCTTATAATAACACCTTTTGCTGACAAGTTCAAATCCACTCGGCCCTTGATTTTTTCATTTGCCTGTTTGATAATTATGGCAGGAATGTTTGTGACGACGTTTGCACACGGGGAATGGAATAAATATGCCGGGCTTTTGATTGCAGGGTTTGGTTTAGGTCCCACAGTGCCTATCTGCATGTCTTGGTCAGCAGAAATATTCGCAGCTACATACGGAGACGTAGGTAGTGCTGTTAGTGCTGCCTTGGTGAGTGGTTTAGGAAACTTAGGATCAGTTACAGCTACTTACGCATTGTACTCAGGTTGGCCGGCTGATGAAGCAAGGTTGTATAAGTATTCCAACATGATGTTAGTAGTAATGCTTGGTGTAAGTATCATAGCCTCTGGAATATGTCATTTGCTTAAAGACAGGGTAAGAAGGGATGGTCCTAAAGCTCTTAATTTAGAAAACTCAACACTCTGAGAACCTTTTAATGCATTTAATATAAAAGTTCTATTTACATTCAAGGATGTTAAACAGAAAGCGAATACAAGACACTTAATACTACTAAAGATGTAATTTTCGTTTAATCCGTACATGGGAAAAAGGAAGTGCCATGAATTGCAAGATGAAGAATAAGAGTTGCCACATGTATTATTTCAGAGAAATCCTTCCAATATTTTTTTGGAAAGATTCTCTTTCATGACATGTCTCGTCATCAAAGAAATAAGAGTATTTGTCAGAATCAAAATATCATTTGCTCTTTTCATCTCATGTGTAGCAAAATTCTAAGCAACCTCTTCGCCTACTGTTCAGCTCCTGGTCTGTAAATATCATCCGGGCCACTCCTTTATGGAAAAAATATCTCCATTTATCTGAAAACTGCAATATTTGCTAGTGCTCAAATTTTGTTCCTTGTGAGAGTGGCTCGAAAGGGGAAGGTAATTTCGTAAATATGATTGTGCTTTTAAAAAAAACGGTGATTCTAAAGAGAATTTAGCTCCAATATTTAAGAATATTTATATCTAGAATTATCAATAATAAATTGAAGAAAACTGACTATAACTTGGATATCAAGCCTATTGTTAAGTAGAATAAAGGTGTAACTAAAGAATTGGGTCCATATTTAGTAACGTTTCTCAAATTGAATTTAAAAGTAGAATGCATATAAATCTTCGGTAATCTGCTATCAGTATTCGTAAATGCACCTTTGGCTGCTAAACATGCTTCTCACAATGCAAGTGGGTTCCTTTAGCAACTATTTTACTTATTTTACTAAATTTTATTAAAACTTTCATGTTGCAAACATTATCAGGACCTAACTGGCTATGGGTTTGAAGTAATGTAGATAAACCTACTCTAGAATCAAAATAATAAGTGGCCACTCAGAAGAAAGCCAACAGAAATACAAAAAAAAAAAAAAAAAAACTCCCGTAATTGCAATTTAATTATATCAATCAATCTTTAAACTTATATATTTCAATATAGTGCAAAAGATATCTTAATAGTAAATACTTAATCGAGTCTGAAAACTCAAGTTGAAAGGCATATTTATAATTTAACAAGGCTTGAAATTCTTTCTAATAAATGGGTGAGTAAAATGTATCTTCTTGAAGATCTTAGAAATCCAAAATCTTCAATTTTCATCTAGAGCTATTTTTACACATTCATGAGCCATACCTAAACACCTTGAGTAGCCTGATCCAGATGCACCGTAGTTATGGATAATAACAGTTCCATCCTTAGAGGTTTCTTTCTCAAGTCTGGGTCCACCTTCACGAGAGGGACGAAAGGCAGAAGCGACACGAACAATTTGTAAACCTGAAATAGAATCCAAATTGGATAACAATTGAGGACAAAGCTTTGTCGTTCTTTCCAAAATATTCAGAGTTTCATGTTGAAGAACGTCTTTATTCCAATTATATGGTTCATAGAAGCCCCCTAGAACAACCTCGTGATTTGAATCTGGTCTAACAATTACGTAAGTTGATTCATTACCCCATTGCAATATACTTTCTTTGATATGAGGTGATCTTACGACGACAACTTGTCCTCGGGTTGGAAAAACCTTTAAATCTTCAACGCCCTTCAAAGTTCGAGCTCCTAGACCTGAGCAATTGAAGACAACCTTAGTTTTCGTGTTAAACGCATCACTAATGTTCTCTAATTCTTGTTTAATAAGCGTGACACCTTTATCCACTAAAAATGATGTCAAGGTCTTTAGAAAGAGCGGTGTATTGAAACCCCATGATTTGAATCTTATTCCAATAGTCGCGTCGTTTTGGACTTCAACATATTCGAAATCCTCTGTAAAATGCTTCATTAGATTTATAGAATCAATAGGAGCATCTTTTTCCCAGAATTCGGTAGCAAAACCTTGACTGAGGCCACAATGTTCTCCAAGGAGCTCTTGAAGCCTTCCCAAATTGGAGTAAGTATATTTGTACCATTCCAATTCACGCGAATCTGTGACTTTGAGACAGTCCGTGACTGCTCCTGCGACTGGGGATGCATAGAATGAAGATAAATCCCCGGGAAAGTGTTTTGAAATGAGAGTTATTTCATTACCAGGTACGGAATTTTCGATCAAGGTATATGCAGAGGTAAGACCCATAATACCTCCTCTATAGTTATGGTCAGAAAATGTCTCAAAAGAGATACAAGAAGCTAACTTACCCAATTATAGTGTATTTTGACATGATTTGATAATGATACTCTATTAATCTAAGAAAAAATACGAAAAATATTTATACGGATGTATTACCCATCGGACTCGAATAATTTATAGACCTTCAAGCTGTGCGTATCAAAGCGGAAATCTGGTGACCCTGAGCAAGTCTGGTAGTTTCAGGGATTTTTCATATCGGAGAATTTTACTACCGATTTCCGAATCATGTAAACGTAATGACTATCAAATGTCAAACATAAAGTTTAGCAGTGGGAAAAAGAAAAATGATCAATATGCATTTAGACCCCCATGTCTTGGAAAGTTAATGTTTCTGCAATACCCATCTCAGTTTTACTTATCTCCTCTTCAAATATGCTATCGATGATACTAAAAATGGAATCATGTATAAAATATGAATCTTCGTCCAAAGGAGGTGGGGATATATCGATGGTCTTATAAATTATTGGACTGGTTCCACCACCTAAGAAATTATCTTCATTTTCATAAATTGCCTTCATCAAAAAGTTTATACACTTATTGAGCACTAACAGCGAACCTTTGAGATGAGAATGAAATTTATTGTTATAATTTCTTAGAAAATCAAGCGCACCAGATACATATTGCAAGTCTTGTTCAAGCGAGTTGGATAATATTTGAAGATCTAGACCTCTTTTGCTTAATGAAGACATCCACTGATATCCTACTAAAAGACATAAGGTTGAATGGTACACAAAATAAACATATGGACTCGAATGATAATTTGACCTAGTGCTTTCATTCACTACTTTGAGTAATTCGTACATCAAGATTGACGATTTAATACACTGTTGTATCAAGGAAAATACCGACGGTTGCTCCTTGAATATTTTCCCATGTTCTGTAGCATATAATAGATAAGGAAAAAGAATAGATTCATGGTAATAATGAAAAGTCAACTTTAGACGAAAAATATAGGGTGACATCAAGTCCAGTGGTCTACTTACACATGACTCAATTTTGTTGTTTAGTAATAAGAATCTCTCTTTAATTTCTAAGGCTTGTGAGATATTTTTGTCTAGAAATAGTTGCTCATAGGATGTGACACTGTTCTGAAATTCTAGGGAGAAATGATATATTTTATTAAGATCAATGCTTCTTTCAAAAAAGATCTTATACTGTCTATCTCCAACATCATTAAAGTTGGGATAACTAGTAGTAATTTCATTAGGTCGAATGGCTATGGACCTTCCCATACGCCCACTGAATTGGAGCATTCTTTGGTATAATGCCCACCAAATAATTTGGCAATCGAACACTTCATTTTCATCTCTCAAGTATTTAGTTACCGACAGCCGATGAATTCCTAGACTATGAGCATGCGAAAGAGCAATCTCAGATAATACATAACCACTTTCACCGTATTCACAATAGTCTAAATATAATATGAACAATAATAAGCACTTGATACTGTTGAGAGAGGGAAGCATTACAATATCTGCCATTGAAGACCTCACAAGCTCAAGATGATTTTTAATTATTATATCGTCGAATTTTGAAGATTCACTGGGTGGTTGAAAATACTTACCTATAATCCAGATGAGACATATGCACAATATTGGAATTTTAGGAATTTTAGGAATTTTCTGCTCTTCAATCCCATCATATTTAAGTTGACTCCAAAACATACCGCAAAGTGACCTAAAATTATGTTCATCGAAGCAAAAGCAAAATGGATGAACATTATTAAAGAAGGAATCGACGTATCCGTTAAGCTCTTCTTCAAGGTGTATGATATTTCCGAAAGTTTCCTTTAAATTTAAGAACTCGTAAGAGTGATCCAAAGAGCGTATAACATGCTGACTCCGTAAGGCGTTTTGATACTGATCCTTTTTCACTTGTGGCAATCTCTCCGATTTTTCCAAGGTTTCATTCATCACCTTAAAAATAGTAGATGTCTCTCCAAACAACCCTACATAATGCAAGTTTTCTTCTCTTCCTGCTAAGAAAATATCTTTATCTTCCAGTCTTATTGTAATTGGGTTGTTGTCACAATTGATTTCTTCTTCAGTTACGTCATACGAAATATAAGAACTAGGGTCAAACCTCTTCGATGTCGTTAAAGACCGCGCAATGTTTTCTAACTCTTGTATTTCACCTTTGTTGAGACCGTTTCTGGATGGCATGTTTGCACCAACAGAGATGCCTAAATTAATTAATTCATCGATACTGTTAATGTCAACGTCTGGAAAAGCGGCTTTTACGATTGAAAATAAACATTTGTAGTGTAATCCTAAACTCTCTGATGGAATCTTCCTTTTTTTTCTCTGTATAGTAACTCTGCATTCTTGATTCACTTTCTTGCATTGTACACACGAACCTTTAGATCCCAAAGGATCACCATTTTCTCGTATGCAAGCTTTTTTCTGCCTTTTGCAACGATCACAGCTTAAAACTGAGTTACGTCTTTTATTAAAAGGTACAACTCTTCTTTTACAACCTCTAATGTTGATGCCTGTTGTATCACACATGGCTGAAAGTATCGTTTTCAATTTGTTTAGCTCAAAAAGGATTAATGATATACAATGGGTAGCTCTGCCTATAATGGGGTTCGAGCAGCTCACTATAAGGTTGCTACTCTCCTAGGATAAACAACTTCTGTTCAAGATAGTGGGAGTGATTACTTTCTAGGTAACGTGAGTTTGTTGTCGTTATCAGAGTGGAGTCATGCAACGCGATCGGAAATATGTGTATCATTTCCCGACCTAAGCTTATCGCAGCACTACTCTAAACGGAAACAAGTTGATAAATTTTCACTCGTTGAATCACTCACGTACTACAGAGACATCAGATAGTATAAAAGAGTCAGAAAAGTGGCAAAAGCAAGACATTATCTTGTTTCAAAGAAATTCGATGTCGCCTGTAACAAGCGGTAACGCTGCTGAGATATTGAATCTGATCTTAGAGAGACAACCAATAGTGGACACACACAATGACTTTCCTTATTTATTGAGAGTTCAATTAAGGAATGAACTCAAAGCTAATAAAGAATTCGATTTTGACCAAAAGCTTACTTCGCATACGGATCTATCAAAACTTCGAAAGGGACGGGTAGGAGTTCAGTTTTTCAGCTGTTTTATTGATTGTCCAGAGGATAATTATGCTTACTCTGACTTCAACTTAAAGAATTCTATGGTCAGGGATACTCTTGAGCAAATTGATGTCACGGGGCGTCTTATAAAAGCTTCATCAGATGATTTGGTTTTTGTTCAGACTGCGGACGATGCCTTAGCTGCCTACAAAAGTGGTAAAATAGCAATTGCATTGGGAATTGAGGGCTTACATCAAGTGGATACATCTTTAGCCGTTCTAAGACAATATTATAAACTTGGAGTTAGATATGCAACCTTAACACATTATTGCAGTAACCCATTCGCTACTTCTTCAAGTACTGTCTTTCACGGCAAGAAGGATAAGGGTTTGAGCTCATACGGAGAATCTGCAGTGAAAGAAATGAACAGGCTAGGGATGATGGTGGATTTATCGCATGTTAGTTATAACACTGCAAAAAGAGTTTTGAAGATATCTCAAGCTCCTGTTATCTTTTCTCATTCCTCTGCCTATTCTTTGAACTCCCATGAGAGAAACGTGAAAGACGATGTTTTAATGGACGTTGCAAAGAATGGAGGTGTCGTTCAAGTTAACTTCTTCCCTGATTTCATTGCTCCCAAGGATGGCCTGCGTGCAACTATCGACGATGCTGTTAATCATATCTTTCACATTGCTAATGTAGCTGGCTGGGATTGTGTAGGTTTCGGCTCAGATTTTGAAGGAATACCATATGCTCCCTCTGGATTAGAAGACGTATCGAAGTATCCAGATTTGATATATAAATGCATACAAAGAGGCGCTACTTCTGAACAGATTGAGGGCCTTATAGGAGGCAATTTATTTAGGGTATGGAAAGAATGCGAGGCGGTCGCTACTAAGTTGCAAGAAAAGAGTGAATCTATCGCGGAAAAGGAATGGCCAGACCGCATATGGGAAGAGCCTGAAAGTGCCAAAGGTTTAGTTGAACTCTATCCAGGATCCAAAAAGCTTCATGAAGATACTACTTTCTGGAAAAAGAAATATTTTGATTAAATATCACCATTGAAATGCAAAAACCATTCGTAATATATAAACTGTAATTCTTTCGTAAAATTTGAAGAGAAATATATTGCGCTCCAGCTCATTTCTGAACAGATACTTCATTAAATAACTCAAGCTATATTCAATACATTTTCATTTCTTGGTTTGGCCACAAGCTAAGATACATTAACTAAAGGAAATCACACGCTACTAGACATTATATAGCAATATTTAAATAACACTATTACGGAGCATATTCATCAATTACCGATCTAGGTACTGAATACTTACCAATAGGACTATACTCAATTGACTCAAAAGCTGAACCAAAAGCTTTAGGCCCACCGAGATCGATTCCTCTTTGAGTATCCGTCCATAGATTACTTGGTGAAATTGCGATTACAAAAACTATTAAGCCATACCTGTAGTCCTGAGTTCCGACAGCCTCGCCTGTGTCTGCATCACAAACACAAATGAGATCAGGGACAGAACAGATGACTTTTTCCTCATCTTGATTTTTTTTATAACATAAAATATTCTCGTTCTTGAATGGCATTCTGTAAGTAACTTTAGAGTCATCAACACTTTCTAAAACTGCCTCCCCATATGTGTAGCCCCTTATAATTTTTCTCTCAATTTCAATAAATTTACCTGTGAATAAGTGTTTAGCTGATTGGCTAGACCCCACAGCTTCTATGATTCTTTTAGGAAGGTCTTCTATTTCACATTGAGAGCGAGCGATCATCACCGCCTTACCTATTCTCCAGGCCAAGGACGTAGAATTTTTCACGGTCCGACTATTGACCTGTTCTATTGTCATAGAGTTATTTGTGGTGCCCACATTCACCCCAGAATAAACATAAGCATCTCTGGAGATATTTTCAAGTTGCATATCATTCTTTGCACTAGTCATAAGCAAGTTATTGCCATTCCCGTCACAGGAAGCAGCATGTGAAAATGCTCTTGAGTCGCAGCTGAAAACAGTAGGTAAAGTCTGCCACATTGTTGGATAGGCTCTACCCATCAAATCTGTATCTAATACTGGAATGTTCAAATGGCCACCAATTATCAATCCCTGCAAACCATTATCACCACCTATTTCTAAAGGAAATACTGCGTCTGGTTTTTCATATCCTTCCCATTTCGATAATAGTTTTACACTTTCTAAAAGTTCATTGCCTCTAAGCTTCTCTCCAGTGACGGTTGGTGATCCTCTGAAAGCTACATTCACAATTTTATACTTATCATTATTTACTTCTTTTCTTAAATCCTCCGGATCGACCACTCGAATCACCGTTCCATTTCGAACCATGTTTTTCAATTGAATATATGATCCATGAGGATCCCCACCGCCACCACAACCTAATATGTAAGCTCCTATGACGATATAATCGAGATCGGGTTCTGTAATAATCCACTCCTTGCCCTTATTTACAGTCGGAGAATAGTTCAAATGATCAAATACTTCTTCGACGTTCTCACTCTTTGAAGATTCAAATAAGGAATTTTTCACAATATTTGCATTTGAAGTGTCATATTCATCAAATTTAGACTCGAAGTTAGACATAGTTTCCTTAAGTCTCTTGAAATCAACATCACCTACCGCTTTCACCTGGAACTTGTAAATTCTATCTGTATAAGGAACAGGCTCGGAGGCAATATTAACGAATACTACTGAATCTCTTAAGGCTCCTTTCGCAACAAGCTTGTCGACAGTCTCTTCTTTGAGAGACTCTATCGCTGCATCCCTTTCAGCACTAAGACTAATAGGAGAAAATTTGACACTTTCATAAGATAACTTAGGTAGAGCTGCACCAATAGCATTAGCTATTTGATAGAATTTGGGTCTTATTACAGTAGAAGCACCTTCTAAACATTCTGGAGCAATAAACGACCCTCCTCCAACTAAAACAACGGGTAATGGGTCTGGCGAAGTTCTCATTTTGTCAATGATTGACTCTAGCATCTTTTTTACTTTCTCAGAATAGAGCTCAAGAAATGATATTGAGAAAACTCCGCTTATTCTCCTCGGATCCCCCATATGAGATAACTGATCAAAATCATTATTCTTCAAAGAGATTGCAACAGCTGCGTCTGTAGCCGTAACGGTATTCCCACCAAATAAAATTGACTTCTCTAATATTTCAGAGCCGACTGAATCCGGTCCTACTGATAAAGAGTTTTTTTCTTCTCTGATTATTGATCCACCCCCTAAACCTATACTTCTTACGCATGGCATGGAGAAATTTGTTCGAACTCCGCCAACGTATGAATACGTAGAGCTCTGTCTTGGAAAACCAGACGAGAGCAACATACCAACGTCAGTCGTAGTTCCCCCGATATCAACAACCATCACATTTTGGTTCTGAGTTGTGTTGTCAGAAGAGCAAAGAAAGGCAGCACCTCGCATGGAATTGGTGGCTCCGGAAGAAAAAGTTCTTATTGGAGTCTTTAAGGCATCCTTCGATGTCAAAACAGAACCATCGTTTTGAGTAAGTAAGACAGGACAGTTAATGTTTACTTCTCTAATGGCTCGATTGAAAGAAGAAATGATCTTTTTGGCAAAGTTCATTACAGAGGCATTTAATATAGCAGCGTTTTCTCTTTCTAAAAATCCAATGCCTGAAAGTTCATGAGACAATACCAAGCTAACTTCTGGAAGTTCATGTCTAACGATTTCTGCAACTTTTAGTTCTTGTTGGTTATTCATGCAAGAGAAGATTCCAACAATTGCCACTGCGAGTATTCCAAGCTCCTTGATTTGCTTACAGTGTTGTCTTATTTCCTCCTCACATAAGGAATTGATTTCAGTCCCATCAACCTGATAACCTCCAGAAAGATATGCGTGGTAACCGTTACATATTTCTTTCAAACTTTCCAGAAATTCACTGAACGGAGGAGCTGACTTAGAATAGGAACTGCATAAACGAAGAACAGCTACTTTATCAAGCCTAGCACTATCTTCTTCAATAACAGCATTGATAAAGTGTGTAGTCCCAATAGTAACAGACACAACATCTTTTTTTGAAAACTCTCCTGACTCGAAAAGCTTGTCGATAGCAGTTTCAATTCCATTAGAAACATCAGAAGTCGTAGAAGATTTATTCCAGGCAAGAACCCCACGATTATCGCAGTTTATCTGAGAAACATCCAATAGTACTGAATCTGTGTTCGTTCCTCCAACATCAACTCCAACCAAATATTGACGTTCTTTCGTCATCTTGAATGTTTCGGTTGATAAATGAGCCAATAGAAAATAAAACGAACGAGAATTAAAACTCTATTTATAATCCAGCGAAGTGTAATTAAAAATTCTAATAAGGCATGATTTCATATAAGATTAGATTTGGGGATTGGAATAACATTGTTTTCTCTTGATGTTGTCTTTAATTGGCTTGCGCTCAGTTCTTCACAAATATCCGACTGCAGGATTGCAGCCTCGATCAAAATATTATAGATAATGATAGATATAAGTCGGAATAGTTTTCACAATTTTCCGAAACTTGGACAGACTTCTTATCGATAGTTAAACATTAATAATTTATATTGCAATGTGCTTATAAAGTAGAGAATCTAAAATATATATAGATGGCATGAAGTTCTTGCATTTTTTTAATTAGAATACAATTTAACTTGCTAAACAGCAGAACGGCAGAATGTTCGAAAAAATTAAAGAAATTATCGTGCTAAAGGAATCTACAGATTTGAACAATCCCGACTTAATACCATTACCACCCAGTAGACGACTCTGGAATCTCTTTGGGTATCTTACTTATTGGGGACTCGGTAATCTAACAATTTCGATATGGATGGGGGCATCTTCCCTCTTATCATTAAATTTGAATGTGAGTCAGACCATGGGTGTCATTGTCGTCGGGAACTTCATAATTAACGTGTTGGCAGTGCTCAATGGGCAAATCGGAACTGATAATCACATCGGCTTCTCTATTTCTCAGCGAGTCATATTTGGCATGAAAGGATCGTCTATCGGTATCTTCATTAGAATAGTGTTGTCTGTTGTTTGGTTTGCATCCCAGGCTTGGATTGGAGGACTATGCGTAAATTGCGTGATATCTTCCTTTAGTAAGCACTATTTGTATTTACCTAACACATTCCCTGAGCTGGTTAACATGACTTCAAAGGAGCTCATTGGTTTCGTATTATTCCAAATAATTTCTGTACCATTCTTATTCATAAAGCCAGAAAGATACGACAAAGTGCTAGGCGCCGCCTCTTTTGTAACATTTTTCGTGTCATTAGGGATAGTTTCGTGGGCAGTGACAGAAAATCATGGTAATGGTCCTTTGATGTCAGGAAAGATTGAACTCACGAGATCTGAAACTTCTTGGGCATGGATATACGGCATCACTTCTTGGTATGGTGCTTTGGCTGCTGGAGTAACAAATCATCCCGACTTCACGAGGTTTGCTAAGACACCAAGTGCACCCTTAATAGGAACGATTGTTGGTTGCAATGTATTTGGCATAATAACACCATTGATGGGGACAGTTACAGCTTCGGCTTTAGAAGAGAAGTATGGAGAACAATATTGGATGCCTACAAGTATCATCAACTTATGGATGGAAACAAATTATACACCAAAGGCTAGGGCGGGAGCTTTCTTTGCGGGCTTGGCGTACACTTTTTCTCAAGCCAGTTATAATACGTATGGTAATGGGTTTGCAGGAGGAATGGATCTATCTGGTCTTTTTTCAAAGTCGTCTAAAATTTTTAATATTAGAAGAGGATCAATTTTCGTAGCTTTATTATCTTGGGTCGTCCAGCCTTGGTTAATGTATAATACGTCTTCCACCTTTGTCACCGTTATGTCCTCTTTCTCAGTTTTCATGACACCGTTAATTGCGATTGTGATATGTGACTACTGGCTAATACGAAAAAGAAAACTTAAATTGAAAGATCTTTACTCAAGCGAACTGAGCGGCTCATATCATTTCTATCACGGAGTAAATATTAGAGCAGTTGTTTCATGGCTCTTAGGGTTTATCTGGGGTGTTCCGGGACTTGCTGCTGCTGCAAATCCCAAATTGTCAATTCCACAAGGATTACACAACTACTATAAAGGAAGCTTATTTTTTGGGTTTTGCATTGCTTTCGTTTTATATTATATTTTCTGTTTAGTTTGGCCCATTTCTGACGCTGGGTCGTTTGATAAAGTAGATTACTATGGAACGTATACAGAAGCAGAAGCAATAAAGAAGAACATGATCCCATTCGACGTTAAAGTGTTTGAGTCGGAAGACAAAGATACTCAACTTAGAGTTGTAACGTCCCATCCTGAGCTCAAGGATCATGTTTCTATGACTGTGTCTACTTCAGCTTTGAGCGGGAATACCAGCTTGTAGTGCAAACTATGAACTTGGTAAAGTAATCTTCTGCGTGTAATTACACTTGCATAAACTTAAGGGAGACAAGTGTGAGGTTGGATCTATTTTCTCGGGTAGAGCTCATAATTTGAATTTAATAATTGGATTTATGTTCTTAAAACCGTAAACATATTCAATTGATTAAAAGTGATTTCTAGGACAATGTTCTCGGACCGACCGTTCCATAATAGATTAACCGATTAGACTAAATTTGCACCAAGAGAGTTATCGCTTATTAAAGGCGATTCGAGTCATTAACGGATCATTTGTGACCCACTAAAAGATTCAAGTTTCATGCTTTGTTCCTTTGTTCGTCAATAGAGTTCTGGACTGTTGATGTAATAATTGTTGCGATCAACCAGTCCCTAGGCAAGTTTGATAGAACTCCGAGAACAAGTTTAGTTAACTCATTTAATACGACAACTTTCAAGCGCTTAGGAAAATAAAATAGCTCTATAAAAACTAACGTTACTGGTCTGTGTAAACATTTGATTCGCTTAGATCTTCAATTATATCAAGTACTTGGCTCGTTCTCTTACAGAACTGGCGAGATAATTTATAAGCAAGATTACATAATCATGTGGAACCATATATATTAAACATATTCTTACCCTTGCTCTCTTTTTTGGTAAAAATATATCAGCAAAAAAAGAGAAGTGAAACTTATTAGAAATGTCGTCGGATCAAGAGGCTATTAAGAATGGTTCACCAGCCATGGCGAAATTCAATGAACGTTCAGATAAGGCTTATCGGGAGATGGAAAAGGAAAGAATCAATAAGGTGAAACTGTTGCATAGCGCACTGTCAAAAGAGAAGTCAAACGAGGCTGCTTTACTTACAGGTTCTACAGACATGGAAAAGTTTAGTAGCATTGAAGAGATTCCCTATCCAACTTTAGAGGATGACAAAATAATTGTCAAGGCAATTGCGTACGCCGCAAACCCGACGGATTGGAAACATGCAGTTTTTAAGATAGGTACACCCGGTTCAATTGCTGGTTCTGATGTTAGCGGTATAGTTGAAGAAGTTGGTAAATCTGTTAAAGGGTTCGAAGTAGGAGACGTTGTGTCAGTTACAATGCATGGTAATGCTAGCAAGACTTCGGGTGCATTTGCTAAACATGTGTTGGCAAACCCTGCTTTAACATTTAAGTACCCCAAGTCACAGATCAAGGAAGAAGCTTTGTCTTTAGGTGACCATCCCGCCTCTTTGATTAACACATTCGAAGGTGCAGCTTCTGTGACGTTGGGTCTCAGCACAGTTGGTATGGCTCTTTCGTTCAACCTTGGTATCAAACCACATAAATCAGAAAATGCTTCGAAATTCATTTTGATTTGGGGTGGTGCCACAGCTACTGGAATATTAGCAATTCAAGTCGCAAAACAGATTTATGGTTTGAAAGTAATCACTACTGCATCATCAAAGCACCATCAATTATTGAAGTCCTTGGGTGCAGATGAGACTTTTGACTACAAAGAATCTAGTGTAATCGAAGATATCAAGAGCGTTGCAAACGGTAAAATCCTGTATGCATTTGATACCGTATCAGAACCCGAAACGTGGCAACAGACTTATGATGCTACTGAAGGATCTGAAAACGTGTCTCTCGATAATCTACTTAGTTTATCAGAGAAGGATGTCAAAGTTAAATCTCAAAGGGCAGTGAAATTCTCTGCGACACTTGTCTATTTGACTGATGGTGGTTCTCATTTCGGTCTACCAGCGAGTGCTGAGATCGCCAAGGACCATTTGTATTTTAAGAATGAGCTTTTAACTCCTCATCTCAAAACAATCAAGAATGCACCACTTAAAGTTTTGGAAGCGGGACTTGATTCAGTTAATCCTGCTATGAAGCTCTTGAAAAATAATGAGGTTAATGGAGAAAAGATTGTATTCAGGTCTTAGAATAAGTCTTGCATGTAAATTTTGCAGCCCTGTTGCTAGTTTGTGAGTTATTCTATATGCAATATATGAACACTACATTTAAAATCCTTAACATAGTACTAAACAGTAGATGGTTAATTTCACTTGGGATTCACAGCACCGACAAGTCTCGAGATAGTTCATTTTCTTAAAACCTTGTCTCTACTACTCTTCTATCCCTGCGCTATTTCCTTGTTTATAGTTTTATAGTACTTATTTGGTCCATCAAAAAGTTTTTTTTTTTTATTTTAAGTTTTCAATAATTTCTTTCTTTCTTTCTTTCATTTACTGCTTTTTGTTGAATTCACTATAGGTTTCTTAAAACATCAACTGTAATCAATTACTTAGCTGAATTATGTATTAGTCTTGTTTTCCTATCAATTTCTTGCGCTAGCTACCAGGCTATTGGTTTCAACTGAAGTATTTCCTCGATATTATCTCGTTGACTTGTCAAAGGCGACGGGGCCTTTCTTGTACTAAGAAAAATATGATTGACATGGTTTACAGTTCGAACTTGAATATGTGTGATCTTGCTTTTCTCTGTAATCAGCTGATCAGTTTCTGTGCGATCGTAACTTTTTTTGAATCAATTGTTCGACAATGTGACTATGCGGCACTCTATCCTAACGGCTCCAAGTCGAAAAATTTTAATATTACTAATTGAAGACACTTGTATATGCATGTAATATAAAGGGGCCAGTGAATTGGCATAAGTGAATTATTTACTTTTAGCTTTAAGAAATTCGATGTCGCCAGTATCAAACAGCAACGCTACTGAGATATTGAATCTGATCTTAGAGACGCAACCAATAGTGGACACACATAATGATTTCCCCTATTTATTGAGAGTTCAATTGAGAAATGAAATCGAATGTAATAAAAACTTTAAATTTGGTGAAAATCTCACTTCACATACAGATCTATCAAAACTTCGAAAGGGAAGGGTTGGGGTACAATTTTTCAGCTGTTATATTGACTGTCCAGAGGATAATTATGCTTACTCCGACTTCAACTTAAAGAATTCTATGGTCAGGGATACTCTTGAGCAAATTGATGTTACTGGGCGTCTTGTAAATAATTTTTCCAGTGACTTGGTTTTTGTTCAGACTGCTGACGATGCATTGGCTGCCTACAAAAGTGGTAAAATAGCAATTGCATTGGGAATTGAGGGCTTACATCAAGTGGATACATCTTTAGCAGTTATAAGACAATATTATAAACTTGGAGTTAGATATGCAACCTTGACACATACATGCGATAACCCATTCGCTACTTCTTCAAGTACTGTCTTTCACGGCAAGAAGGATAAGGGTTTGAGCTCATACGGAGAATCTGCAGTGAGAGAAATGAACAGGCTAGGGATGATGGTGGATTTATCGCATGTTAGTTATAACACTGCAAAAAGAGTTTTGAAGATATCTCAAGCTCCTGTTATCTTTTCTCATTCGTCTGCCTATTCTTTGAACTCCCATGAGAGAAACGTGAAAGACGATGTTTTAATGGACGTTGCAAAGAATGGAGGTGTCGTTCAAGTTAACTTCTTCCCTGATTTCATTGCTCCCAAGGATGGCCTGCGTGCAACCATCAATGATGCTGTTAATCATATCTTTCACATTGCTAATGTAGCTGGCTGGCATTGTGTAGGTTTCGGCTCAGATTTTGACGGGATACCGTATGCTCCCTCTGGATTAGAAGACGTATCGAAGTATCCAGATTTGATATATAAATGCATACAAAGAGGCGCTAATTCTGAACAGATTGAGGGCCTTATAGGAGGCAATTTATTTAGGGTATGGAAAGAATGCGAGGCAGTCGCTACTAAGTTGCAAGAAAAGAGTGAGCCTATCGCGGAAAAGGAGTGGCAAGATCGCAAATGGGAAGTGCCTGAAAGTGCAAAGGAAATGTCTGAGCTCTACCCAGGCTCCAAAAACCTCCACGATGATTCTACTTCGTGGAAAAAGAAATATTTTGATTAAATAGCGCCATAAAAATATAAAGCTAGCTATTTCTAATATAAATTGTAATCTTTAATCTTTTCTAGAGCTCCCTTAGCCTGCGTATTTATTTACCTCATATGTCAACAGGCGCTCTTGTTATTACTTTGTAATTTGTAGACAATCGGTACTCATTTCTTTTTAGAGTCGACAGACTATTCGTGCATTCATTATCGGAAGCGACTTGTTATTGGCCACTACTTAACATTGTTCAAAAAGCATTATGATGGTGAATACTCATCACTAAGTGACCTGTGATCAGCAATCTTCCCGTAGCTGTACAACAAACTCAAGTGAGATCCAGGGACAGAACAGATGACTTTTTCCTAATCCTCATGTTTTCTATGACATATAATATTTTCATTCTTAAATGGCATTCTGTAAGTAACTTTAGAGTTGTCATCATTATAATTCCTCCTCTCCATATGTATAGCTTCTGGCAATTTTTACCTCAACTCAATTTAGATGTGAGTAAATGTTCAGCTGATTGGCTAGACCCCACAGCTTCTATGATTCTTTTAGGAAGGTCTTCTATTTCACATTGAGAGCGAGCGACCATCACTGCCTTACCTATTCTCCGGGCCAAGGAAGTAGAACTTTTCACAGTTTGATTATAGACTCGTTCTAGATTCAGGGAGTTATTTATGGTTCCCACATTAACGCTAGAATTAAGCATCTGTGGAGAAGTTTTCTAGTTTCATATCAGTCGGTGAGCCTCTGAAGCCTACATTCACAACTTTGTAGTTCCCATTATGGGCTTGTTTTCTTTAATTTCTGGATCAACTAATCGATTACATACTCCATTAGGAAACATATCATTCAATTGAAAATATGATCCACTAGGATCCCATCCTCCCCTATAATATAATATGTAACCACCTATAGCTATATAATTAAGATCAGCTTCGGTAATCATGTCTTCTTTGTATTTATTCACATTATCTAAAATGATCAATACTTCTCCAACCACTTTCTTTTCGAAGATTCAAATAAGGAATTCTTCAAGACTCTCTCATTTGAAGTTTCATATGCTTCGATTTGGAACGACGCTGTCAATGTCTTTTTATCTCTATTATTACCTCATTAGGAATACGATAAATTTTTGTGTCAATATATGACAACTATCTTGTATCTTTGCTCTTAAAGACAAGTATAACAATTAGTAAAGTTTTGTATTAGTATGAATCATCACATTGTGCTCTTAGTCTGTTTTTTTATCTCTTGTCGTATAGGATGGAATATATGATTTCCGAATCTTTTATTCTGTCAATTCCAACACAATTGCAAGTTAAAAAATGTTTACTTTTTTATTGAGAGTTTTTCAGACATATATACAAGAAGTATTGAACGCTAACTATTTACTTATTCTATACTTTGATTGAACGGTGACTAAATTGTTCTATTTTTTGTAAAGCTTATCCATAATTTTGTCGAGCAATATAAAAATTATCAAGAAAGAAGGAAATCCATAATGACCCTCTGTACACTTTCCACAAACATAAAGAAGAAAGAGTGAGTCAGATAAAACTTCGACGTAATAGCGATATAGAGTTGTAAATTTAAACCATTAAACATCAACTAGAGTTATAAAAATCTATAGGTTTTGTTTTTCAGAAGAGTACGTGAAAGCAAGCTAGTCATGATAAAGAAGCTAAGACTAGTTAATTTTCGATAACAAAGACAATATAAAAGATAATTAACTAAATCTGAGTAGAAAATTGGACAATATCAAACCTTTCCTGTATCAAGAATCTCAATCTGTTCTGCATCAGATTCGCTTGTATCATCTTTTTGAAACGTAATTGCATTTTCACCATCTCCAAACAAACTAGCAATTTCCTCCAAATCTAGACCTTTAGTCTCCACGAAAACAAAAAAAATCAAAGGAATAAATACCAAATTCCACGCCCCATTCAAAAGATAAAAATTTCCTCTCATATTTGCCATCCCTATAGGTAACATGAAATTTAAGAAAACCCCCAAACCGTTATCAAATATTTCAAGTACAGTTATACCAACAGCTCTCGTTCTTTGTGGGTAAATTTCAGGTGTATAGAGCATCAATAGTGGTGTGAAGCAGTAAGAATAAAAGCCCGAAAATATAAACATCATTGCAATCGCACCATATTGGCCAGAAGTATTACTGCTTTTGCCATATACCTTCACTAACGCCCCAAGAATAAATAAAGATATTATTTCACCGGTCATTGCAATGAGTGCTTGAGGTTTTCTGCCAATGATATCAAAAGTTATACAGCCAATAATGCAAGCAAAGAGGCAGAACCCGTTACGTATAATAGCTACCTTTAATTGAGTAGACACCAGGGTGATTCCTGCTTGCTCCAACAATGTAGTAATGTAGTACGTAGCAATTGATGAACCTGAACCTTCCACACAAGCCGCAACTATAAAATTAATTAGGATACGCCTCAAGTTAGCCTTAGAGGAAAATGCTTCTTTCCACACAGATTCAGTCTCGTATACAGTTCTCTCAACAACAATAGCATTCTTAACAGCTTTTATTTGCTTACTAGCAACCTCAGCTTCACCATCAGCAATCCTCGTGAATATATCTAATGCTTCCTCTTCACGCCCCTTGGAGACCAACCATCTTGGGGATTCAGGAGTGAATAGTAAAGCGAGAGCACTAATTATACTAGGACCAAATTGCACAATCAAAGGCGCTCTCCAACACCAATTACTATTTATATTTCTTGTTCCATATGTTACACCGGCGGCAATCAAAGCACCAACGTAATAACAACTATGGAATGCCCCCATAATTACTCCTCTATGATTAGAGGGCACAATTTCGGCAACCAAAGGAGGCGAAGAGCTAACGACAAGACAATTACCTGCTCCCGACACAATTCTTCCAACAACAAATTGAGCGAGTGCTCGTGGACCACCGTAATGTATACCCGAAGTGCACTGTATCAAGACACCTAATATCATTATGAGATTAGCTATCAAGATAGAGGTTCTCCGACCACACCGATCCAACAAGATACGTACAAATGGCATCGATAAAAACGCTCCTATGAAAATAGAAGCATTTATCAAGCCGTTGGTACTCGGAGTTATCTCGAAGTAATCGTTGAAAGTCTTTAACCCGACGACTGTTCCCATAATCGACATCTCCATCCCTGAAGATGTAGGATTGGTAATGGCAGTACACCAAGAGCTAAAAATAATTCCACTTTTAGTCTTTGCTGTGTACCTACTCGTTAAGTCCATATTGGAAGTTATAGTCCACTATTGTATTACTCCTGAGTTATCTTTGAAGTTGCAGATTAAGGAACATTGAAAGTCACATATATTTTATATAGATGTTTTAAGTTAATTTGAGATAATCTTATCTGAAAGGAAGGCTGTTACGGGCCGAAATCTAACTGTCTTATCAAGTTTTTATTATGGTGGTAAAAATGCAAAATATCGATGTTTGACTGATCGCCATGGGCAACGTTGGCCGCCGGGCAACGTTGGCCGCCGGGCAACGTTAACCATCTGTCAAAAATCCAAAATAGGAAATGAGATTGGCGATAATTATTCTCGAACACTTTTACTTAATATCTATATTTTTCAAGCACTCTCTTAGTGGTAATAGAATGAGCAACTAGAGCGACATACTAATGGGCGTTCCATTCAAAATTCTTGATTGGAAAGCAAAAGTAGCCAACAAAAGAGAATCTTTAAAAATCCCTTCTCAATGGAGACTTGATTCACGTTATCTAGACCTCATTAATGAGTCGTCTACAGTATCTGTAACGAATGTTCCAAGAGAATGTGGTATTTTGACACAAAAAGAGTTGGAAATCACAGAAATTAAAGCGTCTTGCTTATTAAAGTTGTTAATTTCTGGTAAATTATCGAGTTATGAAGTAACATTGGCTTTCTGCAAAAGAGCAGCTATAGCACATCAACTAACTAATTGCTTGGCTGAATTTTTTCCAGAAGAAGGCCTTCAATTAGCCAGAGAAATAGATGAAATATTTATAAGATCTGGGAAGCCAGTGGGAAGGTTGCATGGTTTGCCAATTTCTTTCAAAGAAATTTTCAATATATCAAATCATGAAACCACTTTTGCATACGTCTCCTATATTGGCAATATTAAAAATGAAGACGGCCTTGTTGTAAAATGCATCAAAGCAGCAGGAGGGGTCCCTTTTTGTAAAACTAATATATCCCAAGGATGTTTGATTGTTGAAGGTATGAATAATGTCTTCGGTACGTGTTTGAATCCTAACAACTTATCTTTAACAGCAGCAGGTAGCAGTTCGGGAGAAGGTGCCTTGGTTAGAATGAAAGGTTCTCCTTTAGGAATTGGAACAGATGCTGGCGGAAGTATTAGGCTTCCAGCTCATTCTAATGGTGTTTTTGGGTTTATGCCATCCACAAACAGAATTACCAACTCAGGCATCGGTGATGGCGCAGGGCCACTTACTTGGGTGCTGTCTCAAATTGGACCTCTAACAAACGATGTAAAGATGATTGAAACTTGGTTCAAAGCAATGTTGGATTATAAGATGGAGGATTATGATTCATTTTGCTACAAGGTTCCCTGGTGTGATGTTGACCTTCGTAACCAAAGATTGGTAATAGGTGTAATTTTTCAAGATAATGTGGTTGAGACAACACCAGCAATGCTCAGATGCTTGCAAGAGGTCGTGCTGAAAATGAAGAGGGCTGGTCACTTGATTATAGAAATTGATGTTGGTGAGTTACACAGAAAGATTACTGAGACAGTATTTCAAATGTATGTAAGTACTGGTATTCCATCTTATCGTAATGCAATTGAGGCTAGCGGGGAGCCATGTATTGCACGCTGCTGTGGCTCTGAATGTAAAAGTGCAATGAGTTTGCAGCAGGTTTACTCTTTAGATACTCAAGCTAGAAAATTATGTGAAGAATACCTTCAGAATGTATTCACAAAGAATAATCTACATGTGCTTCTCACACCTTCGTCACCAAATCCCCCAGCTCCACATGGGAAGTACTCGACCAATTCTCTAAGTGCTGTTTATAATTGTTTAGGTTATCCTGCCGGTGTCGTACCCACAGGTTTTGTCATTCCAGAAAAGGACAAACCAACTGAAATGTATCTCTCTAGCGGGGTTCATCCAGACCTTGATATTTTAGAATTGTTCCCTTACGATTACTACGACAAGTACGTGAAAGAGGAACTATATACTGACATAAATAAGTTCAAGAATGCGCCACTTAGCATCCAGATTGTTGGTAGAAAATTTACTGATGAATTTGTGATCAAAGTGATGGAACTCATTGCTGAACTTTTCTGAGATAGGTGTTATTCAAGATTCATGAGTTCATTCTTTGTCCGACGAACATCCCTTTTCTATTTAGCTTCATTTATTAGTCAAGATATATGTGACTTTATTAACTAAGTAGTGTTTAAGGGAAAACCATTATGATAGGCAAATAAGAAGTTTTCATCTACCATTTTTCCTTTCTATTTACTCTTATTTACGACCTACATTGCATAGATAAAATGCTTGTATTTTATCTTCTTCATCTGATCCCTCAAACCATATAACTCTCACAATAATTTATTATTTGCATCTAACTTGCTCTTTCATTGAGACGAGTCTTAAGGCTCAGAAAGACTAAGATTTAAATATTATATCATTGGAGCCTTATCTCTTCGATGTCTTATTCGGCAATTGTAAGATACTTAAACATACCGTGAGGAAACTTTTCAAGATGCCCCTCATAGACCACAGAACTATTCAAAAGGTTCTCTGTTAATTAAAGTAATATTTTGCGGAAGTAGATAAATGGCTACTTGCACAATTAAGATCATTAAAGTCTAAGGCTATTCTTATTTAACGTTTTATTCATCCATTTTTTTAACGTCTACACATAATCTTGTATCACTAAAGCCGAAACAAAAATCTTCCTTAATCTTACGGAGTGACCACTTCGGATATGGAAGCTCTTTAGTGGGAAAGCGAGCTTAAGGGCAGCTTTTCAGATCGTTAAATATTTTCTGTAAACTTTGGCTATTCTTCGTGAATAATTAATTCACAAATATAAATAAAAGAAGAGGGAATATAAGAAATTGAAGACATGCTCAATGACCAAAGATTCAATCAAGATTTTGGAAATATACAATGATTTGCCTAATCTAGATCCATTTCAATCAACAAATCAATTCGGCTGTGACAATTCATTTTGCAGGAATTTATCATTGGTAAGCCAATCCAAGAAATCATCTTCCATTCCATAGTTTACCAACTCATTGACAGCATTCTTGCTTTCAGAGGCAGGATCTAAATTTTCGTTCTCCATGACAATCTCCTCGACGCTTTGTTTCTTGGTATTATCAATAATTCTCAATATCTTTTCATATCTCAATAATGCTAACTTCAGAATCATTGATAGTCTAGCGATCAACTCTAAATGACTCTTAAATTCGTAAACGATTGTGCTCCAGGAGTTATTCATCCCACTAGCAACATAGAATGCTAAGATAGTTGATCCAATAATACTCAAGTTCAAGCGAGAGTAACTCCACCAATTAGTATTTAGTTGCCCAATTTCAATCCCGCTTAGAATTTTATTAAACTCTTGAATGGTTGAATAAAAAATAGAATTTGCAGACGAGAAACAATCTTTGGTGGAATTTAAAAGATGCTTGCAACAAGATGCTATTATCGCAACTTTAGCAATATGAAGTGAAATCCAGGACCCACCAAGTGAGGGATGTGGTCTGCTCTTCGGAAAATAAACTTCTTCTATAGACTTGGTTTCAGAAATCGTTTGCATTCCTACTGTCATGATTTCATTAGGCTCTTGTGGGTCATTGAGTATCTTCCGTACAGAGAAGAAATTATTCAATATCTTACTGATAACTGTCGTTAAATGAGCCATTGCAATCACTAATGCGACTCCCTGAACATAAGAAGAAGATATATCAGATGTCATTTCGTGTCGATCATTTAGAAAATCATCCTTGGTGATTATAGCGACATTGAAATCGTCATCATGAATATGACTTGGTCTTGATAAGCCAAAACTATCCCACTTGTCCTGAATAAAAGTAGCCCACCAAAGACGTCTACGGAGTCGCTTTTCCCAGATAGGTATGTCCCATAATGTCGGATCAAGGTGGAGCCCAAGTTGCTGGCATATCGCTACTAGTGAAGAAGTAAACAACCAGTCATGCGGACTGTTAGCATCACGAATTAATATAGGATAAAATTGGAGATGTAGAAGTGTAGCTTGCACCGTCTGTAAAGTTGCGCTACTAAACTCTAAAGGTAGAGAGCGTATAGTAAAGTCGCGAAGTAAATATTCTTGTCGAGATGTCTCTTCTCCTATATTTAAGTGTTGTAGTGCTTTAACGTAAACCGACGAGAGCAACGTTGAGCATGTTCTTTGATTGAAGAAGATACGTTGATTTATTATTGGAAACGAAGGGTTGATATTCTCAAAAAACAAGCCAATAAGACGTGCCAGAAAAGGGTATATCACTGAATTTACTTTTGCACAATTGTATCTATCAGGCACTGGATCGAGATACTCTGTGGGACATAATGAAAAATATATTGGCTGACTTTTTGAAGGAGCTCTGTAGTTAGAAGTATCGTATATATTTAATCCTTTCAAAATCCAAGGATCAATGTCTCCTGTAAAGCCTAGGAAAAGGCTTGTTCTACCATGGTGTCTATCTAAGGTGTTATCGTCATTAGATTCACTAATTGTAGGAGCCACCAAATGCAAAGACGATTTATCAGGTAAAAAATTCTGGATCTCCAATCTTTGAAGTAGCGTATCGAAAACAGGTTTATCATTCATAGGAATTTGTTTTCCTCTTCTCACCCTTTTCAAGGGTGCTAGTTCATAAGTACAGTTCAATTTGCGGACTTTGCAAGTTGAACAAGCTTCATCACCTTGACGAAAGCAGGCAATTTTTCGCTTACGGCAAGTATCGCATGGTCTTACTTTTCTTGATCTGTATTTCCTTGCTTGTTGATCATCTTGATGGGGAGCTACTAGCTTCATAGTCCAAAAGAAACTATAAGTGTAGTGATAATTATTTGCTCGACTAGTTAATGTTTCGAAGTTAAATTATAGTCATATCTGTTTGATTTTACTCTTATCTCAAAAGTGAGTTGAGATGTTGTGTTAGAAGCCCTGTTGTTACCGGACTTCAGACGAAAATACTTTACTTCATTTCTCAAAGATCTACACGATAATCGTATTACATTTCCTTTTTCATCGATTCTTCTTTTGCCCAATATGCCTAAAGATACTTTTGAAGTTCTGTTACCCAGGGCCAATGGAACTATTTTTTTAAAAATACTCGATAGATAGAAGTTGCCCGTGAGTTCTTTGCCCGCGCGCAACTTCCCATTAAGAAGTATATTTACAGTATGAGTAGTCTAAACTATAGGAACATATAAAGTGCTCCAATTTGCAATTTCTAAGTCATTAGTCACGATGAATTGAGCATTGAGACAAAAACCACACAATTCAAATGTCTGCTACTACTCTTGCTACTGCTGCTGCCTGTCTTGGAATTTCTTCAAAATCGCCAGAGGATTTACCATATGAGAGATTCAAAACTCTCAAGCAAAAATGTATCAAACCCCAAAACTATGATGCTGTGAGGGCCTCTTGGAAAAGGCTACTTATTTCTATGTCAAAAGAACTTGATAAGATTTCAGGTGAAGACTATATCCCACAAGTCAATTTCGAGGACATTATCGCTAACAATTTGCAAATACCGCCAAAGACAGTAGAGGATTTAAAGAAAAAAGGTTGTTTGATAATTCGTGACCTAATTCCTGATAAAGAAGCTATTGGATGGAAAAATAGGATTTTAGACTACTTTGAAAAGCATGGAGATATCACTGGGTCTCCCGAAAGTGGTCCAAGTAACTGGTACGTTCACTGGTCTCAATCGCAAGTTGAAGCAAGAGCACATCCTCGAATGGTTCAATTGATGAAAGCAGTAGGAGATGTGTATTCTAACGTTAACTCAGATGATCCTATTGATATGATGTCCCAAGTCGTTTACGCTGATCGGGTTAGGGTTAGATCACCTGGTAAACAAGTGACTCTCAACTTACACGCTGACAGTAGCAGCATAGAGCGTTGGGAAGACGATGGGTATCGTGATGTTTATCGTGAGATTTTTGAAGGAAATTGGGAACAATGGGACCCGTATGTAATCAACAAGCGCCTTCTATCTATTCAAGATCTTTACGAAGGTGTTAGCGCCAATGGCTCTACTTGCAGTGTTTTTAGATCATTTCAAGGTTGGCTAGCGCTCAGTGATGCCAAGAGTGGTGAAGGTACTATCAGATTTTTGCCTGATTTGAAACATGTGATACCATATATCTTGCTAAGGCCCTTCTTCTGGAATGATATAACTGATGAAATTGATGTTACCAGTACGAAGTTTCCTGGTGCAACTCCGGGCTCTGGCCAATTCATGGCTTATGATGAGGGTTTGTTTCCACATTTGAAACACAATAAATCTGTAGTTGGAATTGCAGATGTGAAGCCTGGAGATTTTGTATTGTGGCATGCAGATCTTTTACATGAAGTTGACAAAGAACATAATGGTGCTGAAGATTCCAGTGTGATGTTCATCGCTCATACACCTCTCTGCGAATATAATATTCAGACTTTGTTGAATAGTAGAGACGCTTTTTTAAACGGCTTAAAACCTAAAGACTTCGTCTATGAGTTAAAGTATGGACCAGATGAAAGTTTGTATGAAGATCGAGGTAAACAGGAAAACATTTTGTCAGATGAAGGGTTAATGGCTTTGGGCTTGAAAAAATTTAATGTCGATGAAGAGAACATCACTTCGGGTCAAAAGAAAATTCGAAAACTAGCTAATAGTATTCTCTTTCCAGAAAAAGAACAAAAACGTAATTAATTCCTTTGAGGATTGAATGGTATCATGACACAATTGCTTGAAATATGGGTACATTTGTAGCAAACTCCAAATGTCAAAGAAACTGTCTACAGAGTTTAAATCATAGGGGAACTAGACTTGGCAGGCACTTTGTGATTTTATAAAGTAGTGGTCTGGTAAAGTAATTTCTGTAACGGTGCTCAATTTTTTAAATAGCCCCCCGAGTTTGACTCATTTTCCAATTTATTGTCTGCATGACAATACTTTTTACAAACGAAGTCAGATGTTAATAATCTTTGATAGAAGTTTTGTTCGAAAATATGAAATAAAGGGAGGTATTAAGTGATTTCCTTGTTTTTTATTTCTCTTTCTCTACGCGTCTACTATAATTTTAAGGTACGAAAAGATAAATTAAGAGTAGGCATGGTTCCTGAATGTTGATACTATTTTATCTCTATTATTACCCATTTAGGAAACAAAACCGACATGTGAATGTTCCTTGTATAATTACTCTTAAAGTCAAATAGAACATTCAGAATAGTTTAGTCTTGTTAAGAACCTACAATTTCAACCCGTTGTATATTTTTGCATACTAGATGATGTTGCTTTTTTTCTCAAAAGGGGATAGAATGGAACCAAGAGGATTTCGTAAGAATCTAAATTTTTCATGAGCTCGCCAGTAGTTCCATCAAAAATCTAAGTGACCATTAGTATGCTTCGAAACATAATGAATAATGGCATCTGTATAATTTAAGAGCGGTTTTGAACTGAAGGTGACAAGGAAGTGTTGTCATGGGCTAGTAAATCTTAAACCCAACTTATTACCAATTGCAAGCTAAAAAAGTTTACCTTTTTATTGTTTACCTTTTTATTGATAAATTTTTTATACATAT